AACCCTAACCCTAACCCTAACCCTAACCCTAACCCTAACCTAACCCTAACCCTAACCCTAACCCTGTTACCCTCAAACACTTGCGCCGGTTCCATAATCTGTCCGCCTTCAAGTTCGCGCGATTTCTTCAACTGATGTTCCGGGCCAGTCCCTTTCCCCAATTTGGACTGGATACAGTACCTAACTCGCAGATGGTGAGCTTGGTCCCAGTTTCCCGCACATGTTTCTGTCCCCCGACTTCACCGTTCTTGCACACCAACACATTACCTAATATTTTTCCAAGTCTCCAATCGTGTTTCGTATTGTCTTGAGTACCAAACTTATAGGCCTAGCAATCCATCAACAGATCAACATTGCCCTGCCAGACTGTGTCCAGCATCAAGATGTTTACACAATTTGGGTCATGGACATGGTTCAACCTTCCCCTACCACCCTGTCTTGGCCACCCCGACGTTTTCACAATATGGGTCACAGATCCAGTTCAACCTTCCACTCCCCTCTGTCTTGACCACCAAGATGTTTTCACAATTCAAATTTGGGCTCTACACATAGTTTTGACTCTCACAAGTGCCCTGTCTTGACCGTCACGACGTTTTCCCAATTTATGTAACACACATCGTTCAACCTTCTACTAACAGCCTGTCTTGACCACCAAGATGTTTTCCAGTTCAAATTTGGGTTCTACACATAGTTTGACTCCTCACCAGTGCCCTGTCTTGACCGTCACGACGTTTTCAACAACCATATAAAATCCATATTTCAATCCCTGCCAGTAACACCCTGTCGTTCTCATCATGACGTTTTCAGACTGCGGATCCCTTTGCTCATAGATCTGACCTGTAGGTATATCAGCAGAAGGGGTTGAGACAGCAGCACCATACAATCTTGACCGCTTTTACGTGTCCAGAACCCTGATCCCTCAAATCCCTGTGCAACACCCCCACTACCACGCCGTCGCCACCGTCACGATGTTTTCAACATAGCGTTACAAACTCATAAAAATGCACTTCAGTAACATCGCATCGTAGCCCCGACAAAGCTTATCCTTGAATTACACCCTCGAGTATCCTGCTGTTGTCACCGTCAAGATGTTCTCCACATGCTCAAACGCCTTAGTTCGATGGCAGCCCAAAAAATAGTGGATATTGGGACAGACAGAGGACTCATCTAAGGACCTGGTCCCTTCCGGATTCCTGTGCCATCCCTCCCTTCCAATTCCACGTTCTACCATGGCCTGAACCCAAAACTCGTCCCCACCAGAGTCCCCCGGAACGTTTGGAAGGCATTTCAATCGTTCATAGTTCGGGGTGTGGTGACTGCCGGGCATGTCGGAAATCGCACGAATACCACGATGCATGCATGATTTGATGCTGCGCAGCGAATATCTGACCCAAGGAGATTTGATTTTAGTTGTTTAGCAGGGCTGTATGTCGATTTTACGAACGGTGAGAGGGAGAGGGTGAGAAATCACCTGTAGGCCTCGCCCCTCCACCCGCATCTCTACTCCATCCAATCCACTCCTCGACGCCCACGAGACGACCCTTGAATAGCCTAATCGGAGCTTCATGGTCGTTTATAATTGGGAGTCAGAGTGATTGAAGCGATGCGCGGGGCGCGGCGATGCCGCAAAAACTGTTCTGTGGCGTGAAATAGCACAACGCGCCCGATTTCAGTGCCCACAACAAGTGCATTAGCACGGGATGTCGAAACGGCACAGTTAACTCACCTGTGGACAGCTCCCCCATCTGCGTTCTCAGCGCTCCACCCTTTCTCCACGCATCTCGTCTGCCTTCCAATCCCCCCGATTCACTTCAGGGTTTGCGTTTGTCGAGCGCGGGACGTTACTATTTGAGCTGCGCAAAGGGCGCTATATGAACGAGGCGGAACGCCGCGCTGTTTGCGATGCCACGAAAAACGCGCGGTGCGTGAGCTGATGCAAAGCATCCAATTTCGGGGTGCATAAGACCCATCCTAGTCAGTGTCAAATGAGGAGAGGGGGGACTCACCTATACTGCGCGGTGTGATGGAGCAAGCGCTTGTTTGCGAGATCGGCTACGAAACTCGTCGGTCCCTTCCTGCACATCCCGGTGACGTCCGAAAGAACGCAGGGGGCGTTGTTGTGTTGGCTGGCGAAGATGCACGAGTGAGATGCGGGTGGAGTCCTGAGATGTGGGCGGGTTAGCGCGCGAGGTCAAAATGACAATCTGCTGCATTGACAGCAGCGGCTTACGTTGTTACACCGGGCAGGATGTCAAGGCGCATGCCTCGAGAAGTCCTGATCACCATGCGGCGCAGGGTGTAGAGTGAGAAGACAGTGCGAGGTAGATTTTGCGAAACGCACCGGTAGACATACCTCCCTTGGCCTTCCCGGTGCTCTGCCCACTCGTCCATCCGACTCTCCTGCCCTCATGCCCTCATGCCCAGTTTTTTTTCGTCCGTCCGGTCGCCAAAAAATCGATTGATGGGCGTTGAGGGTGCGCGTTCGGCGCAATGAGGAGAGCGGCGCAAAATGCGCTGCGTGATGTGAGGCGGGCCTGCGTTTGAGTCCAAGATGCACGATGAGCGTCATCTTTGAGTTTGTATGTGGCGCGATGTGTTGAGACGGCGAAAGGCAGCAGGAAGAGCGCGAGAAACGCACCTGTGAGCCTGTGCCCCATGCCCTCTGGCGCTCCGCTCATTTGCACATCCAACTCCCTCGCCCCTTCCCTCCGTGATCCATCTCTTCGGTTGCATTCAGCGGTCGTGGTCATAGGGAGTTGTCGAGGGCGTGTGATCGATGCGGTTGAGCCGAGCGGACAGGCGCAGTTTGCGTGATGCCGCAAATGGCACGATGCGCTGCAGCACATACACCGCGCATTCGAGCCCGAGGAATAACTAATGCGGAGTCGGTCCGGCAGACCTGCGGCACGAGATTTTGTATGGGCGGAGTGAAAGACCAATCATAAAACAGGGCGCACCTGGTATCATCCATCTGCATTTTCACTCGACTCGATCCCTCATCTGTCCAGCCTCCAGGAAGTCCAAACCCCTAAATCCACTGTCCCAGGGTTGTGAGTTGGTGCCTGTGAGTTCGCGGCCGTCAGTTCGTGGTCGAAGTGCGCGGGGTTGGCGATATGATAAGGAGGGGAGTGTGATGTGTCATGGCTCACATCACAGTCAATGACCGCCGGGGAGGACGTTGTTCTCGACAACGAGCGCCCCGTACATCCAAGGATTTTTTTGAGACACGTTTGAGATGTTAAATGATAGAACTACTGATTCAAACATGGGCCGCAGGACCGAAAACCCCACGAACGATGTGAATAGATTCAAATGATCGATTTTTGAGTGGGAAATAGAAGATCGGTCGATAACTCGGCCTTTGGGCCTGGCAAAAAAATACAAATAATACCTAGGAACTATCCTAGATGTCAGAGAGCACTGTTACAATGCAAAAATCGATTTCTTTACTTGCCGATTTTTAATCACACTCACTTGTGATCTAGGATGTTTGATTTTGGACACGGGCACGATTATATAGCACGTCCGAAATTGTTTCGGAGGTGTCAAGTCATAGTGCCTGTGCCTGTTTTCGTCGTGGTGGTCCCGATGCCTGTGTACTGGGTCAGTCATGTCTACTCCAGTGACACTGATTTGGGTGCTGCTTTTTGATAGTGGAACACTATGCATGTGAAAGATCCCTTGAAATCATCGTGACCCCCAAGACACCCTGTACTGGGTCCCTTGATATTGGGCCTATCCCTGTTAAGTAGCCTGCTTGGTTGTTACCATTGGAACCATTCCGACACTTCCTCTCTGTCCCCTTCCTGCTATAACTATCAGTTCCATTATATGTATTCAGTTGATCCTCTGCTCTGCAATTATAGCATTGGGGTCAGGAAACAGGCCCATTACCCTATGGCAGAGGCATGTCTCCGCCGTCACGACGTTTTGACATATGCCCTGTCAATCAAGCCTGTCATCTGTTGCCAAGACCGGTTGACAGCTGACCCTTTACCATCTGGCAATGAGGCATCGGGACCATCCCGATGCTTTGACCCTGCTCCCTTTCAGCCATTATGTCTTCGACTCAGAATAGGCCAATGTAAGGGAGTGTGTAGCTGGTGTCTTGACGGGGACGATGTTATAAGCAGAAGAGGTTGAAAGATTTAAATACTGCTTTTTGGGTATGCTGATCCATTCAACCCTGTACAGTGAAAACATCGTCACCGTCAAGACACCAGGTACCCAGCCCCTCTCTGACTGATGATGCTACCTTGTCTGCTCAAAACATCGTCACCGTCAAGATACCTGGCACCCTGCCCCTCTCAGGCCAGCTAAGCTACTATGTCTACTCATAGCGTCAACCATGACCCTGACCGCCTGGCTACCCGGTGTGTTGGAGCTTACGATGATGTGACTCGATCAGGTCGCATGTCAGCCATGTGATTCAAAAACATGTGGACTTCACCACCCGGGCACATGGTGTCTTGGACGTGACGACGTTTTGCTTTCTGGCAACCAACGAACATTTTTTCAGTCGACTCTTGTCTTCGACCCTTTTCAGTCAATACGTCGTCACGCCCAAGACTGCAGGTATGGGCATGGTGCATTGGACCAGTGCACAGGCTGTACATAGCAAAAGTTGTTGGGTGTAGGACCACATTTTGTACAAGTTGGAAAGTTCGGTTCAATTGTCTTGTGCAAATGCTAATTTATGAGACTGTCTGCCAGAACATCGTCACCACCAAGACACCAGGTACCCAGCCCCTCCCAGGCTGAATGAGCTGCGTCAACACATAGCATCGTCACCTCCAAGATACCCGGCACCACACCTTTCCAGTCATGTGCCCCCTGCTAGGGTAACCCTAAAGGGCTTCCCTGGCCCAGGGTAACCCAGCCCTGGGGTTAGGTCTGGCCTAGGGAATCGACCCTAGACCACTCTCTAATAACCCACCAAGCAACATACTACGCTCAAAGTGAAGACATCGACCACGCACGTTTAGCATGCCACTGGAGCTCCGCCTCTCTCGCTGCCAACAGCCTTGCCGTTCGTTTAGTCTCCCACGCGAAGAACTGCACGAATTCGATCGACACGACAAGCTCGCTGACCAGGCCCATGCGCTCGTCCGCCGCCTGCGACCGCGCGCGGCTGATCGCCGTGCCTCATTGCGTGAAGAACTTGTTCAGCCGCCAGCTGGCGAGGAACACCACTAAGCCGGCAAACGCACTCCAGCCGAGGAAGGAGAGCCATAGAGGATGTACAGTCGCTGCGGGCTGTTGAGCGAGGCCTCCTGAGAGGAGACTGAGTGCGCACCGAAGTCATGGTGGACATCTGCTCCGCTTCTGTCCACATCATGTTCATAATCTTACCCGTATCTACCCAGTTCCCTGCGGTTAGCACCTCCCTCCCAAGCAGTCGCTCGAAATCAACACACCTGCAGCTCATTTGGCACCGTCCCCAACTTGGTAACAGAGCTGCAACCTGCTGTCCCTCCACCGCAGCGTCTTGTCATAGATCGCTGCCATCAGCTCGGAGCGCACTCGGAGCGCACTCGGAGCAGCGCCCGGCGTTGGTACCCTGCAGCAAGGTTCATAAATGGGAAGCGCAGCTAGGCGATTGACAGAGATGCTGGACAGACAGCTCCGCATTCACCAGTCACGCGCCAAAGATGGCCCCCGCGTAGAAATACGCGAACGGCCGGTCGACCCGAGCCAGGTGCGGTTGGTCTAGTAGGTCGAGCAGACGTCTGCGGTTCATCAGGAATTCGTAGAAAGGCGCATGAAACAGACGGAGACTGACTTGAGGAAGTACGGGTTTGGAAGGTACAACGGAATGCAAACCGGCGTCCCAAGAACCTCTATTGTGAGATCGAGCGCGTTTGCAAGCAATTTTCATCAACAGGAGCATACTCGGTCGTGAGATTGAGCGCGTTGGCGCGCGCGATTTCCATCAACAGGGACGTGGTACCGTCCAAATGGGAGTCAGGGCAAAGGCAACGCGCGTGAACAGAAAGAAACACGTGCTGGAACTTCCAGAACACCGCCCGCGATGCATTGGTCGCGCTGAGCTCCCACACATCTTTGAATTCCAAAGTCGAGTGCGAGCCTGATTCCCTGGTTCAGGCGATACACCGGTGTCCCGAGAGATCGATCCTCACACGTCCGATCTTGGGGTACACCCAGCTGAACACGGTCGAGCTCCACAGCGACGTGTAGTCCTCCGGCGAGACCGAGACCCCGATATCGACGGGATGCCCACGGGAATGCGCAGGACCACGACGAGAAGCAGCGCCGCGACGAGCGTCGACGCTGATAAAGCCCACACGAGAGGAACGGACCGGTGGACAGCGAGCATCGGGTGATTCATCGAGATCTGGTGTGGGGGCACGTCGACGACCCGGCTCTGGATCTGCCTCTGGAGGAACAGCGTGCCCAGGGCATCCAGTCCGCCGCAGACATGCACCACGTACAGCGCAAACTAGTCGCACGGCGCCGTGACGGGTGGAGGGCGCAGTGTTAGGCGCGCGACAGCATACACCCACGACGCCGCGACGAGGAGGCGACTTGGTTTCATCGTCTTCGCCCCTGCTTTCCCCCTCGTCTGTGTCCCTGCGCTCCTCGCACGAAAGGATGGCCTAGGCCTCTTCGAGCGTCAAGAACGGCCGGAAGATCTCGGTGCGCGCGGTGATGGAGCGAGGGAGGAGGAGGCGCGAGACGCGCTAGCGCGACGACGAGCGTCGACGACCCCGCCCAAACCCAAACCCAGGCCCACGGTAGCGCGAACATCGGTGGCCTGTGGGTCGTACTGTAGGCAGGACTGACGGAGAGTGCCAGCAAGGCAAGGACGGATGGAGGATGTCTTTTTTTTCGTGGAGCCAACTATCGCGGGGATGATATACGCGTTACTTCGCCGTGCGATCCGGAGTTTGAACGCTGGAGCATCGACAGTGAGGGGAGGCCGAAGGATGGATCTACCGAGGAAGAGATCCTTGACCATCATGAATTATGTAAGCTCTGGCAGACACTTCGGGTGCCTTTCAGCACCTGGAGCGGATCTCGGGAACACCGATGTCGCAGTCCTGAATGTAGGTCACAACTGGTGACAAGGCATCTAATCTTATCTTATCATTGCGGCAATGTATACACCCTGCAATCTGTAGAGACTCAAGATATCACAATTTCGTTCCAAATCGTACAAAATACTGGATACGGGCGCCCCGCTGACTAGTCAGTGGGATCGGCGGGGTCCTGCGCGCAGTAGACGCTGCCGGAGCACGTAGTGCCGGCCTTGGGCGTTAACCCTAGTCGCCGCGTTCATCGGCCCAGAGCCACGTCGTGCTCTTCCTGTTCCCGACGTGCGCCTCCGCGCCGGTAAAGTTGTTCTCGTCGATCGAGATGATGGCGCTGAACTGCTGCGTCGCGCCTGCGGTCACGAACGTGCCGCCGTCGATGTAGTCCACCGCGCTGCCGGGATTCACCACGTTCGTCAGCGACGGCGTGGACTTCTTCCCGTTCAGGACGATGTTTTTGGCGTCCGAGCTGCTGGTGAATGGGTTGTCAGTGGCAGGGAGGAGAGGAGGGGAGGTGCGCGGCGTACCAGGGTCCTGCAGAGGATAAACGAGGAAACTGAGTCAAAACGCACTGACATTGACCCTAGACGCCGCCCTAACCATCCAAGCTACCCAGCTCCAGTCAGATTCACCGTCAAGATAGCCTGGGTAAGCTGGGTGCGTTTACTCACACACGCTCACCGGATCAACTGGGACGACGTCTGGATAGTACAAAGAGCGGTCAGCAATCGAAAACCTTCTCTGTGCTCCGACGTACCATTATAAGCACGGACGGCCTCATACTCGGTTCCAAACCCCCCAGCTGCACACCAATCCATACGTTCCCACTCGCTGTAGCGATAGTGTAGCGTTTCTGCACATAGGTCTGCGTTAGCCCAAACTCCGCGAGTCAGATTCCGACAACGTCTTTGGGTATGCTGCCTCGAGATAAACCGGGCAAGGCCTGCGATGCAGCCATTACGGATCCTCGCCCACTGCGCACATCGAGTGGAATGTCTCCGTTGGGATCCGGACGGCCACGCCTGGGCCTCGAAGCCCCCGCAGTCGGAACGTGTCAGTGTGGTGCAGTGCGGTGAATAACATCCACAGGTCGGTATCCCTTTCAGGGCCTTGGTCGGATCTAGGCTTCCTCAGAAATTCTTTTCATCGTTCTCGACTGGCTCACGATGGCGGATGAGCGGTCCCGCACCTCCTCTCGCCTCCAGAGAGGAGGACTCGCTTCTGGCGCGACCGTCGGTAGTAGACCGGATATTTCTGCTGAGGAGCATTGCTGCGCGGTGTGACCTGGAGGTGAGAGTATCGTGTCACGGCGCATAGCTTTGGGCCTCGTCTCCAGTTTTCCCATTTGCGATGAAGTTACCACGAAGCGTCACCAGGAAGCCATGTCAATTGTTTTGACGCGAAATGGAGTGCTCCTTTCCCGACCTTCCATGACGGATCACAATATCGCCACCAGAGCTCGAAGCAAGGGAGGCAAGCTGTTACCCGTGACGTGTCCTCCGAATCATCCCCTGGGAAGCACAATCCCCAGACGAGAAGTACATGCGTGATGATCAGAGTAGCGCCAAGGCTGAAGGAGAAAGTAAAGGGATCAGAGAGGTTACTGACTACAACGGGATGTCCTCCGTCTCGCCCAGATCATCATCGACGTCACCCTCACTCCTCACACCAGCAGATATTGTCTCTTTCTCCACGACCGGCGGCGGCGGAACCTCAATACTCTCTGGCTCAACGGCCGCATCCGCAGCATCGGAATCCCCGGGGCCAAGACTTGTCGGAGACGTGGGCGGAAATTTAAACTGCATGTTCATCGTCCCGGTCTTGCTTCCCCGCTTCTCCATCAAGGCGAGCCGTTTTGCCTCCAGCTCAGCCACATCAGATTCTTCATCCTCCGAATGTGCTTCTTCAACAGTGACGACCGGCACGGTTGGTGGTGGGATATTGCTAACCGACGGCCCTACAAAGGTTGCAGGCTGGCCAATGGGCGAGACGGTCGGTGGCATTGACTGTCGCACAGCAGCTGCGCTGGCGGGTGAGCGTTGGGTGGGAGATGCAGCAGACATGGACTGTGGGCGCCGAGAGGGTAGCGCGTTAGGCGGTGTTGCTCCCAGTCCGAACAGCGCGATAGGAACTAATCTACAGCCAGTGAGCTTCGCGAACAAGAAAAGGCGCAAACATACGTACCGACGCTCAGACTGGCACGCGAAGATCCAATGCGGCTGGACGATGGGTATACTCAGCTGCACAGCGCGCTGATACTCGACCTCAGGCACACCGGTCGGTGTATGCGTATTGGGTGTGGTGCACACGAAGTGCGTCGTGTCAATCTCAATCTTCTCGCTCCACCGTGCGCCGATGCGCTCCAGGGCTTCTTTCGCTTGCTCGACGAGCCCTGCGTCATCGACGGTCCCGAAACATACACGCACACCGGAGGTGTCGGTCATGGTGTGCGTGTGCACGCGAAGCAACTCCGAGGGGAACGTCCCCGCGGTCGTGCGCAGGACGAGCTGGAACGTGTACTCGGTGTCGAGCTCGAGTCCCGAGATCTTGCTGGAGGTGTTGGTTGCCGGGTTCGGGATCGGTGCGAGGCGCTGCCCGTTGCGGTAGAGGTCCAACGATCGCAATTTGGCTGTGGCCAGCTCGATGGGGGGCCACTCAAGGGTCACGGACGTCTGTGTCACATTGCGCAGCTGGGGGAAAGGAGATTCTGAGCATGCATTCATTTCTGCAAGAACAGACTGCGCACCTGGAGTTTCGGTGGCTCAGGCGTACGCACTCCAAACTCGTCAAGTATCTCATCCTGCAGCGCCCAAAACGCGGCGTCTCTCCTCTTCTCTTCGGCGTGGTTCTGTAGGACGGAGATGTTGACGATGGATCCAGTGGTCGCACCGGGAGGAAGGAGGACGGAGGGAAATTCGATCAGGTGAGCGCGTTCGCCGAGAAGGATCTGGTGAGCGGCAGTGTGAACGGTGAAGCGACGTGGATCATTAGTCGTACCGCCATGCCTGCATCTATGCACGAGGGATTAGCCCATTCCTTGGTGATTTACACAGGCTACGTACCTAATTTGCCCACGGTGAACGTAAAGTGGTCTTTCTCCATTGTGGTCGGCGCGGAGGAAGATGTGTCCAACCCTAACCTTTCGTGATGCTGAAACTGATGTGATGTGGCCTGGGCACTCGTGCAATTCTGACAATAAAATTCTCCGTTCTTTCATTGCTCTAGTATCTACCTACGTAAAGCTGAAATCCGTTCATCCCAGTGCATACTTCAGGCTGGACTCCGCCTGCGTCCTATGTCGTGCTTGTCCGTAGTAAACATAGCCAGCATCTAGTCCGTGTTGTGGTTGACTCGGACTAGCTGCAGATGACCTCGATGGACACCACCCCGCTGCAGTCGCACGCAGAGGCAGAGAATAATGTGCCCCCTCGTCCATATGGCTCCAACAAGGACCCGGATACTCGACGTGCTGGTATCTCGTCCTGAGCGCGTGCAAACCCGCATCCACGGCGCCATGAGGAGAAACGGTTGCTGAAAGACGCGGATGCGGAGCAGTGCTAATGCATTGCGCTCCATGCTGGTTACTCTCGTATTGTTTCGACGTTCCTACGCTCAGTAACGGTGCGATATGTGGCAAACTCAGCCCAGTGTGCATCTGCGTCGTTGGTCCGGGACTGCCCTCCCCAGCATCGCGATGCCCAGCAGTGCGAGCCGTCGTCTGTGGATCTAGAGAGCTGAGCATAGGTGGTAGTCGGGGCCCAGGGTGCTCGATGATCACGGAAGCTCGCTGGTCCCTGCGCACAGTGAACGACACACTCGATGCTGTATCGGGCATGATGTAGCGCCACGGGTGGTCGAAGGTTGAGAGCTGCGTCTTCTGAGACACTGGTGGTTTCGACCGCTTTGGTGCCTTAGGATGGCGTTGGGCCCTGAGGGCTTCTGGCAATGGTGTGTAGGTGTACAAGGGCTTCTGAACTCTCGCCCTCTCAGCCCAGTCCACGGTGACGGTACTGGACCTACAGACTGTCGGAACCGGGTCGAATCGATGCGAGACGACTCACCGCCTTTTGAATCTGTCACAATCATCCTCTGAGTGAGCCTGCCTGACTATGACATCGTATTTGTCCTCGTCGGAAAATGTGCGCATCCAGCCATGTTTTTTGTGCAAGTGGCGCACGATGCATGATTTGCGAAGGTAAACTCGATGGCAGGCGCGGCAACGAAATGACGGGTTCCCGTCCTCCTGATTGTCTCGTGTATCTGGACTGCCAGGCGATCGAAGGGGAGTCATATATGCGGCGGGACGCGTATGGAGAGGCGATGTGGAAAATTGAAAAGGAGGGTTTTTGTCGTCCCTTTCCGCATATCACCGCTTCCATAATCGAAATTGTTTTCGCACACGTCCCTTAAGGGTAACAGCCGCACGTCAGAGCCCGACCTCGAAGTCAAATCATGATATATTCTCATTCTTCTTTCTCACCATTCTAATTCTTCAGACGCTGCCAGAGTTTTGCTCAGCGAGTCGATTTACCCGCTGAAAGCTGCGACTTATGTCTGCCAATCATCTTTATCCTCATTCATCTCCTCAGAGCGATTCATTCTGGCGCACTTTGCAAAGTGCAGCAGGAAACAAAGCCGTGACGTTGAACAAGAGTATGCGATAGATCGTCGAGAAATCGCCGTCTGGCATTGCTGTTCACAAGCTGATTTCAAACTGGCTTTCTCGGCTTTCTGATCGATCGAATTCTCCTCTTGTCAGAATTTCGTGTTCTTCAACTCGAATGAGTACTGTAAACATCGAGGCCCGAGCATGAGACTGAACATGAGCCGAGCCGGGTGGGAATCGGAAGCGTCCTAGTAACGTTGGCTTTTAGCCTCAAACCCGTAGTAGGCAGGGTTATTCATCGTCAGTTGAATCATTGGTGCGCGGTCAAACCCGACAAATGAGGATGCCCAAGGGCACGCGGGATACTGGAAAATTTTCTTCTGAGCTCCTTTGATGTTCTTTCTGTCCTTTCAGGTCTTTGCCCTGCCACGATGTAACCTTCGCCTTTTCCATGTTACAGCTTAGTTACTTTTCCCATCTACTTCACATAGAACGAAGCTTCAGGATCAGGAACTTGAGGCGGTGCCCAGTGATTCCACGTCAAATTTCTTGATACGCGCAGCTGATCGAGCGTTTGACTGTTGGCGTCGTTTGAACACCAGGCTAGACCATCAATTTATTCAGCGGACCAAATCATCCTTCCTAGTGAATGAATCAGAATCTTTCCTTTCAAGGTACGGCAAACGTACGCCGCGCACAAAGAAAGGATGACGTGTCCTGTGACTGCGATCATTCGTGTGACGTGGCTGTCGATCTCCGCAGTTTCACCCTCTGCTTATATTGACTTACACGCAGCTTATCTAGACCATCTTCTTCCCCTGCGCCATGGATTCAATCCCATTTTCTGCCACTCCCTCCAGCAGGATCCGCGAGCGTCTAACCAGGTTCGTTGGATACAGTATCAGTGTGTGAGATGTCTTGATTGATCAATTTCTAGACTTGAGACCGCATATGTGGATCCTTGCCGGCAGTTCCTCCAGGAGTCGTACGAACAGCATCCTTTCTCAACGGTCAGTTTTCCTGATGGGTTATTCGGATGTTTCTGATCAGTGGCCAGACGTCGCTAGCCATCTTTGCCGCCTCGAGCTTCGGACCTCTCGTAACTCTCCTGTACGTGGATTCTAGTTCTAGTCGCGCACGAGGTGATTTAATAAAACAGTGCCATCGGGTCCTTGGCTATTATTGCTTTGATTGCTGTTTCTTTCGTGGTCGCGGGTGCCATAGGCATGTGCTCCCCCATTCCATCAAAGGCATCACGAGCTAATGCCCTCCTCAGTCCTCTCTTCAGTCGTTCTTTTGACTACTACTCTTGCATCATCTTTTATCACCACGTTCCTGGTTACGAAGGCGCTGGAGCGCCTCCAATCCGCCCGTGCACGACTCGCCACCGAGCAACCGCCTGTCGAAACCGCGAACGTTGCCGAGCCCGAAATCGCCAGCCCGATCAAACCATCAACAGCGACCCATGCAACCCTGTCGTTCATCGACGACCTTGCCAGTCGTCTTCCATCTCTTTTCAAGGAGAGAATCCCATTCCCCCTGCGTCGTTGGCCGTTCGACCGCAAGGCACGATTCGCATTGCTTATCGTTGGTGGCCAGTTGTTTTCCAACATCCGTCTCCCCCGTGTACTCCGCTACACAGTCCCTTATTCTGTTCTATTCGGCTCCAGCTTCTTCGGTCCCCGCCCCCCCTTCCTCCAGCGGCTTCCCGGCCTGCCCTTCGTGATCATCAAGTTTACGCTGTTCCGCCTCCCGATGCGCGTCGTCGGATGGAAGTTCCCCCTAATCGTCGCTGGACTCTACCTAGTCGCGCATTCCAAACGAAACCGCGCCAATGCGAGCCGTTCGGTACAGCTTGCGCTGCAGAAAGTGCGCGAGACCGCGAAGAACGTATGTATCCCTGAGGAGGAGGAGATCGCCAGGGCTCTGGCCCCGCTGTTCACTGCCCTCTCCGCGGCTCTGGGAGTGGTGTTAACGAATCTCATTCCTGAGCCTGCGCAGGAGCCAGCGGCCCCAGTGAACGAGGGTGAGTCTGTCGATATGCTTCCCTCGGTTACCGTGCCCCAGGCCGAAGTCCCAGAGGCGCTTGCTGGTGTTTCGGAGGAGAACGAGAGTCGTAACTCGGGATTGCGTGCGAGAAGAGTACAGTCATTCGGCGACGAAGAGTAATACAGTCATCCTACAGACCTGCTTACTGTAAAATCATGCCCTCAATGGTTTAGTCCCGTGGTTTTGATTTGCACTGCACTGTTGGACTGCCTCGTGAGAACCCAAACGCACTGCCTCTTGTAATTCTTATTGCACAGTTTCTCCCGGCATCTTGGGAAGAGAGATGGTAAATTCGGAACTTGATTGAACTTAACACTGGGACGTGCTACAGTCGTTCTTCGAAAGCCCTTCCACTTAATTCGAGCAGATTTTTGGCACACCACACGTGGACTTTTGGGACCCAAACAGCTCTTGTACAAAACGGAGTCTCGTCGTTCAAATTCATCCGGTTTATCCAGGACGGCGACACGGAGTATCATACACCCAGAAGCTATACAGTTGTCCTGTATAGAACCTGTTCTTGTTCTAGTTTCTCAGCCGATCATATCGATGATCACTTGCGATCTATCACTAAAAGTTGCTGCTCGTATCACCATCTAAGTTTCAAATTTTTCCCCGATCAACTCTTCCGTGATTTCCCACAACTTCTTAGAATTATCCTGCGTTTCATGAGCCGTTGCCAACAATTCAGTCATCGAGGAAGAACACGAACCAAGCTCGAGGTGTGTGGCGCCAGTTTCTCAGTGTTTGTAATTGTGGCGGTCACCTTGCAATCGTTGAGGTACGCCCCAGACTTGTCTTTGAGACTCGGGTCAAACGCAGCAGTGACAGTCGTCGCGGCGCCCTGGGGTATCGTCTTCCAGTTAAAATCCTTCGTGTTTGGCTTCCCTTCAGCATCGAGGATCTTCACGGCTTGGAGTATGGGAGCGGTCACGTCTTTCTTGTTGATGTTTGTCATGATGACTGTCCGTCATCCGTTTCAGCGTGATGTGTGCTGAACGTCACAAATGAAGCTCACCTCCGGGATGCAGACTGAATGCCAACACCTTGCCTTCGCCCCGGATCGCAAGTTCCCTCGCAAACATGATGTTCGCCGACTTGGCCTGGAAGTATGCCAGGCCCACGTTATGCTTAGATTCATCTGGATTTCTTTTCAGTCCGTGCTCGAAGTCAACCCCCTTCCCAAACAAGTGCGCGTTGCTCGCGACCATCACCACGCGCGGAGTGAACGTTGCACTTGCAGATTGCAGCAGCTTGGGAAATAGGAGCTTGGTGAACAGGAACGGGCCCAGGTGTGCAGTCGCGATCTGGTTCTCGAACCCGTCTACAGTGAGCTTGAACGGCGCGATCGCCGCAGCAGCGTTATTGACCAGCACCTGGAGCGCGCGCCGATATCAGCATCAGGGGCGTGTGGGAGGGTAAATGGTGTGACGAACATGGATCGGCTCTGAGTAGGCGTTCACCTCCGCCGCCGCAGTCCGCACGGCAGACAGGGATGAGAGGTCGAGGGTTAGCTTGCGAACATTTGCCTCCGGCACATGCTGCTTAATCGCCGCTTCGGAGAGCCTCAGACGCTCCGCATCGTACCCAGTGATGATGACAAGATTTGCATACGGCGCAATCGCCTTCGCGGCCTCGAATCCGATTCCATCGATTGAAGTTCCGGTGATGAGCACTACAACGTTCAGGGAAGAGGAAGATAAGCAAGCCAGGCCACACACCGTTCTTGCCTCTGATCTCCGCCGTGAACGCGGCCGCGGCCTCGCTGGCAGTACTGCTGAATGATAATTCCGTCGTCATGTCCGTTTGCGACTGGGGTCCCAGCCGTGCAATGCCTCGCAGGTCTGTTTTACACACATCAACCGACGTCCGCTTCCGTAAGCGATGACAAACCCTCGGCCGATGCACACAAATACCCGAGGACGCACCATTCGGTGACATGGACAGGTTAGCCGAGTGTGCACTCGTGAGGTCGAAAAGCATCACTCGTGTGCAGGGCCGCTTGATCTATTCCACTTCGAATCTGCGACGGGCGGTCCTTGCCACTAGAACACCCACGTGATCAACTTTGGATGCGACACAGCTAGTAAACTCGAGCGTCAACTACTCACAGCTCAGAACATCGAGCAGGAGCTTGCTTCATGACTCTAGTGCAGCTAGATGTATTTCTGAGGTTCTTGTCTCGGCTACGTGTCCAATTCGAGATCACGTGCGAACGTTGGGTAAGTCTCGGCGACCTGAGGATCGTGTCACCTTCCCTGTTGCACAACCAGCACACGCAGACAGCGGACTCAATAAATCAACAGTTTCGTAAATGAAGAATCGCCGTATTAGCCCGTCCTGAAGTCATCAAGAAAAAGAATCGCCATCAGCCTAAAAAGCGCCGATGAATTATCCTCGCGAGGCCCAGAGGGTAGACTCTGAGCGAGCCTTTCAAGGAGAGCCCCCTTGATGGATCAGTGTCTTGCACGTGCATGCTGACTAGATATAGCGTCAATTTGGATAGGAATTGGGTATGTTCGAACGGGCCGTTTCGGGCCGTGCCACTTTAACCAAAGTGCACCTGGCCCTCAGTCACATGTGCGCGTTCGAACACGGAGACAAATTCAGACTTGGCGATTGGGCGACGGCATGTCGTCTTCGCTTCTTGAAGAGAAGCAGCTCCAGCAAATCGCAAGGGCCTTGTGCTTTGGGGGAGCAGCAGAAATACTTTTCGCGACGCCGTGTGGAGGTAAATGAAGTTGCACGGCGACTACAGGCCGAGACAGAACGAACAATCAAGAAAGCAATTCATTACGGCTATAAGGACCATCTCGGACTAAAAATAAGACCATCACCACGGCAATTAGAGCGCACATCGTCCATCTCGACAAATCGAATACCGGTCATCCTTATGCCGGATTCGGCACTCTGCGATTGAACTCCACGTGCCTCGTACCTCGTGACACAGAGTGACTCACATCGAAGCAGCCCTGTCCTAAACGCCAACGACGCGGCCTCTGATTGTGCGGCCTCTCACCAATACCGGGTGAGAATCGCGTCTATGTGGTATGGGCCTACATCATAATTGTGCACTCAGCATTGCGCGGGTAACGTCCAGGAACATCGGACCGCGGGCGGCGTAGGTCCTGTCGGGTCGGGTCCGCCGGGTACACCCGGGTGCAGGGTTCGCGAAGCAGAAGACGACTGAATCTGATCCGTTGTCCGCTGTCGCGTGTGGCTGGGCGATCGAGCTGTGCTCAGTGAGTCATCCATCAAGATGGCGAAGATAAATGAACAAGACTAAAAAAGACCGTCTCGATAGTTTGTGCCTATCTAGAGTCACGGGGCAGGTCTTTCTCCGTGAAGGGTGAGCCCGAATGACATGCTCTGACGCAGTTGACGAGCCAGCCACACACTTTCTCCGTGAGGGCTTTTTGGATGGGTTTCTCACACACACACAAGTGCAAGATCTGCGGGAAATGCGTTCTTGGAGACGGCGGGGACTTCCAGTACGTTAGTTTGCTCTTCTGGTCATTCGAAGTCCCGCCGCTGTAGGGCAGAATCCATCGAAGAGGCTGTTTCTGTTCCCATCCAATCAACAGCGAAACAAATCAAACCATTTGTGGCAGTGAACGTGTTTGTCGCCGACAATTGGCCTACTGGATCCCGCTGATCAAGATCGCGGGCCACATCGTGGATGATCATGATGGTTCTCCTTGAAGTTCAGCTCGCGCAGCCTCGAGGGGGCTCGGACTGATCATCTGCGCATTCGCCGTGATGCTTCGAGAGATTCTCACTTTCTCGCCCTCGTGTGGCACTGCGTGGGGATACAGTATTGATAGTCGAGCACTGCCATCATTAGCCGTCGGCCCTTGAAGGATCTGCTTTCGTCCCTGAAAAGGATCGACATGCTTATCCGAGGACAGGGAGGGCTTTGCATCCTCGTACGTACGCACTGTCGCTCATCTTTGTCCTCCGGCCCATTCTTCTATAAACCAGCCTTCCAGTCGCTTTTGGTCCGGCCGATCGCACGTCTCCCCGCTCCTGCGACACTCAATCTCTCTCCTTCTCCGCCTTCTAGATAATGGCTTACTGGCTGGAAGCATCGACGGGCGCCGATGCGCTGACACTCGAGCACCTGCAGGCGCATGCCACCTCGCTGAGACGGTCGATTTCACCAATCAGTGACGACCCAATGCAAGCCGCCTACCCCCTCACTGCCGCAACCTACGGGGACTACATCGGTGGCTGCAGTTGGACGCCGCCTGTGGCGCAGGACGCGGATTCCCCCACGGTGGACGTGCTGCACTCGGTACTCCAATCGCGCAAGAGCTGGAAGAAATTTCGTGGCGGGGAGACAGTGTGGCCTCTAGAGCTTGAGTCTGCGTTGTTAGAAGGTCAGTTCTGTTTACACGCGACTCCCGCGATCGGATTGTGTTGAGCGTGGCGACGATAGGTCTAGGCGCGTACGAGCCCGACGATTCGCGCGAGACACGGATGCTCGGGCGTTTTCCGCGTCGCAACCGGTTCATATCAGACTACATTTTCGAGAAAACGGGCCAGCGCCGGTCCGCGAAGCAGGTGGGCAGTCGGCTACAGCAACTTAGAGAGTCGTGTGGCGGGCAAAAATGTGCGCTTTTCCACCATCTCTACTTTTGTGATTGGTCGGGGCTCAAGCTTCATTGTTAGCCGTGCTCCACCTTCTCTCGCCTTTCAAACGCCAATATCCGCGACGTCGAGATTCCCCTTCTCCGTTCCCCTCGTCTCCGGACGGGTCTTACGCCCCGCGGCACGTCGCCGTCTGTATCGACATTGTTCCACAGGAAGATGCCGGGGACACGACACGGGCTGTATCGCCATCGTCCAGTTGTGCATACTCCGACTCTGGCGATTGTGCAATCTTTCACCCTTCCCCCGGTCCTCGGCGTCTTGCGGACATTGACCCGACAATCACGCTGAAAGCATCCGTCGTTGTATGCGCCGAATCGCGCTTCACTGTTCAGACAGAGGGGTCTGTGATCCACGTTGAAGCGGTTCCGCTCCAGCTCGTCTATCGTCCAGAGGAAACAAGCGGCGAAATGACTCTTTACAGCACGCCATTTGTACCGAACTATTGGGATGTTATTACCCGTAGCCCAGGTGAGTGCTATCTTGCCGTATCCAAGCACCGGGGCCTGACGAGATTCCCTATGCCAAGACCCCACACGCTTCTCGATCTTCCACGAGGTCCTACGCGTCGAAGAACACGCGTCCAAAGGCCCCGAAGTCGTTCTATTTTCCGCAACATATCGATTCAGCTACTCCACCGTCGCGTCAGCCTCGGATTCAAGCCGGAATTCATCCCCACAGGCACAGTCGCGAGATCACTGCGACCCTGGATCCCTGAGTGAGAGAGACAGCTACACCCCTGACGTCCACGTCCCCGACGAGGAGGACGAAGACGTCAAGTGGCACCAAGTCTCCGCGCTGCCGCTGTACGATTACGCGAACCCAGGCCTCCCGATTCGCAGGCCGGGCTCGTCGAGTACCAGCACAACTTCAACGACGACGCGAACGAGCACGTGTTTCCCACTCGAGCTTTCGAATTACGTGAGTGGGTTTGATAAGGATGCTTATGCTGGGAGTTGCTAATTGACGGTGAAGGTATCTTGAGGTTAATACTTATTACGCTTGCGCCGGGCGCGGAGTCTACGATACCCCCATTACTTACTGTCGATGCATATCTCCTCGAACACTCGGTCGCTCCCAGGTTCTCCGTTCCATCGTCGCATATACCATCGCTCGGTTGAATTCCGTTCCTATGCTGCCATCCCACGTCGCATGTCACATCCTGTTGGAGATAGTTTTAAATGTGCATCTCCGCCAGCTACTTGAGAACGAGATTCCAGTCACCGCGTGCTCTGAGTAAGGATGCATCATGTATCATCTCTCACGGTCCACCTTGAAAACTTAAACTGTAACTACACATCCGGAAATACTCGAGCAAAATTAGGATTGGCAGGGAGAAACGGACGGCTCGGGAGCAGTCTCATAAATACACCCACGTAATTGGAAAGTCCAGGGTGCGAAGCGAGTTTTCGGTCGTCGAAGTGTGAGAATGTCTGCCAGTCGAGTTGATCACCCGATCGCCCCGGGCAAGACCGAATCAGATCATGCGCGCGTTGAGCACAGTCTCAGCCTGTCGTGCCTCCTCGCTTCCGGCTCCATAGACACCCGCGCACACTGAAATAAGAGGGAACCGACCACATATGATGAACTCGGGTCCCGCGAGGATCGCGAATGACGCACCACTCTTCAAGCACGAGACGATTTGGATGCGTGTGGTGAACTCTTTCGGCATGAGCCCCACATTGATGTTCTGCGAGATTCCCCGCACAATGCCCTTGCCGATGGCGGCCTTTCTCGCACTGGCCGTAAGGCCTGCGTGTGAGGCAATGAGTCCATCGACCCACGTACGCATAGTCATGCCTCCCGACATCCCTTCCCAGCGGGACATCTCGAGAATCACTAGGAGCAGAGTTTAGCTTTCGCGAGGTGGATTGTTTCCTGTATCACACGACGAAAGGGGATCCATTATCCATAATGAGGTAGACATCTCTGAGACAAAGAACCGTCTCGAAGTGGAAAGGGCGCACCACACGACACGACAGACATCGCCGCATTGTCAGTTCTTGCCAGAACCGGGGCCACCCGCGCGAAGCGTGATCGTAGCAGAACAAAAGAGCCACGCATCCAATTGACTGACTCACTATTCGTCACCCCACACACGACCACCGCGACTTCGTTCTCCGCACTCCCACCCGACTCAATCCCCATCTTGGCGTCTGGAAAGTGCTTCTGGATGGTCGACATCGGCGCCGCATACGACACGCCGTCCCCCGCCTGCCCAACAACGACACTGCCCGAGCCCGTGATCCATGCCCTGGTCTGGTCCATGGCAGTATAGATGTCATTGCGGAGGGTTGGTGCCATAGCTTTGGGAGCCTCTTTCGCAGCAGGAGCCGCGGCGGCTAATTGGTTTGTCAGCTGTCTGAACATCGAGGAAGGATGGCGTCTGGGTGGTGGGTGGATGAAGGCGGCGTCTGGGTCTGGATACACCTTACAGCCTTACAGCCGCGCCTGGCCCGCGTGTCCGCCTCGTGGCCTGATCCGGGTATTCACGGCACCAGCCCGTTTCTACCCATTCTCCCGACAAGTCGCGCGACAGGCGTGGAGGCATGCTCTACTGTACAATTATACATTGTTTACGAGACACATCTGCGGTGTTTACGTCGATTTCTCCGCAGCTTTTGTCGGCTGTATACAAACGGAGCACCCCACTTGATCAATATCCTCTATCTCCCGGACACTGAAGCACTCAAACGCACCTCTGCTCCATCGGAACGCGCGATGACATCCTTATCCGTTTCCGCTTTCAACTCTGCCAGCTCCTCCTGGGCATCGGCAACAGCGGCTGATTCGAGATCGCGCTGCATGGCCAGCTTCGATCCTGTCCTTCCGTGGAAGAATCAAGATGGCGCACCTCGTCTTCGAGACTGCCCCAGTTATGCGCACCGCCTCCCCCTTTGGGCGTGGAGGCGCTGTGGCCCGCACGATCGGTCGATGTAGAGTGAGCGGTTCGGGTCATGGTGTACGTATAGAAGAGTCGACGATCGCGATGTTCACTGGTTCTCTTATACCATGACGCGTGTTGTTTGGCGTTGCTTGTCGCATTCTAGGCGCGAGGCTTCAGACTTCCAGACTGCTCCGGCGATCGATGATGGGATCGATTAGACAATCTTATGTATCATCTTAAACCACTCATGATCATGCTGTTTAGCCTAGACTATGGTCAGGAAACCTGGAGGCTTTGGCTCGTTGGGCGGACTGTATGGGATTCTAACGGTGTCGCTTTTCATGCAAGTTGAGCACGAAATGAGACTATTGGATTCTGCGCAATTAAATCAATCGGCAAGGAGTCACCAAGCGTTCACTTACCTATCACAATCTGAGTTATCCTAAACTAAAGTTCCCCCTTGCATGTCTCTCCTTAGCTGCTCGACACGCCCAGCAGAAATCGTCCACACGGTCCAAGTCCTGTTGGATCTCCGGGCCGAACACCTGCCGGGAGATGGAAAGATAACAGATCGATAAGTTGGTTCATGTGCTGGCGCCCCTGGAGGATGCCACTGACTCTGATGCAGTCTCTCGAAACACACCTTCCACGATGTTGTATAGACTTCTCGCACCGTGCGTCATTGCAGTCGACGATGGCCACTATCATGTGACGCTGGAAATGCTGTGATGAAATGGCGGTAAACATTCGGAACCGACGAAACAATGAAGAGAGATCAGGATGTACATTACAGCGAGTCCAGCGCGTTCCTTGACTTCCAGGGCAGTATCCTCAGATCAGAGTCTAGCCTGCTCGAATAGAAATGTAAAGGCTCACGCTATTCTTCGGCACATCTATACAACGGAATGAGTGCGGTAAAAACGAGGGCGATCGGCGAAGAGAAATGGATTAGAGTCGGGCTCGCCCGCAGACGCATTTTATCCTCTTTCATCGACTATCGGGAGGAAGCGGGGAGAAAAGATCTTGACCTGGACGAGGGAGCGATTCTCTAGCTCCGGTCACTTCATTAATTTCCGGCCACTGGGCCCCGACGGGTCTTGTCTGTGGAGCCCCGAGCTTCGTTAATTCGCTGCACGCAAACTTCCTAGCTCGGGGGAGTCTAGCACTGATCAACACATTGTGGCTAAAGAGGGATTCACGCAGAACGCATCAATCGATAATGCGTCAGGCAGATAAGCCCAGGCCCCAGTCTGAAGATGGGTGTCGGCTCACATCACATTCTTCCCGAGCAAATGCGTACGTGGGGAGTAGAGCTGAGTACTAGCACTAGAAGATAACGAAGAATCAAGATCCGATAACACCGTCTTTCTCCTTCTCGATTGTTGGCTCCACCTCTGCTTAAGAAGTCTGGAAGACCACGAACTTCCTCGTCAGCAGATTGAACACACTGCCAAAGATGAAAGCCACGACCGAGCAAGTGAATATGATCACGTTATATGGCATGCTGAAATCCGGCGTCGACAGATCTACAAGCAACGTAGGCGTGTAGATCCTCTTTCCCTCAGCCAAAAGAATCGCGGGAGGGAGGTCCCAGCCACGTTGAGCATCGGGTGGGTGCTCTGTATAACGCAGGAAGGCCTTGGTGATCTCGATGCTCAGATGCACACTGCTCTTCGGTGGCAGCTCAAGCATGGCCTGGAACGTTGTTGCTCGGGAGTGGGGAATGGGGGGGATGTACGAGAAGTTGTGCACGAGGTCGTCTGCATCATACACAAGATTAGACTAGTAGCGCAAACAGAGGGAATAAGACGCACTTCTCGGCATCCCGTTCAATCTCACAGTCATCGTGTGGAGATAGAACTGAATGATCCACGGCATTGTCTCCAAGTATGCTGTGTGAATCACATTCGGTCCCTCGTTGACCATATGAACCGATAGTCTGCCATGATCTTGAGTTGGCCCCTCCAATGTCCGGCGGATGGAGAGCGGGATCTGGGCATGAGCATCGGCTGGGCAGATGTCAGTAATCTGTGACCACGCACGGTTGCCAGGCATCTCACTATGATGGAAATCGGACGTCCATTGTAAGCCGACATCAAAGGGAAGACTCTCTGGGGCTTTTTGAGGGGGCGGAAACGAGACCGGGAAACAGCGTACGGGAAGCGACGTCGAACAACGCGTGCCCTTCATGGAACGACGAGGGCTGGTGCGAGATCATGTACCCCTCATTCACAGGCAAAGCCACCGCTAAACGACTATCGCTCGCGGCAGGGCAGGCGTGCTGAATCTTCCGATCGAACAGCGACGCAAGCGACCAATCTAGCCCAGCGGTAAGCACACACGAGAAACAAAGCGCAGGAAGCACAGCCCACCTCGTTTAGCCGTGCCCCGCACCGGGTCAAACACTGCCTGGATAGACAATCGCGCCTGCACGCCGAACGCAGGGTCCCATGTCACATGCAGCCCGATCCCATGCCAATCTGCGTCGAACAGCTTGTGTGGATTGAGAAGCTGCGCGAGTCCCGAGCTGCCCTTGCACGGGAGCAGTTTGAGGAACGGCGTCAGGTTTTCCGTGCAGACGTGTTCGGAGGGGACTGAAGCGTGTCGCAGTATGTGATGTGGCCTGGAGACCGGCAGCGCGCCTTCTGGAGCGAAAACGAGCGCGGGAGATGTCGTGCGCAGCTCATCCAGCGACCCAAGAGAGGCGCAGAACAGGCCAGCTAGAGCGTTGCGGAGGTCGCGCCAGCGCTTGTCAATGCTAATGCGATGAGCGTGCGCTTCATGTGCAAACGGCACGCACGCACCCAGCATCGTCACCTCCGTGGTCTTTCGGGTCTCCCATCCAAGCCCACAACTCTGCACCGGTGCCTACGTCCTGCTCATCCGGATACCCCCACCGCTGATAGTCCCACTTCCCAGCATTCAGGGTAAGGTGGAGCTCGGTCACCCTGTACTCGCGCAAGATCTGGCCTAGCGCAAGGGGAAAGAGTGTATAGTGTTGTGCTTCACATGCGGTAAGTTATTGTGAGATGGTCAGGCAGGATAGGATGGTGCGACACACATTCGCCTTGCTTAGTCGTCACCGCAAACGAGAAGTGCGTGGACACCTTGCCGTCCGGGAGCGAGCGCACGGTGAGTGATTCATTGAACGTATCTTGACTTTTTGCGCCCGTGACCGACCAGAGAAGGGGAAGAAGTAGTCCAAACTTTGATACACTGGGTCGCATGAGACGAGCGGCGGATCTGGAATGCACGTGCTTGAGATATTTCATTCACGAGTCTACGGCAAGTCACGTGCCTCCCCTCCGATGTTTCGAACTTCAAGGATGATACCCTCAAAGTCTTCAGGAAAGTTTAACGAAAAAGTTATTTGAGAAGGCTTCTTGGAGTATGGATATGGTTACTATCAGTGACTGGGAAGCGGACCACCTAAGCACATTTGGCTCTGGGTGACAAGAGGCAATAGGTTTTCAGGTAGCGTAAGTACACCGAAACATGACCTAGGGTGTAAGAAGGTGGGTGCAAGTTACTGTTTGACATTCTCATGACTGGCTCTCGCTGTGCGAATATTTTCCCGTGGAGGGTGTCAAACCGGATCAATCGGGCTAGTGGACCAGACGTGGGAAAATGACACCTGGCACGTTTCTGCCAGCGTTTCTTGCCGTCCCTCCCCCACCAGCTACAATATCCACATAATACATGTCCTCTACTATTGAAATATCACTCATCTGTTACCTTCAGCTGTGTGTCCTTCAAGAACTTGCGTCTGGAGAGCTTGAGCGGGTCCTCCAGCTCGTGCATCTCCAGGTATTCATCCATCGCGGTAACTTCATCGACAGTCTCGAGTGGCTCCCACGTTATGTCTCCATCCTTCCACACGACCATGAACTCGAGATGCTTCCGTTGGAGCCACCGGTGACCATTTATGTGCACAATCTCCGTCTCGTTTGGGTCGACTTCAGCGCCGTCCAGAATTGACCTCGAGATAGCAGCAAACACACTCAACGGCTCCTCCCCACCCAACGGCGGCTCCTCTTTGTCCAACAGCGGCTCCTGTTCGGCCAACGGTGGCGTCTTGTCCAAGTCTTCTAACGCTGCGGGGCTTGCATGGGAGTCATGTGAGTCGCTACTCTGACCATCGCTTTCGTCGCTTTCTTCGCTCGTGTCATCTTCTGACTCTTCCTCACCCTCGTCATCATCATTCTGTTGATTTGGGCCGCGACCGCATCCGCCATTCGGTGCTCTGCCTCGCGCTCTGCCACGCGCTACACCACCACGGCCTCGGCCCCGCCCACGGCCCCGGCTACCCTGCACCTGCTGAGCTGCCTTCGACGCTTTTTCCGCCGCCTTCTTCGCCTTCTCCATCGCTTTCGAGGCTGCCTTTGACTCCTTCTCAAAGACAGCTATGCTCTTCCTGATATCCGCCAGTTTCTTCTTCATCGCCTGATGGATCTCGCCCATCGCCTTCTTCTGCTCATCAAGCAAGAGAGCCTCCAACATCTCATCACCAGTCATCAAGCGCGGGGCCCCAGTGTTGTACGCACGGCGCTCCTTCTTCTTGCCATAGAGTTGCTGACGAACACGCTGATGCTCGGTATTCATCAAGACCATATGCGCATAGCCCCGCTCCAACTCTGCTGATGCTTCATCAAGAAGGCCTCGCAGCTGCTCATTTTGGCTGACCAGGGCGGCTCGTGATGCGTTCCCCAGGAGCTTGGCCGGTACAACAATCTTGTAGAGCGGGAGAGGCTGGACATCGCCCGACAGCAATGAGATATGCTGTTGTGTATCCGCCGTTGTCGCAGCTGGTGGAGTATTGCTCGAAGAGTTTGATGGGGAATCGGGGCAGATTGTTGTCGAAACAGATGCTGACACAGTTGATAGCGTGTCGGCAGCCATTTCTACCTCGTTTGTAGACGGGGTGGATTCGATCGGTGCTGATGCATTGATGGCAGCATCTCCAGGTGCTCCAACTGGCATGTTGCTTTCCACGGGAGCAAGCAAGTGAGAACGCTGAACTTCAAGCACGGGCTGATCTTTTGTGGTATAGTTCTTGGATGGTGCGAAGAGCTTCTGGGGCACAGCAGACTCGTTCAGTGGATGAATGCCGCATTTGCGAAATGCGTTAATGATGGTGGTCTTCTTAAATGCCAATTTGCGAGCTTCATGGTAGTTTTCGATGAGATTGTACTTGTCAATCACAACACCAGCCGTTGTTTGCTTTGAACACGAGTGAGATTATGATAACGAGTTCATTTTGAGATACATACCTTGATGACTTGTCGCTTCCAGTATGTCGCTAATGGACCAAAGACACCAACGTCGCATGGTTGGAGAGCATGCGTGGTATGAGAAGGTAGGCAAATAATGATGATCTTATGGTCCTTTGCAAAGCTCACAAAATCGTAATGGCAATGACTGTTATGTCCATCGAGAAGAAGAAGGCGGTAGTCATTGGGGCTGTCCAAGCGAGCAGCTGTTTGAGGATGAAAATCCTTCCTCATCCAGAGCGAGCCCAGTTCCTGATCTGTCCAGCCGTTCTTCGAAACAGAAATGCTGTATCAATGATCACCATCTGGTCTCGCTTGTCAATGAAGGAATAGTTTCATACCTGGCATTGCAAGGATTGTTCTTGCCCCATCTGTTGTCTCGACGTTGACCCTGGAAGACAAATGAGGGAGCCAAGGCATCTCCGTCAGCGCATAGACACTCGAGAATTGTCACAAGTTCTCGATTGCCGTTAGCAATTGTCTGAACGCCTCGCTGATCGCGATCGACAACAACCGTGATGCGTCCAGCCATTCCGAGTTGTATACCTTTCTCGTCCATGTTGTACATGTTCTTCGGCTGGATCTCGTACTCTTTGATGACGGACTCGAGCATCACAAAGAATTGACGAACGACTGTTGGGTTGAGAGACATAGCCCGACACTCCTCAAGCATTGAGGATGCCTTGATCTGGATTCAAGTTGAGGATATGATGACCGTGTAGAGCTGAATGCTCACCTTGAGATCTCGATGACGTTCCATGAACCGCCGCCCCCATGTCTTCCCGAGTTCCTTCCCAACCATGCGACACGCATAGGCAGTAATCGTGTCTACTGTTAACGGTATTCCACGGTGACCAAGAACCTGAAGTAGAATGAGAAAAGCGTCAAGTCTGACTATGTGCCGGGAAATGCCCACCTTGATGAACTCGACGAAGACTTCCTCTGTAGCAGCAGAGAGGGCACGTTCTTTTGCATGAGACTCCTCTCGAGTTGGAACACCCTCCATGCGAGCGGAAACGGTGGTGCGGCTAACACGATAGAACGTGCATGCTTTCCGCTTCGAGAGACCTCGATTGATGGCAGCAATTGCAAGATTCTGTCGTTCATACAAGGGGAGCTCCCTCAAATCAGCATCCGTAACCAGTTCCACTGCAGTTTCGTCAAGCGAATCGTCGAGATCGAGCTCAGAGTCGATGGCAGTGGTAGCCATGAAAGTGTGGAATCTGAATCGGACAAATGCACGCATTTCTGGCCACGTTCCACAGTTCCGTCAGGGCCAGAACACGAGTGCTCTGTCCAAAGTGGAAGGTCAGATCATGGTATGAATTAGACTTTGTGTTCCAGGTCGCTTCACGTTCATCGCATCACACAGTATATCAAAATGCGATTGTTAGAAGACTGTCATTGGATACAAGTGCGTCAAACTCCGTCGCACGCTTTCCCTTTTGGAAGCTACTATACAAAGTTCAGGGACTCGGGCAGCAGACAACGCGGAGAGTGCAACATACCAAACAAGCTTCGTTCTCATCACCCTTGACCCGATGAGAAGAACTCGGAGCATCTGCCGGGGTCTGAAGGAGCCCAAGGATCTCACTCGACACAGGAGTCCAGCCGATGGGGGTCCTGGGGATAGTGGGAGGAGCAGGAGGAGCGAGCAGAGTCAGGTCCTGCTGAGCACGTTCACAAAGAGGACAGATGATGAGAAGCTTACAGCAAATGATGTGAACGCGCTGCCCCGGTGACGGCTGGCCAGTTGTTCCAGCTGCATTGGGGTTCGGAGGCGCCGGAGACTGAGCAGAGGGTGATTCAAGAAGAGGGCGGCCCGAGGTCTATGCGATGGGGTCCGACGCAACGTGGGATAGACAGATGGTACTCAGAACACACCTTGTGTCTTTCCGATGCATTTACGCCCATATAGGAACCTCAAATCCCCTCCGCGAACAATCCCTAGCTCCGGCAGGAGTGGTGGCACGCCTCATGTTGTCGGCAGCATTGACACGTGGATAAAATCGATTAAAATAGTGGGGAGGCGGCTATTAAAGGTTTAAGGGTGGTAAATGAACCGTGAAAAGTTTGAAGGTCAGAGAGGAAGACACTCACCATGAACGACGGTCTCAATCCAACATCATTTGAGGCCACTGAAAGAGTCAATAGGTTCCAGAGATGGCGCCGCGGGCTGTGGAGTGGGATAGAGCACAAGATTTAGAGTCCAATGTGAGATACCCTGTGTCTAGGCTACGCAGCGCGCACAGCGCCCGCACCAGAAATGTAGCCCTCGTCGTGTGGGAGCGGATTTGGTCAAGAATTTGGCATCGCCAAACAAGGAATCAGACCACAACGTCCCAAAACTGATGGCAGATTGACGTTGTCAATCGACCACGCAACGTCGCCGGTCTCAAACTTGCGTCTCAGGGGTTTTTGATATCCTTCTTTCATCCTACATACACGGAACGGGCTATATCCTAGTGATTTGAGCTGAAATAGCAAAGTGGTCCGCTAGGTAGGGTGGTCCACTAGACCCTCACTGATAGTATTCTGAATCCTTGGGAACTGCTTCCGGGTTGAGGATCGTACGTCCTGCGATCAATCCCTGTGCTAAGGGAGCGATTCGAAGATCATTCCTGTACCGCATGCCGCATTATTCACGCTTATGGGTGTCATTATCTGCTCTGGCTCAGCCGCCTGATATTCCTTGGAGATCCATTCATACTCTAGACGCAATTTTGTGCCGTGTTGTCGATATAATCACCAAGTTGAAGTCAATTAGCGCACAACAGATTTGTAGAATAAACGAAGGATCTCGCTTCTCCGAATGAATTAAAGACCGCGAATTAATACCCTACAGCCAGTACGAATTGATAGCACCGGTCGATAGGAAGGGGGTCGACCTTGAGTCGGCTTGCTCTTTACTCACTAAATGGATGTGAATATCTGTTTGGCCGCAGCTTCAACAAGCCCGCTTTGTTAATAAAGTTCCTCCCTCAGCCTCAGCGAGCTTCATAGCGCCGCTAAGAACACCGCGTCGCCGACATCAAAACCAAACGGTGAGTATGATGCAGGGAATATTACTCGACTCCGGGATGGTGTTCGAGTTGTATCGAGAGAAAGATCAATCAAATGGAGACGCTGACAGAGACATGCCAAGTCTAGAGAACGAAACGCGGAATTTTTGTACAGGTACGGGGGTGATACTAGAGCACAGACGCAAGGTATTCCGACAAGGCGACGGGTGGAAACACATCCTGACTACATTCGCTGAAAGTTCAGATTTGTCGAGGGGCATTATGTCCATAGGCATTAGGCATGAGCAGCCGAAGACCAAAAGGCTGATGCGTGATCCCGTGGAGTTTGCATTAGGGTTTATGTGTAAATTACCCGTCGGAGCAGAAACGGAGCTTCTAGTGAGTCATCCTGAGCCCCTCTTCCTCTTTTATTGCGGGCTGCAGAGGTTCATTATTTCACCCGTATCTCCTAATCTTTCCTCAAGAGAGCTTCAACAGTTCACACGACGTCAGAACGTAAGCCTCATTTAAACTGTGAGCGATTCACGTAGTGAAAATCAGATGCGAACACAAAATGAAGAAGATAGCACACGATTACGAGCTATGGAGAGCACTAGAACATTTCATACATGCTGAGACATCGCAAATGGATACGGCTCCTTCGCCCCTCCGCTCACGATGGAATCTGAGGGTGTTCGGGCACGAATCATCATGCTACGATGGAACGATATATGTCGCCCAGTACCCGTCCCGTTTGCCTTGCGCCGCCACTTTAGAAGCAGATAGATCAAAGGCGCGGAAAACAACACCAACAAGGCGGACCCAGTGATGGTCACGGCGATGATTGTCCCCTTGGCCGCAGACGAGGCAGGAGAACTGCCAGCCGGTGGAGCCATAGCTGTTCCAGATTCTGTGGTCGAGGAAGGTAGGGAACTGCGTAAAACCGTCTCAAGAAGATGCTCCATGAATTTCGTTATCAGCTCACCCTGTCTCCTCATGTCTAGATCCAGCTCCTGGGGTCCTAAACACGGTTTATATCGTGGATCGCAGAATCACGGCAAAGACGACTACGCACCCATCCAAGCCTCTCACAGAATTCGGAGGATCTCCGCCGAAAACTTGATTGAAATTATCGCGTATGCCGAAAGTCATCGCAGGGAGGGGGGTGGTATGGAATACGTCTACTTCCAAATGAGGAGGGGAGACTATGACAGAATGTGCTTCCATCCTCAAGGCAAAGGCCGAGGTCAGTCTCAGACCGAGCAGGACAAGCGTGAACGCACTAACCCACCGGAGTCGAGTCAGCAGCGCACTAGCTAGTTGATGTAAGGAGAAGCTCACTAGTAGCAGTGAAAGCCCCAAACATTCATTCCAACAAAAAGAAAGAGGATACCGTCGTGGAGAATGAAGAAAAAGAAACAGCTGCCAGAGCGAGAAGAAACAGGATGTAGAGACGGAGCAGAGAAAAGGCTCTCCCGCCTCGATGGTCGTAGATTGAGCACACGTCGTTGTTCTCATCCTTCGCTTGACAGTTCGTCGTCATACCGATCAGACGAAGTTTTGTGATCAGAAACAAAGATCAGCGGGCTACCCTCGAAATTGTTGCCCTTGGCACTGGAGTTCCTCGGCGAGCGTAACCCCGGCTGACGGACTTAAAAGAGGACCTTGAAACCTGGGACATGCTCGCGTCTCTAGTCGGTGGTGACTGCCTGCTATTTATATGTATTGAAAAGAGGATTCTTGGGCCTAAGGACCGGGCAACATTCCAACAATCATTGCTGGTGGCAACTAGGTAGGTAGCACATACATTTGACACAAGATATATGTACATGGGGTTGTAAAGGACAGATATGCATAGCACATAGCGCTACTCTCGTAAAACAACATTCAAATATCGTAAAGGAGGGTGAGCTCGGCATCATGAAGCCGGTCAAGTAAGCAAGCGAGTCACTCGTCAGTAGTCGTCACAGTCATAACACATCATAAAGCAGTCGTCTAGAAGCAAAACTTCACCGCAGTCGCCTCCCCCGGCTTGACGAACCTCGTCCGCACCAGAATGGGACCCGCAACACTCACAGCGAGACACTCGCCCTCCCGCCCGGCCTCGCGGGGGTAACACACGCCCCATTCGGCCTCCGCATCCGTCTGCTCCTCGTCCTCCCAGCAATGCGACACGGTCCCATGATGCGGCGGCCGAATCGAACGCAGGATGAGCGTTGGGGTACGTCGGCCGAGCGGGGCAACCGACCCAGGTGGCGTGTCGCTGTAGTCGCTGCAGTCGCGGTAGCTGTAGCTGACGCCAGGGATGTAGCTCCAGGGAACATTTCGTGGCTGCCAGCTCGTCGGTGCGACCGTGGCTACGAGTGCGGCTGCGGCCGACGGACGGGAGGGGCTGCAGATCGTGGATGACGCTCCCGAATTCTTTCTCGAGCTCGGTGTCGCAACGAGGGAAACCGGCGGGGTGGCTGTGGATGCGGGGATTTCGGCGATTGGGTGCGGGGAAGTGACTGTCATATCTTGGGAAGCGCTGCGCGACGAATCGGAAGACTCGGAGCCAGGAGTCAGGGTCAGATTTGCGGCATCGGCTTTCGTAGAAGCTGACTTTGGCGAATCTGGCACGGGAGGTGTCTTACTGGGTGAAGCGCCTGGACGGCTGGGTGTGGAGGATGGTCTGAGCACAGGACTCGTCGGTGGCACCGATGATCGAGAAGAGGTAATGGCAGGAGATGGGGGCGTCGGCCCCGACTTCAATTTCGAGGGAAGAACGAGTCGAGCAACTGCGGACCGTGGCACACCTGCTGTCGCAGCTGAAGGGTTGTCGACAGTGATGCGCCAAGTCCCTCTCGGATGCGGCTCCAACCTCTTTACAGGCGTGCGTGGTGGCATTTGGGACGTGTATTCGTACAACGCATCAGCGTAGTTCTGATAGTCGGCCGCGGTCGCAGCTTGGAGCGGCATCATCGCCGAAACCCAGAGGATGGGGGCAGTGACTGCCGTTGCGTAGGTGTTCAGCATCGCGACTTTCTGAGCTCGAGATACGGCGGGGGGTTTCCGAGCGACGTTGGTCCTCGAAGACTGGGCGGGATTATGGTCAGTGGGAGTGGCACCGGAGTCGCGTGAGCACAAACGCACCTTCAGACGAGGCGTTCCACCGCCAGCCATGCCCGTCAGCGTCGCTCCAGCGTAATTCATCATCGGACGTAAGGTGCAATGCTAGAGGAGGTGGAGAAAGAATGAGAGAGGAAGAATTCGGAAAGCATTGTGCACACGCGCAGGCCGTGCTTTGCATCGTCGGCTAACACTGAGCCAATGAGGAGCGGAAGGTCCGACTCGGTGATCGATAACAAAGGCGATCAGCCTCGTGGGATCATGACACGGGTTGATGTTTGCGGCATTGTTTGGATCCATTTGATCCGATCTTCATCTTCATCGATTTCGTTTGAGTAAGTTGTGGATTCGACCATTATATGCAAAGATACGCAGTAAACTAAATCATACCACTGATTATGTTTGAAGTCGTTTATTCAGAAAGCTCTCGGTATAAGCTACCAGTTTCACCACACAGAAATCTGAACCAGAGTAGCCCAGCATCTGCTGCCCCAACATGTTACCCTAGTAAGTTATCTCAGCAATTGAGTCATTGCGATGAACAAATAACGCACCAAATCGCGGGCCATACTAGCCTCAAAAGCAGTTTCACCCGATTTGACTCTCGGGAAAGTGAAGCGACTATCCAGGTCACCCCACTTATTTCGAAAGAACAGACCGCGCCGACTGGAATCCATCAAGGCATACAGTACAAGCTCTGCAGAGTCATCCTGGAGATTTGAGAATACGCTCTTGTGACAAGCTAGCAGATCTTACCAGATTCACTGGATGGGAAATGGTCTGTATTATCCGGTTTTGGACGCGGCGGGGAAGTATGAGCAGTATTAGCGACTGGAGGCGGGTTGCGACAATCGTGGATTCGGGGTACATATATGTGAAGGCGATATCGGGGTACTTGGCCGCAAACCACTAGAACAAATGCAGTCAAAGAGAACTGGCGCAACGGCAAAGCAAGGCTTACTGCTACCAACACTTGGTTGTATGTCGCGGCGATCAGCATGCCCTGATAGTCCATGAGGAACTAAAAAGGGCAGTCAGCAAGAACATTTCATTTGAGGTCAGCGGGACTCACAGGGAGAGTCCTCCTCCCCTCCTCGTGCGCGCGATGAATCTTTTCGGCGTACTGTTGGCGTGCGCGCACGAATTGGAAGTCTTCTTCTGGTATGACATGCTTCTGGGCAGCGCCAGACACAGTCAACACCTGGGCGTCCTCGTTCCGTCTTCTCGCGGCAGAAACGAGATTGATGAGAATGGAGACACATAGAAAGTGAGAGAAATAGCTGGAATTGTAAGTTGAGAAAAGACTAGATCCAGAAGGTCGTATAGAGCGCACTTGATAACAAGATCCTGCTCGAATCGGGCCTTGGTTCCCTCCTTCTCCTTTCCCTTCCGTGACGCGGTCGACGCGGTCAAGACCAAGAAGTTGATCTTCCCTAATGTGGCAACCAGGCGATCGCACACTTCTCGCACGTTGCTCAAGTCACTCGCGTCGTACGCAACATACTCCACCTCGACATCTGTCTCTAAACCGGGCTTCATCATCGAGCTGTGTCCATCGGAATCAGTGATCGCCTTCTTGCTTGTCGTCGACTCCGTGTCCGACTCGTAGCGGGATGGTACGGTGGGAGCACATGGCGGGCCCAACACTAGTACCCGTCCTCTCCCGAGCCTCCTCCGCATCTTTGCTGCCAGCGCCCTCCCGACTCCGTCCGTTCCACCCACGATCACTGTTACCGGGTCGTCGTAGTCGATCCTGATGGCGTCATTGCATAGGCGCGCGTCGTACAGTCGGGGCATGGTAGTGTCAGGAAGAGGGTGGTTACAGAGTATCGGATTCCGTACTGCTCGGGTGGCCCATGTTTTCTAGGTCCCGGACGTACGCGCAATGCTTACCCGAGCGAGTGAGTAAGATGATCGAATCGGCCCGTTTAGGCGTAAAATACACCGTGCGGGTGGAGTCGGGTCGTAGTTTGTCAGACTTTCCACCAAAGGATGACTCATGGATAGGTCGAGTCCAAGACTGAAGAGGCGCCTCTGGGATACCCTCCGCACGCACCTCACAAAGAGAGCGGACGACCCGAGGGAGACACCTGAGTGACCGCACCTCCTTAGTCTATCCGATCATGTCCCGTGACCGGCAATGATCGCAGCCGGGTTCACACTAAGTATCCTAAAAGGGGTTATGCAGTAAGTACTAAGCGCAGACCGGAGGTCGGGCATCAGGATTAGACATGATCGAAAATGAGCTCTTAGAGAAGATAGCTTCTTGCGTCGAGCTTCGACCTCGAGCCTAAGACGCGAGCTCGACTAAAGGAAATTCTCAGTTCACGAACTGAGATTTATACATGGCTCTCGGAGAACCCCTTATGTGTGCACTGTGGATGAACGCTGAGTCACGACGTCTGATCTTTATGTGCATGTTAGCGCCCACTTGATTCCTCGCAGATTTACTCAAGCACCGGGGCCAATCATCATTCGGCCTCTTCAGCTAAAATATCGAATCGGGCCTCAACCCACATCGCTCTATAGCCATCGTTCATGAAGATTCGGAGGACGAGAATATCACCGAGTTGGATTCTGCAATTTTTCCATCCATTGCAAGGTGATGAATGTGGAGCCCATCTTGTCCAGACTAGTCTCTCGGACGCGATGCTCCCGTGTCGAGTCTCTGAAAATCAGGTGATGCCGCGGACGAATGAGGGTACATAGCGGACGCCGGCAAAATACGATGAAGCAGGTGCCCAGAGTAACATTTGTGCACAAACATCAGGTAGTGGGCCGTTCGTGGTCCACGTGTTGGTCCGGGGGTCGAGGAGCACCTAGTAAGTGCCCGGTGGCCTATCGAAATTGTCGGCCCCTATACTGTGTTCGAAGCTCCTTCCGGTGAGTTCATCGCCGAATGTAAGCGAGCTTGAAAGTGACCTAAGCCGATCTCATTAAATTTGCAGGGGAAGCATACAAAACACGATTAGACTTCAACACGAGCATGATGTTTACATTATCGGAGTACAGCCACAGTCCACATCAGAAGACCCCAACGACCCACTTTCTCACCGCTAGAGATCCGCCAATGTCTGGATGCAAAAGCACACTGCATAGCCACGCTTCGAGCGCCCTCCGCCGTCGTGCGAGAAAAGCTGCGCGGTACCGCGAAAATGGTGACTTGGGCGGGAGAGCGGGGAGGTGAGCGCGGGAATTGGGCTGTGTCGTGAAGCTTGAGACTACGAAGTTGGATATAGCCCCGAAACCCACCGGTAACGTCCGGAGAAGTTGCGTTTCCAGCGCAACAAAGTCGCTGTACCGTTTATGTGCATGGATCAGAGTCCCGTCCTTCGTCTTGATGCTGCAGTCGTACACTGGTCCCGGGAACGTCAAGAACCGTCGCCGTCAGAGACACCAAAAAGACACACCGACGTATGCCCCACCCAGTGAGTCACCCACACTTGTCCACCCAGCGATGCTCACCTGGCGCGCGAATATACTGCCCTCGGCGCCAGAATTGTCGTCTAGCCAGATGTCGTTGCTGAACACACTCGGTGCTGTCGGTGGGGAGTAGGGTCTGTTTTCGGGGCGGGGCTCAATTGGAGAGACGTCCTATTAGATACAAAGCAGCAGTTTAATGCAGACCTGACGACTGGCTTGCTGGAAAAAAAAACTTACAAAGACCATGTCATCGTAGATCCTGCTCTCCTCCTCGACGTCGATACTCGAGTGCATTACTTCGATGCGGGAGTTTGAGTTCGCCCATGGGTGGAGAGGTCGGGCGGCCGACGAGGACATAATGGTGGTGAGGAGCAAAGAGCGGGGACAATAATGACGGAGTGTCTCACGTAAACACCCTCTCGTGATCTTTGACGCGACGTGTGGCGGTGCCTTGACAGAGCACCGCCTTTTACTTCCCCCCTGACACCATGCATCGGGCGCTGAGCATTCCAGAGATCGTGCGTCAAATTGCGGGAGAGATGGACCCAGTGAACAAGAAGGAACGTCAAGCTCTCGCTCGACTTGCGGCAACGGCATCTATATTCCATCTTGAAGCGATTCTTGTGTTGTGGTTCGGAGACGACGAAGGGAAAACCGTGACGATGCGGCGTTTGATTGTAGGATGCCTGCCGGCTGAGGTTTTCCGCATACATCCAGAAGATCAGGTTCTGGTGGGTCTCTCGTCCCATGGAATGCCGTCCTAGGTTTTGAACCTTGAGAAAGGCCATGGCTCGTCCAGTCTCTGCGTCCGAGTGGACCAGATTCCATCTCTATGCCTCAAGGATACGCAAAATCTCCTTTGAAAATGCAGAGTCGGACTTGCATCACCTGATACGCGCTCTCCACAACACTTCCGGTCAGCCATTCTTGCTCCCGAATCTCCGGCACTTGCGCTGGACGCTTCCGGACCACCGCTCATTCTTTGCGTTCGTGCTGAGCCCGCTCCTGCGCTCGCTGGAGTACGATAACTCACGAGGGGAGATGACGGCAGATATCAAATCTCTCGCCAAGATACTTCCGCGCGCTTGCCCTTTGCTCGCACACCTGCAAATTCTCGGGCCAGTATTCACTGATACCACGGCGCAGCTCCTGAGAAGGCTACCTCATCTCGCTTCGGTTACAATCGGAGGAATACGCTCTCACGAAGCGCTCGAGTCGATTGGGCTGGACGAGCGGCTGGTCCAAGTCGAAATACGGGATGTAGATCGGGCGTCTATGACAAATATCGCCGTGCGATCCCCAGATGTCCGATGCATATTTGTCAAAGCTCGCATTCTTCGCCTGGCGATGGATCTCCGGACAGTATGCCGGCTTTTACGGCGCTGTTCACATTCGCGATTCGATCATCTCTCGTTCCAGCGACCACACGGTTATCTCCATGTCGCAACGCTTGAGGCTCTGTTCCTCGCTCTCTGGGAGGGTTGCATCGAATCTCGGAAGACACTCTCAAAGCTCGAGATAGAGAGCGGATATTGGTTGGTCCCAACAAGGGACACAATATTCTCACCCTCGCTGCAACCTTTACTTGGCTTTCAGAGCATAGCGGAACTCGTTCTCAGTACCAGTTTCATCGCGCTTGACATCGACGACAACCTTATCGAGCGTATGGGGCAAGTGTGGCCTCGGTTGCAGGTTCTGGACCTCAGGGGCGGCTATAACTCCGGCATTGTCTGTCGCGTCACTCATCGTGCGCTACTCTCACTCGCGACATCATGTGCATTCTTGACACGATTAGCTATAACATTCACGTCCACTGGAATAGGGAGCGAGGATGTTGCTCAGATCGACGCCCAATGTGCGCTGCAAAAGTTGGACGTGCACTTGAGTCCTTTCCCCTCCGACGTCCCAATATCGACTCTCGCAGTATTCTTCGTTCGACTATTCCCCTTGTTGCGAAAAATCGGTTCAGATCGCGTTACAGAGAGCTTCATTGATCAATTCGAAATCCAGTTGGATCATTGGAGACTGTTGGAGATGGAGCTGATAACCAAGCACTCAAAGCGCCTGCTCGAGCCACACTTGGATCCGTCTCCAATCCTCAAGTCATCTGAGTAGCTACACTACGATTACCCGATCCTCTGTTTCTACCCCATCATTCACTATATTCTTCCTTGTAGTCTGGGCAATTTGATTGGTTGATCTCGGCATCGAGCGACACAACGGACAACCCAATGATGTGCAAACATTGTGAGTACGATAAGAGTATCCAATGCAGGTGTTTCATGGCTATGTGTCAGGCTTGGGAACGGTAGATCGGAACCTTTGCATTATTTGCCTTTTAAAGCCGAAGTAATTTTGTCCCGCCGCCTTGACTCTGCCGAGCGCAGCCATGGTCGTTCCCTTCGAGTATGTACCGTTACTGCTTTTCTGGGACTGTATAATGAATGCAGGCGCTACATAATCTCTACGGCTCCGATCAAAACTCCGCAGGATAATCCATCAGGAAGTCATCAGAGCGAATCTCGGCCTGGAGGGAACTCTGGACTGCTGACCATGGACATGTGAACGGCTTCTCCTCAAACGGACCGCCGCTGCTCCGGGGGCTTAACTTGGCGCAGCTCCAGGGTGTCGATGACACCTTCCTCCTATTCCCCCATTCTCTGTCTGCCATGAAGGAATTCCCGACGATCAAAGCGGTTCGGACATACATTACGCAGGGAGTGGGCTCAGGTGGCGACTACCATAATGTGAATCGCGGGCATTGGCTGGTCGACAACTTCATCAGGTGGGCATGGTATCGCCGCACTATCTTCCGCCACAAGCTTACTGTACGCGTCGCTATTTCCCAGTGTGCCGATGTCAAAGTATCCTGAATACCGTGCCTCACGCACTTCATGGGGACTCAACGTTCTCGGTTCGTTCTGTGTCGAGATCGAAGCAAGCGATGGCACCACGGGCTTTGCCACTGGCTTTGGTGGTCCGCCTGCATGCTGGATAGTCAAACATCACCTCGAGCGCTTCCTCCTCGGCGTCGACCCGCGCAATCTCAACCGCCTTTCGGACCAGATGTTCCGTGCCACGATGTTCTACGGACGCAAGGGTCTCCCCGTCGCGACGATCAGTGTTGTCGACCTTGCGCTGTGGGATCTACTGGGTAAATTGCGTGGAGAGCCGGTGTACAAGATGATCGGCGGCGCGATCAAGGATGAGCTGGAGTTCTACTGCACCGGGCCGGAACCCACTGCAACCAAGGAGGCTGGCTTCTGGGGCTCCAAGGTCCCGCTTCCATTTGGTCCAGATGAGGGGCCCGCGGGGATGCGCAAGAACATCGAGTTCTTGACTAAGCACCGCGAGAGCGTCGGCCCGGATTACCCGATCATGGTCGACTGCTGGATGAGCTTGACAGTCCAGTACACGATAGAGCTGGCTACTGCGTGTCTGCCGCTCAAGATCGAGTGGTGGGAGGAGGTTCTGCATCCGGATGACTCGGCCGGGTATGCGTTGATCAAGCAGGCGCTGCCTCATGTGAAGTTTACTACGGGGGAGGTATGTTCGTTTCATCGTTCTGACGCGAAGAGTTATTGACGTTGATCAGCATGAATACACACGATATGGATTCCGTGAGCTGATTGCTCCGCGCCATATTAGTATTCTACAGCCGGATATCATGTGGCTCGGGGGTAGGTCACGCTATTTTCAAACGTTTCATGCAGAGCTCATCGGGAACAGGCCTCACGGAAGCACTGCGTGTCGCTGCACAAGCCGCAGCATACGACATTCCCGTTGTTCCGCATGCTAGCGGAGCTTACAGTTACCACTTCGTCGTCAGTCAGCCGAACTGTCCCTTCCAGGTTCGCCAACGACTTGCCACTCGTGCTTGTCACGATCTGACATGCTTCAACCTGACAGGAGTATCTTTGCAACGCACCGGACGGTAAATTTGGACCAGGTAACAAAGGTGCTCTTCCCCCTGTTTTCGGCACATTGTTCGAAAGCGAGCCGGCGCCCATCGGTGGGAAGTTGCATGTGTGTTGCCAATCTCTTTTGCGCTTCGAGGGTTTCAGGTCTGATCTTCACTCGACAGATTTCCCAGCTGGACTCTGAGCAAGGTGGTTTTGGACTTGTGGTCTCTCAGCAGGCCAGACAGTCGACGCTCGTTCCTGGCGATCTACTCGTAAATCCGTCCGTGGCTAGACCCCTCGAGTCGGCCAAGGTTGAAGAGGTTGTCGAATAATTTATCCGAAGTGATGAAATGTATAATAAAGTGTAACAGTGCACTGGAGATTGAAAGATGAACCTGCTTCTGAAGCTGAGAGATGAAAATCTTATTCAAGTGAGCATTTCGGGGGCGGTGCCGTCTTGGCGCATGGGGTTAAGGTCAACAAGACCCTTCCTTCCATGCATTCCAGTCGCGCCGGCCTTGGTCTTCGACCACCACTCCCTTCCGGCGGCCAAGGGCCTTCCTTCTCTGCGCTCGCGCTTCAAAATCAACATCCCGGTGGCCAGCCTCCGAAACAGACGACGCTCTTCGTAGGGTCCATTTCAGGCGGCGTCACCGACACAACACTCAATGCGCTCTTGACTGCGTGTGGGCCAATAGCAAGCTTCAAAAGGCTAATCACGCCAGCTGGAAAGCCGCAGGGATTTGGATTCGCGGAGTTTGAGACAGCGGATGGCGCGCTGTTGGCGCTTGCACTGCTGAACGGAATCGAGCTGCCTGCGCTCGAGGAAGGGTGCGCAAACAAGAAGCTACTAGTATGTCCCTCCTCATCCTTCCCTCTTGCATCTCAAAATGCGCACTAAAGATCAAATCCGACGAAAAAACGACCGCGTTCTTGAACGCCTACGCGTCGACACGGCCCGCACCAACCGCACACTCCCAGACAGCGAAGCAACTCATCGACGCTGTGCTCGAGGACCTCTCCCGGGCGGCACAGGCCGCGCTAGGCGGGGAGAAGGAGAAATACGTCATTCCGCCGCATTTGCACGATCTGCAAGAGGCGGATCTGCCTGAGACGCAGCGCGAGCTGGTCGTGAGCGAGATCGCGCAGTTTCGAGAGCGGGCGGCGAAGAAGGAGCGGGAAAAGATGAAGGAGCTGGAAATACAGACGCGGAGCCAGATTGCGGCTTCAGCCGCACCTGCTGCGCCGAATCGGTGGGGCGGGGGCTCCAGTGGCGGCGCCGGCGGTGCGCAGGCTGGACAGAGAGGCTCGGACCCGGAACCAGGAAGCAGGGCGTTCGGAGGTGATGCCCAAGGGTATGGTAAACCCGTGGAGTTCGTCAAAGGGGCAAGCAGTGCTGGTACACCCACACAGACCGACGAACAGATGGAGGCTGGGAGAAAGGAAGCAAGGAGAAAAGAGGAGGAGCTATCCTTCAGAGATGTACGTTAGTGCTGTCGCCGCTTTTACTTCGGCTGACCTCTCACGCAGCAACTCCGTCGATACGAACCGCGAGAACGACAACGGCTGGCTGCGCTGGAACGGGCGATTACACGGGATCGTGCGATCAAGTCATCACACGCACAAGTCAAGTCAGACATGTCGAAGCGTCTGGCGTCGTACGACGATGACTCTGACACCGAGCAATCGGATCCATACCATGCGGATCGCGCACGCTGGCGGGCTTCTCGAGCACGCATTCTAGCGCAAGAAGAACGAGACGACGCCACGGATCGAGCAGACGAAGAGAGGGAGAAGGCTGAGCTTGAGCAGGCGAGCGAGATGTTCTTGCAGCAGCAAATGGGTGGTTTGCGACGCGGCGAGGAGGAGGCGAGAAAGGCGGGAATGTTGGTGGATAGCGGTGGGCCGGTCAAGCTCAATGTGTCATTGGCAGCAGCAGCACCTACAACCAAGGCTGCGGCCTCAGGAGATGCCCTTGGCTTCGGTGTCGATGACGAAGAGGACGAGGCGCTTACTCGTAAGCGCAAGGGCCCGCTTGTCAAGCTCGACTTCAGTGCGGCTGAAGCTGGACCGGAAGCTGAGCGACAAAGGCTAGAGGAGATGCGGAAGAGTGTGCCGGGCAAGGAGAAGGACGAACTGTTCCAGGCGAAGATCCGTTGGGACGGTATGAGCGATGTGCGTTGTCTATGCTGCCTGGCATCCTTCCACTGATGTCCTTTCTAGTCTCTCATCGACCGCAAGTTTGAGCCTCTCGTCAAAAGGCTGATCGCCAAGTACTTGGGTGACGACGAAGTGGAAGAGTTGGTCATGTTCGTCGTCGAGCACTTGAAGGACCACAAGGGTCCCAATAAGCTTGCGGAGGGGCTCGAGCCGGTGTGTTCCCTCTCTTTGTCCGTACTCCATACTTGGCTGACTGGCGTGTCAGGTCCTGGAGGAAGAGGCGATTGAGGTCGCAACTGCTGTCTGGCGGCAGTTGGTGTTCGAAAGTATGGCATACAACGATGGTTTACATACTAGAGAAATGATGGTCGAGGATTAGCTGTGTCTCATCCTCATCTTCCACTATCGTTATCTTTTTTACAAGCTTTCTTGACGTATCTTGGGGCAGCCTTTTCGATCACGGATCACCATCACACGACTCATTTCCCTGCCACAATCCATATCTGTAACCAAGAATCTTGATCCAGTGAATGAGGATTTACAGACTTTGTTCGCGGCTGATCAATAGCGCGTATCCTCTCGTATTGTCGAAGAATATGCTGCTTCCCGGCGTCGAGGTCTAGTGTGATAGGGACTGAAGGCGGCCAGAATACTTGAAAGATCAACAGCGTGCAGATGCAGTCGAGTACTGCGGGGCCAAGGTAATATCTGTACAGGCACTAGACGCGAGCTTCGTCTCTGTTCTACATTGACATGAACCCTTATTTTCTTGCATGCGCGCCCACCTGTCGGCTCACAAACGAACATTCCTCGCACTCTAACGCATAATGCGACAATGTGTGTGTTGTGAATTTGGGTATCTGTGAGGCATCGTTTGTTGCAGGCAGGGCACACTAAGCAATGTCACTCGGATCGAGAACGTACTCTGGCTGGCTTCAATCAGTGACAAAATCGTTGCATTTTCTTTGTACCAAGCTAAGAGAGTATCAGTTAGAGAAGAAAGGTCATGTAATGCGCTATGACCCGTCTAGAACAACCCTCATGATGGCTCTGACGCATGTACCGATATCAAAGGCGCACGTATCGCCAGTGTGATCAGCGCTCGGTCTAATGAAGCCGCCTCCGGGAAGAGCTCATCCATCATCCGAAAGACGTCTGGCTCGGACAACTGGGACATGAACGATAGCTTGTCCCGGGTGAAACCAGCCAAAAGAAGCGCTTCGAGCCATTCTGTTGTGTCGATGGGTAGAGGGGAAATGAAATGGCTGATCTCGGCTCGTGTTTCCGGTGTAGGTCTGTATGTGGGTTGATAGGGTGCCGGCTGAGCCCTCCTGGAGCGAGGTTTTCGAGTAACGCGGGCGGATGGTAGTGTTTCACGCGCGTTCTCCCGGGAGGCTTCATCGCCGTCATAGTCAATGTCTTCGTCGCCAATCCTAGCTTCCCGATCTTCAGGTTCATCGCTCATACCCAGCTACTGTGCGCTTCGCCTCAACAGACAGGTCCGGAGGAGAACGACACACCTTATTGGCAATCTCATCCACGTCAACTCGGTTACGCTCCAGACAGTCATCGTCATCTTCGAGGTTGTCTTTGTCTTTGTAACCATTCCGTAGAGTGCGGTACACCGTTCCAATGTCGCACAGGAAGTATGCTTGGAGCGTTTTGGACGGGACATTCTTCCGCGAGAGCGCGCGGCATAACGCGCGATCTGGGTGGTTCAGAAAGGGGCTTTGTTGTCAGGGCGGTTCAGTAGTGCGTAACGATGAGAAGTTGAGCCATACTATCTTCCGGGGCGTCTTTACGGTATTGAAAGAGGTCTCAGTGAGCGTGCAACCACAAGGGATAGCGTATTTCGCCCCAGGAGGAGCTCACCTTTCGATAGGAACAGATCCAGAACGTCTCTTAGACACCCTGGGTCCTTCTCTGGCCATGTCTGTCGCGGGATATGGTGATGAAAGACTCAGTTCTGGATCACGAGTGGTCACAGTGACTGTCGCCGCGCAAAAATTCGCGCGTACCACGTGATCGGCTAATCGTGACAATGTAGCGATTGGACATCTATGTACCTGCATGCCTGCATCTTAGCGAGAGTTTGCTTCCGCTCCTTTTGTTAGCGTCAAGGCTCAACGGCTAACCTCGCCCGTGCATTTTATTAGACTCTGATCATTGACACTGCCTAGCTATACTGATACGAATCATCCGAACAGTCAATGGTATTTAAGCTTCAGCGCCCAGATTTTCCTCCCGACAACAACAGCCAACATGTCTCTAACCAAAGCGAGCATCGCTCTGGGTGCGATTCCAGCATATCTAATCTACAAGATCCTCCGCGGGATGTTCTCTCCCGCACATGCGCTTCCAGGCCCCGAATCTCCCAGCTGGTTCTGGGGCAACTTGAAACAGATTATGGATGACGTGCGCCGCATCCCTCCCCTTGCTGTTACTGATCCCGGATGCGCCCCAAATAGAACGATTCCGGGCTCGTCGAGCGCTGGGTTAAGAAACACGGCCGCACGATGAAGTGGAACACTTTCCTGGTGAGCCGCCTGTTTTCTGAAATCGCTCAGTAGGCTTCAATGAGGAACTAGGGCGGAGCTCTGATGTTCACAACCGATCCCAAGGCTATCCGACACTTTTACTCACATCCGGACATCTATCAGAAACCGGAATCCGTACGCTTCAGTTTATCGAGGGTGGTGGGACCGGGTGTTTTGGTCACGGACGGGGACGCACATCGAAAACAAGTGAGATACCAGCTGAGACAATGGTCGACCTTTCTTTTCTGACCAGCAATTGCAGCGGAAGATCATGGTGCGCGTTGTCTCTCTCTTCCTGAAAATATCTCATGTGTTTAGAATCCGGCTTTTGGAATGCCACAAATCCGGCACCTGACGCCGATTTTCTTGTCTAAAGCACTCGAGGCAAGTCCCAAGATCGCTCTAAGATATGGAAACTGAGCGCTGATGTCGACAAGCTCCGAGACGCGTGGGTTTCGCAAGTCAATACGGCATCAACGGATGGAGTTGAAGTTGAAGTTCTCTCGTGGCTAGGGAAAGCAGCGCTGGATATAATCGGGCTTGCCGGTACGTCTTACATTACTTGAGAGGGCTTTCTTATCAGAAAATGCAAGGCTTCAACCACGATATCGGATCGCTTCATAGCGCCTCGGAAGAATCATTGAGCCCATCAAATGAGCTTGTCAGCATCCTCAACAATAGCGTCACAGCGAACTCCCAGATTACTCTCGGTCGCTTTTTGCAAATTAGGTATCCCGCTCTCAGACCATTTGTAAGTGCAACCTCAGCTGTGTTATCCTTTGCGGACTGAACGCACACTCTCAGCTCGAGTATCTGGACAAAGGCTTGCTCGCCAATCAAAGAAAAATGAATTGCGTTGGCCGTGCACTGCTGAACGACGCAAAAGCAGAGCTTTCTGATTCTGGACACGACACGAGGAAGGATTTACTTTCGCTTTTAGTTAAGGCAAATACCAGCAAGGATGTGGCCGAAAAGGACAAGATGAGCGAGGAAGAGGTGATCGCGCGTGCGTGTTTGCGGAAATCACACCGCGAGCTGCTGTTTGATGTTTTTGCGCAGAGGTTCCTACATTTCTGGTCGCCGGTCACGAAACCACGAGGTCAGTATTATTCCCGACGAGAACGAGATTTGACCGCTCGACAGTACCGCCGTAGCCTGGGCCCTGCTCTCCCTCTCGCAACACCCGCACGTGCAGGCAAGACTGCGTCAAGAAGCTCTTGCGGTCTCCACAGATCAACCATCTATGGACGAGCTGAACGGTCTTCCGTACCTGGACTGTGTAGTCCGCGAAACATTGCGATTGCACTCACCCGTTCCCAATACAAGTTGGTTGAATTTCTTTCGTGTTCTGACTCAGCCAATGCCTGTTTCTAGATCGTCTTGCCGAACAAGATGATGTTGTCCCTCTGGAAACTCCTTATAAAGACCGGTACGGCAAGGTCCACAATGTGCTGCACATCAAGAAAGGACAGGCGGTCATACTGCCCATACTCGCCCCGAACCGAGATTCTGAGATCTGGGGCCCGGATGCGATGGAATTCGTGTACGTCTTCGGTGCAATCGTGCTTTCCCTCTGCATGACTGATGTCGGCCACCCGCAGTCCTGAGCGGTGGGGAAATCGGAAAGCAGGACTACAATCTCCGTTGGCAGGCGTTTGGGGCGATATGTTGACCTTCCTTGGCGGATCCCACAGCTGCATTGGGTTCCGATTTGCTTTGATCGAGTAAGCTAGATTCCAAATCCAGCGAGAACGCTGCGGACTCCGCATTTCACAGGATGAAAGCGATGATTTTCACGCTCATACGGACTTTCGAATTCGACCTCGCTGTTTTAGCAGAAGAAATGGGGCAGAGGGCAAACATGATTGTGATGCAGCCAGTCGAGTTGAAAGGTGGGGACGGTGGGAATCGGTGTCCCTTGAAGATCCGCCTATGTGAAGGATAAATTGGAAGATTTTTAAATAGGTATCGGAACATTTCCCCACTCGTAATATACTCCTTTGTAAAACCCTAATTACTCTAGTACTTGTGCCGCTTGTCACTAATGTCGGGCATACAGCATCCACAGCACCGTCCAATCAAGAACAGAATCGGCGTTATCATCAACAACAACCACGCAAACAGCGTGAGATAGAGCGCGTTTCCCAGTACTGCCGCACCCGCATTAGCCTCAGCCTGGACGCGCTTCTTGACGAGCTCAAAGAACGCGATGTCGAACACAAACACAGCAAAGGCCGCGGCGCTTGCAAAGCCGCAGAAACACGACGAGCAGCAGTCGGCGATGGGCGCGCCGAAGAAGGAGAGGAGGGCGAATGCGAAGGAGACGAGCGCGATGCCGAAAGCGGCGACGTGCAAGACGAGAACCTTGGTCAGAGACGATGCGACAGCGTTGACGCGCGACGTAAGCGCCGGAGGAAGAGTCCCGTTGATGAACTTGGACGCAGCTACGAGTGGGCAGGAGCGTCATGATCAGCGGCTTCTGGACAATTTTTTCCACTCACACGAGAGGGAATATCCGATCTGCGGTGAAGAGCACTGCAAGCCACTTCCGTCCCTCAAGTCCGTGCAAAATCCCAATACGCCCAGATCGACGAAAGCATTTGTCTGGTTGGCTGCAGCGCTGGCGGTGACGGTCCCGTTCCCGAGGTCGATGCGGAGGAAGTAGACGGATTTGAAGTACGGGACGTCGAGCGCGACTATAGCGAGCAGTACGGTGGCCACAGCTACCGAAGCCAGGCCGAGTGTCTTGTTCCAAGAGACCATCCTTCAACGGAAGAGATTCGTCTGGGATGTCACTCGTCAGGCTCTCGAGCGCGGACTTGAACACCGACTAAAGACGTACGAACAGAGAGAGAGAAAGAAGAGAAGTTGCTACCGGAGCAAGGAAGGAAGGGAGAGAGAGCGAAAGGAACGAAAGAGATCGCGCAACAGGGAATGGGGTTAAGAATCGGTACGGGATCCCGTTGGCAAGGCAATGAACGAGGGTTACTCGGCCTCGGTCAGATCATTAGCCCTCCTGATGCCGTCATTGATTGGCATAGACTACCCTATCATTCTGAATATACAATCTAGTTCTACATACTGCGAGCAAATAACAAGTTACCTACCACCATTCATATACGCTATATATGCTTCCAAATCACTCCATCTTTTGAACTATTAGTCAACGATCCGGTGAGACGACATGAGAGCCACTCACCCGGCATTCTGGGGATGAGAAGACTCATGATCCCTCTGATTGGGCCAGATTTCTTCTCCTGCGGATCGATGCGACAAGCCGACGCCCATCCCGCTGATTGGCGGCGTGGCAGTACCGTTCAAGCAAGGATAAGAATGACTCGGCGACGGCGAGAGGACCGTTGAAGCGCTCCAGTGTTGATGTTGAAACATCCCGTCCCAAGACGAGAGCGATTCAGAAAGCGCACACGACGCGTGGTCTGCGGGTAGGTCATTCCTGGCGCTGATAAGCTCGGCCAAAGTGTCACGGAGCAGTCCTGCAAGCTGCCAGCTACACGGCCAGGTTCAGTGTGCAAATTAGGGCGACGGCTACTTCCATTGCAACTGACCGCGTCTCCATAGTCGCGATTATGCGCGAAACCCTGTCGACTTCCGGAATATCAACGCCGGCCCGGGATGCGTCTGCGACGGTGCTTCGATTCGAAATAGTCGTGATGATGAGCATGATGGCAGCCATGCAGAGAGGATTCTGGGAACATGTTGCAGGCTCGCAGGCGGAAGATTTTCGAGAGGAAACCTACGATGATGTAAACTATCGGCGATTCTGGACATCGGTTCAGCCACGCATCAGCGACACGGACGCAGGCGCGGGCTGCGTTCGTGCAGATTGCAAGTGAAGGCAGGTTCTGTGAACTTGTTTGATTCCCAATAAACCACTCCGGCAGACAAAATTACCGTGGGTGGATCCATCCGCAAAATCGGCAGAAATGGACGGTGTGTTATCATCTGGACAAAGTGATAGTGACAATGGAGGGCAACGGATTGCCTGAAGAACGCCTCGGATGCGCCGTGTGGATTCCATCGCACTGTGAAAATCAGGAAACTTCATATCATGGGACCACACCCAACAACTCACAGTGATCTGGGAGTAAGCTGAACCACTTGTTTAGGGCGGAGTCCAACTCGACGACGAGATGTTCCTCCCACGCCGGATCACGGACAGAGTAGATGGCCTTTGTTTTGTCCAGAGCGTACTTTTAATCGATGAGCTATCGATCCAGGGTCGCGAAATCGTACGCACGAGGAGCTTAAGACTGAATGCGAGGACGCTGGTCAACTTGATCGTTGATGTGAAATACGAGACGGCCGACGGCTTTCCGGGCGGTTGCTGAAACAGTGGTACACCATCCTGCTCCCAGTATTCGTCGTCACATTCTGTCGGGAGCTGTACATCAAAGCTACCAGCGAATTAGAAGTTTGTGTGTGTCATACAGGGAAAACGCCTACTCCTCGCCCTGCAACGCTGACGGCCGTCCCAGCGTGCAGCTAAGCAGGCGGTCGTAATAAACCAGCACCCAGAACGCCCTGCGATAGAGTTCTGATGCGACCGTATGCCGCCGCTCGTCCTGGCGGCGGTGCAGCCCGAGCTCCACTGCAGCACGAATGCCTATGCCAACGAGTGCCCAGTTCATTTGTCTCGATGCGCACTCGTTGTATTCGATTGCAAGCTGTAAAGGCGATTCAGCCGTCAGAGGGCATGTGCGAACACGACACGTACACAAAATCGTTGCAAGTCAAGCAGATTCATCGTCTCCTTCCTAGTCATCACGTCCAAATCTAAATCCACCTGGTCGCTGAACATTCGTCCGCTGTTCAGCGGCGTCGATTCGTTATGGACCCGCGGGTCGTGTGAGAATCGGGACCCGATCGCGCAGACGAGTAAAACAATCGCACCGAGCTGATCGTCCAGCAAATGTGATCCGCGAGAGACATCGCGCTCGAATGAGGGTCGGTGGAGGAGCGGGAGGAATAGGTTCGCATGCTCGAAATAAAGCGTGATCAGTGAGTAGAGGAGATCTTGAGGTGGGAAGACGTATGTCGGCTTGGGTCGCGAAGCGGTCGTCCACTGTTGCTATCAGTCCTAGTTGTTATATCGAAGATTGCTAACGCCCACCGACTCGAGGGTCCAGAACTGTGCCCGCTTTCGACTCGCATCCGGCCACGCTCTCGGCCCCAGCGGTACCCCCTCTTTCAGCCGCACAGTATCTTTGATCAGCGCACCCGGGCTTGACTTGCCCAAGAAGCGACTCAAATGGGGCTCGCTCACGCGCAGTTCCGTCATCTGCCGCACCATCTCGGCATAATCCGATGTGTCCTCTGTCGACGGGCTGTCCACAGCGCGGATGCTCAGCGTGGCAGTCTCAACTCCGGGTCCCGGCGAGGGGCCGTGCTCGTCGACTGATTGACTTGGGGTGCGGTGTTTCTCCTTTGTGAGCTGCAAGAGAGGGGTTGAGGGGGAAGAATCGGAGGAGCTGTATCGGAAAACACGTGCCCTACGTATCTGCTTCTCAGCCGCGGCTAACCTCGCCTCCAGGATTTCGGTGTAGCTACGAATGGAAGTAAGGCCAAGCTGCTCACGGCTCGTGCATTTCACGCGACGCGCCTTTTACGTTGCTGGCCATACCAGTCAGTTCTCTGGGTTGAGGGCTAGGAATCTGAGACGTACCGGGGTTGATGTCGACGCGCCGGAGTACACACAGAGAATACCCTCCTCGACGCAGCTAGAGCATTGGCGGTTATCGGTTCGCAGCCCATTGCCTGGATCGAACGGTTGAGAGAAAGTGAAGCCTGCGTAGTCCCCTATTCACTCACATGCAGCTGCACGCAATCAGCCCGTGAGTCTGCTGGACACAGCTCGCATGACGCACTTCGTTTGACCCGACATGCATCGCAAGCGCGTTGTATCCTTCGTTTCTTCACCGGAGCAACGAGCGGCTCGTGTAATACGCCAGGCCCGGGAGAGCCAACAGAGGAAGATTGCGGAGACGGAGAGGACGAGGAGGACATGTACTGTCGGTGATCGTGCAGAACCAGGTTTTGAAACAGAGCACAGCCGCTCGTGTCGGCTGTCAGACGCCTGACTCATCGGTTGCCGGCGGCACACAAAGTCAACGAGGATGTCTCCCAGCCGGCCTAGATAAGCCGCTGCCGAGTGTTCAGAAGACCCCGGTAACTATCTACCTAGCCAATACGTCTCGAGCGGTGGTGTCACTTTTTCACATGAAATGGGCCCATCCGCTGATGTTTTTTTTTCACTCTTTGAGTTGTGTGGCTCAAACATTCCGAAAGTTCAAAATTTTGTGAATGCGCGTGAGATAAGTTTCGTCTGGAGGTTGGGTTAGTTAATGACCATCGCCTGCCTTATTCAGAACTAATCTCCGCAAATTCGGGACTTAGAGAAGTAAGCAAGTAAGCAGCTTAAAACCGAACGTCATTGGGACTGAAAGCTGTAGAGTATATTGATAAGCAAATACTAGATCGTGACATAGACCGCCGCAGTAAGAATTACGTAGAATTAAATCGGACACCTGAATTCCTCCTGAAGCGTGGTGTATTAGGCATAAGCGTTCACTTGACTCGCAGCGTCCTCAACTGCTGAACCACATCATCCATGGTCTCCACCCGCCCAACCCACTCGCCAATCCACCCATCCCCGCGCCTTCGTAGCATCTCCTCCATGCGCAGCTCAGTGAGATCAGTTCCCGAAACCGGCACCCCAAATCCGGAACGTGCTAGTGCGTCCGCAGTCAAAGCTGTGATGCTCCCGCCAATCATTGTCAGACCCTCATCCTCGGCTTCAGTCTGTTCACCGCTTAGCGAGGCCCTTATTCTGCGTTGGTAAGCTTCGGCCCCAGTTTCACGGATGTGCACATCGGAGGGAATTTCCTCCGGCCTTCCCACCCACACCCATCCATGCGAAATTGATCCGGCAGATGAATCTGCTGCCCGCCGTCTCTTTCCATCATGAACGACGTCCGAGAGAATCGTCCTCGTCGACAGCCTGCGTACGCGCCGGTCGCTCTCGACAGCAGGGAAAACGAGCTCGGGAGGTACATGGGCACCCAGCGTGCGCACCAGCTTGGCCATCTTCCTCCGCTTCAAAGCGTCCTCCTCCTTCCGCGTGCGCACGATTGGCCGCAGCTTCAGCGCGACGGTCAGTGTCGGCGACGGTGAGCGAACGACGGCGCTGATCGGCTCCGGTGCGGGATCTGGTGTGTCGCATGGCTCTGGGAGTCGGATATAGAGCACCGGTCGAGCGTGTGCGGAGACTTCCGTGGAGGTCGGCAGAGGAGGTTCATCCCATTCAACTGGTGGAGCTGCTCTCCGGCGTATCCGGCGCTGATTCATAGGGCGCGGCGCTTCAAAATCGGGTCCAATGACATCCACAAGATGGGGCGTGTGCCCAAAGAGGCTGTCGATCTTGCGCGTGGAGCGCAAAAGACGAAGTCGTTCCTCGTGCTTGAGATTCTGAGTGGTCAGAGGTGTGCGCATCGTTCTCGGGGGGAAATACGCAAGAGACGTCATCCGTGGCTGCACTTCTTAAGCTCAGGACCATCTTGGGTCTAATTGAACATTTGCAAACATGGCGAATATGACCAAATTAGAGGAACGCTGCAGTCTCATGATCGATTCCACCCCGGACCGCACAAATTCACGTCATCGATAGAGAGCTCTGGTCGACATGCTGTGCAACAAATGCAGGCCAGCACTGGTAATTTCGGGTGGGAGTTTCACATCCGAGAAGTTGAAAGGGACGATGGTGGGACCGTCTGAGGATGAGTTTGTAAAGCAATAAGAAACGCGTGAGGAAAGCCAACGGTACGTTTTGACTTTTTGGATGCGCATCAACTATAAGTATAACACTGACCGATAGACACAGACAGCGAGATTCACATTCTCTGGAAATTGTGCCGTATCGATCGTTCTCGCGAGAAACTTGAACCAAGGCATTGTGGAAGACTGGTCTTTTGAATTTTTCTAGTCTGTCCACGTCTCCTTTGCTCTCCCAAGGTGTTCAGTGCATTTCTCATCAACCATCAATAAGTATCCGTCGAATCTGATGCTGTTACGGAAGTGAATCATTCTCATGTCACGCTCGCCGAGCAGTCTTGGCTTGCATGGAGTAGTAAAATTCCAAGACAAATAGATATTTGCTTCAACCGAGACCACCACCCCATCGCATTTTTTTAAAATCTGTGCTACGATTGGGAACGGACTGAAATAGCCAGCGATGCTATTAATATCTTCTTCGGGGCTGCGGAGTGACGAGGTGATGAGATAAGCATTATAACCATTCCTTCACTCTGCACGACACACTCCACACGGCCTGGTCTCCTCCACCATGGGCCGCTTCCACTCATTGTCACTAGCATCCTCAACAATCTCGCTGCGCGCTCTCCTCCTTCTGTCCGCTCTCGCCCCGTCCGTCCTCGCTAGCGTCACTGTGTACCAAATCCCTGCGCAATATGCCTTGACGACCACGGCGTCCAGCGCTTCCGCCTCCTACTCGGGCGTCGCGGCTTTCAATCCCTCTACGCTCCAGGCCCCGCCCTTACCCACGGCCAGCGTCATGACGACTATCCCCGTCGCACTGCAGCAAAGCGGCACGGTCGGGATGAGCATCAAGCAGAAGGGCAGCTTTTTCGGGTTCTCGGTGGAGATGAGTGTCGTGGAACAGATCTGTACGTCGTCTCTGATTTGACACTTCCCACCGCAATTCTGTCCAGCCCCTCCCGGCTCGCGTGTCCCCGGGAGTGTGCTGTGGCGACGTCAAATGCTGCGAGCACGACTGACTGATGCCTTTCGCAGTCGGCAAGAACTCTTCCGTCATCCAGCCCATCTTCCTCAACCTCATGGCCAACGTGCAACAGCGTGCGGGGTCGGTCATGGTGCGCATGGGTGGTAACACGCAGGAGTCTGCGACGATGGTGCCTGACGGCACGATCCCGAACGGGCGCATCATGGAGAAGAACTTGACGGGGGTGACAGGCACGACACAGACGCCGCCGTTGCAGTACACTGACGACGTCCTTTACATGCTGCGGAACGTCAGCAGCTTCGTCAACGTGCACTGGTTCCTCGGAATCCCGTGGTTCGTCACGCAGCCGTTCGACCTCCAGATCATCACCCGCGGGACGGAGATTCTGGGGGACTACCTTTTGGGATTCCAAGCTGCGAACGAACCGGATTTGTGCGTCATGTGGCTCTCCTGTAGGCTGTGCTGACGGCAGGACAAACAACGCAGGTACTTCGCACACGGACACCGAGCCCAATCATATGGACCATTCGACTACATGGGGGAATTCTCGGACTACATTAACCAGGCAAGCGCTTCGGGCATAGACCCCTCGGGCAAAGGCCGCCAGCTTCTCGTGGTTGGCAACGTCGCTGACGGGTCCGGGGGTTGGACACCCGAGATGGTCTGGAACACCGGGATGATCGATCAGTATACGAACAACATTGCCTACATGGCTGTCGAAAAGTGAGCGGACCCCTGGCTGTGCGCGTGCGCGTGCCAATGTTGATCGTGGCCAGATATCCTCGCGACAATTGTGCAGCTATGTTCGGAGGCCCGAATGCGACAGGGATCGTTGACCCGCAGACTGTCCTGCCGCTGTATCTGACGCACACTGCGCACACGGATCTCCTGGCGCCTTATCTCAACAGCACCGCCTTCGCTCAGACGAAGGGTAAACCAATGCTCATGTTTGAGACGAACACGGTGGGTGGTGGTGTCTGCGTTGTCTTTACAGGTGCTGATGGTGTGTATGACCCAGGCTTCATGCGGTGGATTCATGGGCGTGTCGGACTCGTTCACGGCCGCGCTGTGGGGCATCGACTATGCGCTGCAAATGGCTCACTCCAACTTCTCGGGTGCGATGTTCCATTTGGGAGGACGAGATGTGTTTTACAATGTGCGCAACTGTCCTTCTAACGTTCTCGTCGCTCATACTTGCCCAGCCCTTTACCACACCGCCGACGAACGAGTCGCTGTTCCACCAATGGACCATCGGTCCCCTGTACTATTCCTCGCTGGCCATGGCCGAGGCGCTTGGCCCGTCGAACAACTCGCAAGTGCTGAATCTGCCGATCGCCAACATCAGCGAGTTCACTCCTGTTTACGGAATCTATGAGAACGGAACGCCTGTGCGGGTTGCGATCGTGAACTACATCAACGACCCGAGCGGCGCGAACGATGTCACGGCCGTGATCTCGATCGCGGGTGGAACGCTGCCCAGTAGCGTCAAGGTCAAGTACATGGCTGCGGCCAGTGTTGTGACCAAGGGTAACATCACCTGGGCCGGACAGGTGTGTAGGTGGATCGGAACGTGGACTCGACGGCTGACAACGGGCACAGACCTTTGGTGGCATCTTCGCATCTGACGGCCGGCCCGTCGGGACTGAAGACATCCAGACTGTGAACTGTGATACGAACGCTCAGACTTGCAGCGTGAAAGTGCCCGCGCCTGGCTTTGCGCTGGTGTTCTTGTCGGATAGCGCCCAGACGCAAGACGCAGGACTGCCAAGCACGACGTTTGCGACGACGCTGGTCACCAAGACGCATAACACAGGTGCGCAGTGCTGGCTCGGACATTGATTCCGTCGTCGCTGAAGTACGATAGCGACGATCAACCCGACTTTGATGGCCACGTCGAACGGAGAGAGGATGGCAGACCATGCGTTGGCTGGGACCTCCAAGCCTCCGAGCGCTGGGTCAAGGCTAGAGATTTCGATAATGGGTGTAGTGGCTGGAGCAGCTCTAGGAGCTGCCATGATCTTGTTTGGTTGATTTCTATTGCTGTCTATGTTTTCCATGTCGGTTCTTGTGATTGTTATTAACTTGATCATTCCCTTTTGGACATTATACCATTGTTGTGAGCGTTATGTTACTCGGGATGAGCCGCCAGCCGTTTTGTGGACAACCCTGCTGGAGACCCTGTCTTGTGCATTGATGGCCGTTAACCATCTAATCAAGTTTTGCCATAAGTTCTGAACGCGACCAGATCTGCGCAATATGATTCGAAGAAATCAATCCGGGCTGGCAAAACTTGACCAGAGGCCTAACCAGGCCATATCACGTGAGATGAAATTTAATCTCCGTCGTCATCTAATCTAATCTAATGACTAGGGTTATCACAAGGAATAACAGTAGGTACAAATATCGCTTGGACAGCTCACAAGTCATCTTTCGACATAAGGAAATGACAAACTGGTACCTGATTGAGTCATATGTACCAAATTTTTCTCACACGGCCCGCGCATCTTCCCCGGTGTACTCCCTGATTACAATCGGGAATTGCCCCGTCGAAACCAAGCCAGCCTTTCCGGGTACAAAGGAGACAGGCCGCTGTAGCACACCGGTCATGGTAGCTCCGACGACCGGTGCTCCCGGAGTGAACTCGAAAGCGCGGAGAAGCGTAAAGAGAATAGCTTTCTGTCTGGTCAAGATAATCTGCGTCAGTCGCTTGCGAAAGAAGAGAAACAAACGAAATACGCACTCAACGAGACTGAACCGGAAGCCTATGCAGTTGTGCGGGCCGGCAAAGAACGTCATCTGGTTGGCCCAAACGCCTGGGACTGAATGCGCCTTATCAGGGAGTCGATCCCATCTGTCAGGTCTACGAAATGGGTGTGTCCAGGAGGAGCATCCAAGAACTATATTTGACACTCACTTGAATTCGAGGGCGTCATCTCCCCAAGTTTCTTTGTCTGTGTTGATCGCGAGGATAGGGATAGTGAAGACTTGACCTTTGCGGATCCTATTCTCATGGTGATGCTCAATTCACAAGAGTAAAAATGGCCACGGGACGCACGGGAGACTGTCGTGAGACACACCCCAACGATCCGCGTACGGTTTTGAGAGAGGAACTACATCGTCTCGGGTTGCCATCCTCTGGATAAAGACCGCTGGCGTATACAACCTCATTGTCTCTCTGACAAAGTTCTCGAGGAAAGGCAGCGCATTAAGCTCATCCATCGATGGCTTGCCGGTAGGGAGCGAGAAGAGCTCCTGACGAAGCTTTTCCTGCACATTTGGGTGCTGGGACAAAGCATGTACCGCCCAAGCCAAAGCGGTACTGGTCGTTTCGTGTCCCGCAAGGAAAAACGTCGGGATCTCTGAACACGCACGAGGTTGAATGCAGGTGGTATATGACAGAATATGGAGTAGACTTACGAGATATCACTTCCTCATCGCTCAGTCTCTGACTGGCTGGAATCCCGCTTGACATGTTGGCTTTCAAGAGCAGAGAAAGCAGATTCTGACCCTTCACAGGGTTCTTCTCGCCAGGGGCAGCCGCAGACTCACGTCTTGACTTGTGTAGGATCTGCTTGCCGATTTCACGCAGTTTTGTTTGTGTGAAACGGATTATCTGCCCACCAGGGAGCGGCTGATCGTCCGTTCTTGAAAGAACATCGAAGAAAGATAAAAAACCAGCCACTCACGACAAATCGTAGGACCGGAAAAATCGCCTGTGCGACCTGGACCGCTTGATACAAGTTTGCGTTGGGAGAGTGAAACAGCAGGCGCACAACAGTGCTGAGTTCCGCCTCGTCCTGTCCACGTGACTCCAGTGAGTTGAATCTGTATCCAAAGCCTGGATTGTTTTGAGACGAGTGACAAGAAGGGTCGGAATGCCCACCAGCTTCTCCGATGATGTCCAGGGTGACTTGCCTGAACCAGCCTGACAGATCCGCCATTGCTCTTTCGCTGCCTGCACTGATCTCCTGTCGCAGCAAGTCCCGAAGCTGGTGTGCCGCTTCATTGCTACAGTAACGACGTGGGTGGGTAAACTGACCATATTCCCTTTCTCGATGAACACTTTGGTCATCATTCTGATCTGTGGAACACCAAAAGCGGGATTCTGGATCATCAACACACCAGTCGCATGAATGAAGTAAGCAGACTCACGAGGATCCGTCGCTACAATATCGAAGATTTTCAATTTGGTCCCAAGTTTACAAGGGTACTCACCTGACGCTTGTGCTCATCGTGCTCAACGGACAGAATGCCTCGACCGAGTAGCTGTTCGACCAGCGCCAAGGACATTTGGGTTCTCTGGTAGATCGCGCCCTGGGTGACGATGTGCGCGACTGCCTTTACATCTTTGGTGTGAAGTTCATTTGCCTAGAGTTGTAGTATCATTGTATCATGGCCGCATCAATAAGCCGAAACAAAACTTACACCGAAAAAGCCTTTTGCCATGAAAGTTGCGCCAAATCTCTCCCTCCACTCATTTGTGATCTCGGGGACATCCTTCGTTAGAATATGTCAGAGTCAGATCGGTTGTGGAGGGTCGAGCACGCACTGAGATCAACTTAAAATGCCCGAGAACAGGATTTGCACAGGCCGGGCCGTCAACAAAGTAGAGAGGAGAGCTCCAATTGCGATAAAGAATCCTGCCGAGGAAGAATCCGATGTACGAGAGTAGAGCCAGCGGAATGGTCACTAGAATAGCGGTGATCATGGTCGGTCTAAGGGCAAAATTGAGCTCGGAAGCATACGTGGGGTGCTTATCTAGGTCTCGCTCAATATGTACCATGACCTACAGATTGCCGGACTGGCTCGTAAGAGATCATGAGGCGACAGCGAAGCAAGAACACTTCTCAGAAGCTGTGATGCCATTTCAGTGCCGTAAATGAGATGGAGCGCGAATTCACGGCCTTAGCTATCATTGAGAATCTGTTGGCCTATCAGGCGCCTCTGAGGCGCTCTTTCGACTGCTCTGTCGCGGTCAGACTCTGGGAAGGAATTCCGCATTGAGCTCAGACCCTCGTCCGAAGAAGAGCAGTCGGCAATCGATATCAATGAAAAGTTGAAGCGGCAGACTATCAGAGACCATCGAAGGCATGTGCCTCCAGAACTCTTCGAAACAAGTGTCAGTCCGAAGCATTATTGATACTTATGAAACGCCCGGGGAAGGTCGGAGGCATTCAGGTGGACGAAAAAATGACCCGAGAGACCCAGACTTTGTATACCGAAGGTCCTTGGTCACTGCGACGTATGTACCTTCCAGGTTCTAATCACTCACAACAAGTTTTCCACAATACTCATTTTTGTTATAGTTGTCATATCAGAAACCTGTCAAAAATGACACATGGTGTGCTGGCCATGTGTCCCCCTTGCATAATCATAAAAGAGTTCAACGGATCCTAACCGCGGTATACACAGCAGATTTACTATACACGCATGGACAATCATCAATTGATGCGGATCAGCCCGGCACATTGCCGAAGGTGGCCGGCGGCGTTTCGGCCGCGACCTGGCGCCGAAGTACTGTAGCATTTTATTCCATTCGTACGTCACAGATTGATTTGTTCATTCATGATAATTCTACACCTGTATCTGAGATCCTTTGAGACCGAGCTTATCCTGTTCACAGGGCCGCGGTTCATTCGCCGGTATACTCCTTGAGCATGACCGGGAATTTCCCGGTCGACACTAAACCGGTCTTTCCTGCTTCAAACGCCACGGGTCGCTGGAGCACATTGCTGATGATAGGCATGATGCTTTTCGCTCCAGGAGAGAACTCAAATGTGCGAAGAAGGGTGAAGAGGATAGCTTTCTGTCTGTTGGAAATGTGTTGTCTGAACGGGCTGCTCACAGAAAAAAACAAGGGACGCACTCGACGAGACTGAAGCGGAAGCCAATACAATTGTGCGAGCCAGCGAAGAACGTCATCTGGTTTGCCCAAACGCCCGGTACTGAGTGCACCGCTTCAGGGAGATTATCCCACCGGTCTGGTCTGTGAAATCCATGTTAAAAAGTTGCAGTAAGACTTGAAAATAAATACGTCTGACTCACTTGAACTCTAGGGCATCTTCACCCCAAGTTTCCTTGTCTGTGTTGATCGCAAGAATGGGGATGGTGAATACTTGGCCCTTGCGGATCCTGTTTTCGGGATGAAATTCAATGACACAAATAGTGAAAGAAGGATGAGACAGGACTGACGGGAGAGTGTCGTGTGACACGCCTTGACGATCCACATAGGGCTTGGCCAGAGGCAATACGTCATCCTGGCTTGCCATTCTTTGAATGAAGACCGCCGGCGCGTACAATCTCATGGACTCCCTGATGAAGTTCTCCAGGAACGGGAGTGCATTGAGCTCATCCATAGTCGGATGGTCAGTAGGGAGCGAGAACAGCTCCTGACGGAGCTGTTCCTGAATTTCGGGATGCTGCGAGAGAGCGTGCACCGCCCAGGACAGTGCGGTGCTGGTCGTTTCGTGTCCCGCGAGAAAGAACGTGGGGATCTCTAGATTCACGCGGAGTCGACACGGGTTGCACGGAAATGAGTAATGAGCCAGACGTACGCGATATCACCTCCTCATCACTCAGTCTCTGACTTGCAGGGACATCACTTGACATATTCGCCTTGATCAGAAGAGCCAGCAGATTCCGATCTTTTCCAAGGTCCTTCTCGGCGGCGGCAGCGACGGATTCACGTTTGAATTTGTGCATCAGCTGCTTGCCAATTGAGCGCAGTTTCGTTTGAGCGAGACGTATAATCTGCGAGCCCGGGAGTGGCTGGTTCGGTATGTCAACTAGGGTCAGACAATATTGAGCGACTGGTCACGCACGACGAATTGCAGCACCGGAAGCACCGCCTGCGCGACCTGCACGGTCTGATAGACATTGGCGTTGGGAGAGTGGAGAAGCGAGCGAACGACAGTGCTGAGCTCTGCCTCGTCCTTTCCACGGGACTCCATGGAGTTGAATTGGTATCCGAAGCCTAGAGATTCGTCCAACATTAATAATAAGTATTGAGAAAAAGCCAGCGCTGCTTACCGGCCTGTCCGATGATATCCAAGGTGACCTGGCTCAGCCAGCCGGAGAGATCGACAATCCCTGTTCCGCTCCCTTTTTTGATCTCCTCTAGCAGCAGGTCTCGTAGCTGGTGCGTGAAACCGAGTGTTCAGCTCTGGTATGGATATTCGCCAGCGCACACACCATATTTCCTTTCTCGATGAAGACCTCATTCATTATTCTGACCTGTGCAACACCGAAAGCGGGATTCTAGAACATCAGAGTATCGTAAGCACCAAGAATACAAACGAGGTCTAGACTCACGAGAACCCGTCGCTAGAAACATCAAAGATCATGAATATGACATCGAAACGGCATACGAAACACTTGCCTGACGCTTGTGCGGATCGTGCTCAACGGACAAGAGGCCCTCTCCAAGGAGCCGAGTGACTTGGGCCAAGGATGAAGTCGTTCTTTGATAAGTCGCGCCGCGAGAGACCATATGAGCTACCGCTTTGACATCTTTAGTATGCAGTTCGTTTTCCTAGCGTCACATCAAGATCGAGACATGCATCAAGCGAACAATATTAGAGAACTCACGCCAAAGAATCCCTTTGCCATGAATGTCGCTCCGAATTTCTCCCGCCATTCATCAGTGATGGTGGGGACGTCCTACGGCCAGATGTCAGGATAAACTAACAAGGGCCGATGAAAGCACGTACCACAATCAAATTCGAGTGTCCGAGGATGATATTCGAGCAGGCCGGGCCATCAACGAAGTGCAGAGGAGAGGTCCAGTTGCGATACAGAATCCTGAGGAAAAAGAACACGATTGGCGAGATAAGAGCAAGAGCAATGGGCACTAAGATGGAAGTGATCATGGCGAGTCTGAGAGCAACGAACGGACGCATGGGCTACTTATCTAGTTCTCTCTCCATCTTTCCCATGCCTTCGAGATTGTCGGACCGTCGAGTCAGAGGAGATGACGAGGCCGGCCGCGAAAGAACATCACTTCTATATCCCGCCAACCCCGGTGAATATGCCGTATAGTAAGCGGTGGAGCGCAAATGGATCCTCCGGGCTGTATAGTCACTGGCTTCTTTCAACTTGTTAGTAAGCTTGTGTTGCGTATTAAGGGTGTTGGCCTGCTCAAAGGGGCTGAGATGGAGAGTTGAGATGGGTGCGGGCTGGTCTTAGATTGGAATCCCGTTGAGAACCGACGTCATCGGGTGGTCGGAGCGGCGGAGAACTAGAGAGAGTCCGCGAGAAAGAAACATGTGACGCCGACATTCTTTGAGCCAAGCGGCCAGCGCAAATCGATCTCAAGGATAGGTGTGAAATGGATGTCCTACGTAGTTGATCTCCACAGATTAGACGCTCAGACAGCAGAAAGTTTTTAACCTGCTGCAACGGCATGTGCGCGATCCAGCGTTCTTCGTGATGTCTCTCAATCTGAATCATGCAGGCTGACACAATTCCCGGATTTTTCTGTCACCCGACTTGCTTCTCTGTCGTCACCCAAGATAAACTTGTTCGTTGACCATTGCATGCTCACGAATCAGATTCCTCTGTGCACTCTGATCACAATCTGCCGACGTACAAGCCTAAATATGTTTAGCGCAGACGATATTGCGTGCGGAAGAGCAAAATGATGGAAGGCGTGGTGTTTCCAGCCATCGGTGATCAGTGGGAAGCCGGCAGAAGGCTGGAGAGGACTGAGCTTGATCAAATGGAGCACGTGCATGTGTTCACTCACGTGCTGGTCACTCATATTCACTGGTTATACGTACCCTCAAACTCCATCGCAGATTCATGTTCCCCGAAGGCTAGTTTGCCCCCAGAAGCACCTGCTAAAACCAGTGGCATATAACTCCATCTGTCCTGGTGCATGCGAACGAACAAGGCTGGGGGACTCAACCGCCTGTGCCCGCCGGTCATGGCAGAATTGGAATTTCTTGAGTCCTGGTCGCTTATGACTGCACTGGAAGTCGAGAATTCATGCTATCAGTCATACTGAAATGTGCATCCAGCAATTGAACCCTCTCTGGTACTTTCATTTTTGTATAAGCAACAATTATGCAGCTCTATACCGGGACCCGATGACACCTGTGTTCGTTTGTCACAGGTCCACAATACGAAGAGGAAGCAGATTCTCATCTATGATATCCGATTTGTGTCTCAGACCTTCGACGGGCTGCATGTAGATGGCCTTGATCGACGATCTTGCGTTGCCAGCGGGTAGATTCAGATCAGTTTCCTGGCTGCTGTTCATGTCTCTTGTTATTTCCCCTCAATCCAAGACCAATCGACCGGAATGTAGTTCCTCTCATTGGACTCGTCATTTGCGTGCTCTCGTGGTGGCTTTCACGCCAGTAATCAAGGCGCAAAGCGAATACTCCACCTCGTTCGACTGGAAGGCGGTATGTCGTGAATTTCATCTGAGCCAGCCAGACGAGCCAATGCATCTTCGAAGCTCAAAGCTGCCCCCAACTCCACCCGGGTTACCTCCCATGGTTTTTCGTTCCGTTCAACACGCCTGCAAGTCCCGTTCGACTCCTCGAATCTTCGGTGCCGACACCGGGGGATCGCTTTTCTGCGGCTTCCGGCGACCATCGACAATTCGTTTAAGGATTTTCACAGTCATATCTTCTTCAAACCCTGGGGTACCAGGGAACGATAGTGTCGACGTGATGCGGGCCTTTCGGGCGCAATTCCCGGGCTCTGATTGGGGAGAGTATGATATCCATGAGTCTGATCATCGTGGTCTGTCTTCAACGAACCTGGCTGTGCAGGTGTTAGGGCTCTTCCCACCGCCTAAGCATATCTCTAGCAGCTCCGGACGTGATCATTGGATCTGAGGCTACCTCCTACCTCCCTCAATTAGTCCTCTGGAGTGTAAACCTAGATGGTAGACGATGAAGATCGCGGGGCCGCTCACGGCTCAGCGCGGCACGGCCGAAATCTTCAAGGGCCTCGGGAATGAGAACGTGGCCCAGGATATGCATCACGTCCCATGGAAGGCTGGATGCGAGACGCTGAGCTATTAAGAGATCTCGTCAGTCGAGGTCACCGACGCCCTACGAACCAAACCAGTGTGCGCAAACATATCCGTCAGACACGGTCTGGTAGATCAATCTCCTCTGCTCTTGGTTATAATCCAAGCACTCTAAACATGTGTGCCAGCTTCCCGCTCCTCGTTTAGGGAATTGCGGATCTCGAGCGTTGGAATGCGTCCGTGATTGTTGCCTTATCCGCTACACCTGCGCCTTAGGTCCAGTATACTTCTGTGGACCATAGGGCTGGCGACGTGGGATCAAATGGGGGGATCGGCCATCCAGTGCCGATTGCCGATTCAGTCGATGAATCGACAGAAAAGTAACTGCAGACGTCCGAGACTTGCTATCTTTCGGATCTCGCTGCTTGATGTTTCGGTTCGATACTCTACGCGGAAGATCCATCGCAAGGGGCAGCTCCTTGGCCTTGTGGGCTCGGAAGACCAGCTTGCCGCTGTCGATGATTGCGAACGTTGCGGGAACCTTTTTATTTGGCCGACTGATTCTCGAGTTAATAATGCTGATAGTGCATGGGTAGTTAAATCTGGTTCATTTTACTCCCCTTGGAGGGGAGATCCTCTGTAGCGGATGTTCTTTGAGTGAACAATGTCCATTCTGTAGAGACCGGCTCTAGCGCCTAATTAGATGCTGCTGAGCGAAACGGGGTGATCAACTCGAATATAACCGGTACTTGAAATTATATCATTAGAGCTGTTCAGCAGAACCAAAAAATCGATTTGTTTTTTACGAGTTTCCTGGTTGTGGAGTAGACTTTACTTCCCAATTACTTAGGTGTAGAGTGTCGTAGGAATCGTACCGAGGCCGAATTCTGACCGAAAAGGAAACATGCCACCGAAGACGGATCTGATCATTCTGCACGTGTAGGCAGATTGAATGCATCGTTGTCCTCCATATTGGCGAGAAGACCGAGAACAACCGCGAGGGTTCGATTTACAGCGTTGGTGAGGAAAGATGGCATCCTCCGCCATGGATTTTGAGTTCAGATGAGGACAGGAAATCACACCGGCAGATCATTAAAAAAGGGAACCCAATCCTAAAATTATATTTTAAATATCAAGTTACAAAAACTGAGCTACAATAGGTAGTCCGATATCACAAGAAAAAGAGATCATCATCTGCTTCCCGTTATATCAGGGATTGCGCCTCAAAAAGAGGCACATCATTGATCAGATATCAGGCTCCATGTGCGCCTAATTTTTTTGTGTCCTTTTTTGAGAGAGATCGTCACCCATTTATATCCAATCTGTGGTGGCATGTGATATTGGCCCTGATTCCTTACAAAAAGAGGCAAAGATAAGCGCCCCGGATATCTGAGATATGGCGGTCCGATAACGGACCGCCCGGATATCTCCGATATCGGGTCACATTTTATCTATCCACCGATGCTCGGCTGCTCATCCATTGCTCGTCGGTCGCTCATGGTTCCAGCGCAGTGAAAGACTTGGAAATTGTAGATACAGGTACATGATATAGTGCTATATGAACTCAGATGGTACATTGGTAATAAAATCGGCATGAACACTGTTGAGGCTCTTGGCGAGGTTCCCCACAAGACTGTGACCACGAATTCTCTGTTTCCAATGAGTGTTGTTGAGAACAACGGCCGTGTTTTTGCCCATCTCCTCTATAATCCCCTGGAACCATCTCTCGCAATCCGGTGTCCACCAGCCAACACTCAGTCCAGATGCATGCCACGCTCCGGCCTGAGGCCACCACGATACACGCTTCTCCTGATGCCCACCCCTAGCAGTTAGATCCAGTTGGTCTGGACAGTTCAAAATTAAAAGACGTAAACAAGTTCTGAGAAGAGGGACGTACTCATTTCAATGCTGTACACACCCAGAATAAGATCTTCTTCCTCCCTCGTAAGAGCATGATGATATAGCGACATATCACGATTCACTATACGCTCCTCGGCGGTCTCGATGTCAACATCATGAGACTTCAGTTCAAGCTCGGCGTCTTCAATGATCAGACGTGCAAGGCGAGCAATAACTCCCCCCGCTTGAAGGGCAAGGGGACCACGGGGCAAAAGCATGAACGATTGCATCATGCCCCAGTAAATGAGATAGTCCTGCTGATCCGGCTTGTAACCCTCTGGGCGGATTCCGAGGCTGCGACAGGGAAAGCGATCCGGTCGATACGATGATGAAACGAAGGTGGAAGCTTCGACAGAGATGTGGAAATGGCACCCAAGATCCAAGATACGAGATATGAGACTGGACCATGTCAAACAGCGAAGACGAGCGATGTGCATGGCGGTGGTGGGGTTGGAAACGAGCAGCTGCCAACCAGACAATCCTTCGTCAAGTGGGTGCAGCACATACACGAGTCTATAATGCGCTGGTCCGCCTGCGCGCGTCCAGATGTCGATCTGAATACCCTTCTTGTTCCATACCTCCCTCTGCATTTCGTCGTCCGCCAAGTCAAAAAGATCGTGTGGAAGGTCACTGACGTGTTTCGCTGTTTTGAGCGCCTTGAGCAGTGCTCGGGCGGCATGGCTGAGCGGCTTCCGCGTGGAAGAACTGACGTCTCCGAGAAAGCGCGAGCACACTTTGGCTGGCAGCATCTGTGAATCGGAAAAGACGCGCTCAAGATCTCCGGTGAAGCCGACACGGTACTCGAGGATCGCTCGCGCAGGGTTTCGGTCTGCGACATCGACGGTGCTCGGCTTCGAAAGCTGTTCTGTGTCGACGTTTTCGTGGTGGTAGGTGTCGAGATGAGGCAAAATAGCGGCTGCATTGGCCAGATTGGATTCCAATTGAGGAGACAGTCCATTGGGCAGCTCAGCATCAAAGTCACCGGCGTCAAGGGGTTCTTGTGCCAGGTAGATACCGCCGCCGTAGCCGTAGCCGTAGCCGTCGTCGTCGTCGTCGTCGTCGTCGTCGTCGTCGTCGTCGGGCGGCTCGACATAGGCCGTGGGATCCAGCGGTGAGCAAAGATCCCATTCGTTGACGAAGGAATCATACACCCGCTGAGAGCGAGCAAAGTCATCCCACTCGTCTTCGACGCAATTACGTTGGACCATGCGACGAATCCAGAATCCCTCGATCTCCTCCCACATGAAGACTCTCGCGCCTTTCCGACCCGGACAAGCGTGGGCTTCTGCAGCGCGTTCCCGTTGGAGGCGAACTTGGCGTGCATCGGGGCCCTCCTCCGCAAGCCTACGCACATTGCGCGCATTACGTCGAGCAAAGAAGTCCACGAAATTTTCACCCTCCTTCTGGCCACTGTGAGGCTCCACAGGCGGAAACTGCCGCCGTTCCGTCTCCAGGTTGTCGTAGTATTCCGAGTTCGGGAAAACCCCGTGCCGCCTCATGTTCTTTGGAGCGAAGACATATTCCCTGACGGATAACTGCTTGGGTGGGGACTTGTTCAAGGGGCGAATGGACTCCCGGATCTTTAATTGGACGTTCCGCATAGAGGGGAGCGACTCGAGTTGTAATGCGACGTTTATAGCTTCTTCGCCTTGACCCAGGAAGAAATAGAGCGGAGCATGGATAGGCGTGTTTGCGGTGACGAGGAGACTGAAAAGCCAGTCGATATCTTGCACCTTTTGAGAAGTTAGGTCCAAGATCATCCCAGCTGGATGTCGGAGCATGCGTTGAACCACCTCCTCCAACGAGTCCAGCATCCTGTGCTTGAGTTTGAGATGCTGCAGCATCGTGCTTCTCCACGAAGCGCGCTGCGAGGATCCATCCAAAGCAAGGAAATGGACAGCGATGGCTGCGAGGAGAGACGTGAATGCATCTTTCGATTGATCGACCGCTTTCATCAAGTCCTCTTTAGCAGAGAACGCCTTCGCATAACCATACGCAACAGGCTGTGCGTGCATTGTCCCGCATGATATAGCTGGGACAAATTGCTGCACCTGATAGCGCAGGTCAGCAATGACGTTGCTCAAGAACCCATCCAGGCTGGACCACTTCTCAACGACACGGGGAGGCAAACTCCACTGTGTACCATGCGACGATGTGGTCTTTCTCATCAGTAGAGAGTGCACATTGAGGTTGAGAACCGAGAGAAGATCCCCGTCAGAGATCGGACGACGTGGTCCACAGCACAGATAAGCGCGCGACGGGCTGACCCAGGATGTCGCATATAGCTCTGGAGATGCATAATAGTCGGGGTGAGGGCGAGGGATGTGAGAGAGGGCGGCAGAGTCCGCATGGAAGACCATGAAGACCCCGGTTTCGCTGCAAACGATACCATGGAAATAGCTCGTAAACTTCGAGTAGGTAAGTAAAAAAATACAATCGGTAGAAGGAATGTATATTCACAGGGAGTGTCTCCTTCTCGACATCGTCCAAATGAGCGATGGGGACCAGGCAATGAGACGCGTCGACGGGCAATATGGTAGATGCAGGGGCCGATGAACTGCGTGGCAAACGCGTCAGTTCTTTTGAGGAGCCTGGCGGCAAACGCCTGGGTTCCTGTTTCCCCTGTTGCTTCATTGTCGTCGTAGAGCAGAGATGGACTTGAAATCGCCAAGACACCATCACGTGGATTCTGCAATGATCCGTGATCATGATGATGATCGACGGATTGCGTCAGATGACTAAATCCTGTCACACATGATCTTGTCGCAATCTCTCCTCCAACACTCATCTCAGACGTATGTCGTCAAGATGAATGGAGCTCTAACAGTGCAGGGGTCAAAATCTTGCCCTGGTCTCACATCTCAGACGTTTGCCGTTGAGATGGCTGGTTACCGTTGAGATGGCTGGTTACGGCCAGCGCGGGCGTGTGCCAGTTCTGCAGCTTGAGTCGCTCCTTCATTCCAGACGTTCGCCGCTCAGATGCCAGAAGCAACCCGGAAGCGCTCAAATTGGTTGCATTGGATGTTCTCTGGTCTCAAACGTGTGCCGTTGAGACGGAGCAATCGCTATCCTACCTGACATACAACTTCACATTTCCGAACACCTTCTCCACCCCGAACGCAATCGCAGCAAGAATCACAATGAACCACCCCATCCATTTGAGAATCCCACCAATCTGGACCATGAAGTTGGCGGTGACGGGTGTTTTGCGATACACGTAGATATTGTTCCGGCCGCTCACTTCGCTCGACTTGGCCGCGAAGACCGTCGGGACGCCCAGAATCTCCGATGCCTGGAGTGTTCAGCATTTGGGAAAGAAGCAAAGTCAGGCCCACCGTAATGGTCTGGACCCACTCGTTGGGATCGACAGTGAGCTTTGTCAGCACGCTGTCCCGGCGTGTGTAAACATACACTTCGCCGTGATCGCTGCCGCTGACGACGGCTCGATTCGAGTCTAGTAGAGCCACTTGTCGTATGCAGCGGGACTTTGTGACAGGGACGTCGAAGCTCTTCACAAGTTCACCTCCTCCGTTGAGACGATACAGAAGGACTCCCGTGGATGGATCGCTCAAGCAGAGAATGCCGTGGGTTAAGTCAACGGTCATGTCGGAGCTGCCATCTGAGTAAGTACCTGGATGGAGGACCAAAGTACCACGTACATGCGGCAGCCCATCCTCAAGGCGTCATGCTCGGAGCACAGAGTGGTGCCTCGGATGTTGTATCTGCAAAACGGTGAGTTTGCTGTTCTTTTCCCGAGTGCAATAACTCACATGATACCACAGTACAGTCCGCAAACCAGCAGCTCGCGTTCATTGCTATGCATTGCTCCAAATGCTACAGCACTAGGGACGCATCGAGGAATCGTCAAAGACAACTTCTCTATCTCCGCCATTCTTGCCCCCAATGTGAACATCTGCACGACGCCACCACGATGACAAGCTGCCAGACGATTTGTGGGTGGATCGAAGGCAAGCCCGGTCACTTCAGCTGAATCATTCATTTGTCGACTCCAGACCTCATGGACACGAACAGATGCCTTCCCCTGGACCCTGCTCAGATCGCACGGGTGTAGATAAGGCAATAGACATACAATGTCTTCTAGCAGGCAGCAGACGATGTATCCGTTTTGTGTGCCATACGCGAGTGCCTCGCTCGTGTCATCCTCTCGCTTGATCCATTGCAGCTTGGTGGTTACACCGCGTGCATCAGAAGTCCCAACGGTTACAACGAGCTCCGAAAGCTGCTGCATGTCCCAGACTTTGACACCCATCCCGCCTGGGAACGGTCATTCTTGCCACTCACGCGGCGGAGATCACGAACTCACCACCGCTCGCTAAAAATCTCCCGTCTTTGCAAGCCTGCAGAGTGAGAATAGCACCGGTGTGACCGGAAAGCTTGCATTGGAGTCGATAATCCGAGTTGTCGGTACTGGTAGTTTCGCGCATGAGGTAGAAAGTAAACGAGTTCTGCTACCTACACAACTGTCCATGTGTGTTATAAGTTCCTTATGAACAAAGGAGACCTTTGACTCGCACAAAGCAATCTCAGTACAATCACTGGCAATCGATCCTTTGTTGTTTGTTATCACATCTAGCCGATTGCCACACACCATATAAAGTAGCTCCAACTGCTCCTAAGCACTTGTGAGCAATGCCTTTTTGCCCGAGACTGTATTCCCCTCCCCCTCCCGTTGTTCTCCTGCTCACTCAGACCGACATACCGGTGCCGACTTTCCCCATGCTGCTGATGCATACTGAGCTCGATTCGGGTCCTCCGCCTGCATTCGCCGGAAGGGCGATCAGCAAAGCGCCAAACTCTGCGGGGAAAAAGAACATTAAGAATATCGCATTTGCTACCCCGTCCTTGTCGCCGCGGTTGTCTGCGTGGGTGCACTCTCCAACTGCGAACGACGATTCGGACAGTGGGGTGGAAATGCCCAGTGCTATTTCGCTCATGATCCCCCCGGGAGGACCCTCTCATGTGAAGGATTCAGCCTTTCCGCTCATGACTGGCTGGTCGAAGGAATTCATCAATGAGTTCCAGGTGCGTGATCATTGGACGTCTGACACATTCACAAGAACTTATCTTCTTTCAAGGTTGCTGTTGAAACGCTCGCCTGGCGCAAGTTTGACCCGGCCCTTTCCTTGAAGGACCAGGATCCGAAGATCAAGGCTGCGATTGTTGCCGAGGCAAGTCGAATCTTCCTGAGCACGACTGTGTCTGATTTGCCCCCAGATCGTTGAGAAGTATCCTGTCATCAACAAGTTCGTTGAGCTGTGGCCTCTTGAGAAGATTCTCATCAGGACTTGCAAGAACTCGTCAGCCAGACAGACCAGGAACGCAGACAAAACTGTTGTGAATGCCGTGAACAGAGTCTTGCGTACCCGGAAGCGCTAGCTAGTATTCGGACATTGTGTCGTGTACCCGTCTATCTAGACCATACAATCATGCGTAGCTGTACACCTTACCTAGAAAATCGTATGGATCATATATACACATCTTTGTGTGCCTGGTATGGGAGGATTGACGCACTTCATCAGTCATGTGATCGCGTTGACAGCTGATCGCTCATGATCGGCGAAATTGTCTGTCATGTGATCGCGTCTGCATGCCAAGGTCGCCTTGATTGTCGCCGTGTAGATTATCATAAAGCGTACCTTTGTACATATGAGAGGAATATATATAACATTGCTTTGTATTTGAATGGACCTTTACAAGATACGAAGGGGATTGTACTCTACGAGTCTTTTAAGGCGATTGTACTCTACGAGTCTTTTAAGGTGATTGTACTCTACGAGTCCTTTAAAGTAATTTGCCCGCCCGTTCTCACTGCAATTTTCCACTCGCCGCTGAGGACAGCGATCATGAACAACAACAATGTGTACATGGGCATCACGTCGCCCGCGTCGCCCATGACTCAGCGCGTCCAAGTTCTTGTAGATCCGCTGGGCGCCAACAAACGCGCGGCGGTGGCCGGTCCAGAGCAGGAGAAGTTAGACAATGTATGTGTATTGTGTAACTTCAGAACATCTAGCTAATCTATCTAAGGCCCGTCGCAACGAACAGTTTCACAAACAAGCTGCTCTCCACGCGAGACAGGACCGACGCTTTGCCACTCAAGAGAACGATTCCCTCCGGCTTCAACTTGCAGCTGTTCAGCAGAATTTTCAAGCTAGCGAGGACAAGCACCGTCGTTTACATCAACTGATTGACGAAGGCCGACGCAAGATGGAGGAGATGCATCGTGACGGAGCAAACCTGCAAGATCTGATTGTACAGGATCAGGATGACTTGGGGAAGATGGTGCGCATATAGATCATCGCACAAGTGATTGTGATTGATTGATTCTCTACTACAGGCGCAGCAAGTAGCCCAAGCACGGGAATTGCAGCATGAGCGCGATGCCGAACTTGCCGCACTTTGCGCTCAAGTCCAAGCCCAGGATGACGAGGTGGAGCACCTGCGTCAGAGAGTCAGACAGTCTGCGGCCAAGAAGGCGAGCAGTCCGATACCAAAACGCCGGGGCCGCGTTAGTACGGAGCTCTTCAACCCAGGACGTCCATGTCTGATCGAACTGCCACTCGATCCTTCGCCTATCCCAAATCGCACCCATGCAGAGCCGTCGCAGCCAGCTATGAACCCGGCTATCACGCGCTTCGCAGACGCGTTGAACATGGATCCTGACGTTTTGTCCGAGTTCATGGCAGCCATGCAGCTACTGAACCCTGAAAATTCGCGCGTAACGATCGGTGGAGGGAAGCGCAGAGGCGGGGAGAAGCACAACAATCGAAAGTCAGAAGAGAAAGCAGCTGTTGCCCCAAACACGGCCGAGCTGGTGAACAAGGCACATGTGAGTCAAGGATGTTCGCAGGCCGCAAACGTACTCACAGAATGCAGGCGATGATGCGGAAGACGACGTATGAGATGTTCGGTTACGAAGTGGCCACAGACTTCATCTTCCACGTTCCCGCTACTGAGGAGGAAGTCGAAGCCTTTGCCGAAGATCCCTCGGCCAACATCACAAAATGGCAGTTTGACTTCAGCGAGGGCTATACCGGCTCGGCCTGGAACGTGGCGCAAATGGAACGTCTTGTTGCCGAGGCCGAGAAGAACGATAATCGCGACCAGAGATATCTGCAAAAGGGTCTCATCAAGCGCGAGTTCCTTGAGTATGTTGTGGCTGAGCAGCTCACTAGATATCGCGCCGAATGGAATCAGTTACAACCGAAGTGGGATGTGGAGAAGGATCGTATGGAGACCACGGCAGAAGCGATGGCCCGCGGCCAGGCGATCTTGAGGTACCGCCGATTGTCGTCCAAGACGATAAACGCTCAACATGATGTATGTATCTCCTCTCCAAGGCAATGCTCCCACTGATATATAGCATCAGAAATATAATCACCGCCTCAGCACTATCAAGGCGACGATCGCTCTGAAGGAAGAGGACGATGCGAACAATCTTCCTACTTGGGAGAGGATGCTGGAACTCTTGAAATTGCTTGGTCCGAGCGGCATGTCTGAGGAAGAAGAAGCGGCCGCTACGCACAAAGGAGGAGCGAAGATGAGAGCGTACAAAATCAAGCTGTGTGTATGGCGGGTGCCCGTCATCGTCGACTACATGCGAATGGTGGACGCTCAGACGGGGCACTTCCAAACGCTGCAAACAGGCACGAAGCCTGCTCCCCGCATTCGAAGCCAAGACCACGGATCCCGCTCTATCCCCAAGGGACTGCCGGAGGCTCTGTACAACAAGAGCTGGCTCAAGTCGCTCTCCACGAAGGAGCTCAAGGAGGTGAAGGTGTCGAAGCAGGCTTTCGCGTTGTTCGTTGCAGCAACCGAGCGCATGAGATTGTAGTACGCAGTACTTGTAGATTACGCTACAATGAAAAGCCTGTCCGTCCTCCGCCAATTAGCTATCGACGGCAAACGTCCGATAGATGTGAACCCTGCGTCAACGATACCGGTGTCAAACACCTGATAACGGTTGATACCATTGAGAAAAAAGAATGCTAGGTTCCGGTGGCAAACACCTGAAACCAGATACGTGATGCAGTCGAGGAGAGGGTTCGAGTGAGAGGTGTCAGCGGAAAGAGCCGAGAAAGCGGAAGAAGCCGATATCACGTGATTACCATCAAACACGCTCATTGCGTACTCGGCCTCATATTCGACGAATGCACTTAATCTTATTATCTTATTCGTCTATTACACAAATTGAATAGCATTTCATTGGTACTACTTGGACAACAAGACATGGTTTCATTACGTAGTTCTACGAACGTATCAAACGTTGCATGTCTACAAGTTTAGTCCGCCAACGATGCGGCGCACAGCGTGAGTTTCCTTCTCCTTGGCCTTTGCCCTTCCCTCCTTGATGCGCTCAAGCCCGTTCTGAATGCCCTTCATGTGCACCTGAGCAGGAATTCTTCCGCCAGTCAACTCGGGTGCAGCCACTCGCTCCCGAAGATTCTCGATGTCTTCACCCATCTGAGTAAGGGTTTGCAGGGCCGAGACCACATGGACCAGTGCCTGTCTGCGATAACTCCCCAGATGGCTCAAAAGGTCCAAATGACTCTCGTAACCACGCAGCTGTCTGCGATTCCCGCCCAGAATGGTCCAAAGATTGGAGAGAAGCTCGGATTTGGCTGCAGACAGGGAGATATCCTCTCGTGTGACGATCTCGTGGAGAATGGTTAACTGCTCCTCGAGTTTATTCAAGTTGTGGAGGTTGGTCTCAAATTCGACAACGAGCTGCTGCAGAGTAAACGATAGATAGTTCATGGACGCTTCAAATGCATCGAGAACAACGTCTGCGTTTGATTTCTTCCACGGTATGAGTTGTTTCCACAGTGCGGCGACAAATTTCTCTTCCGCAGCTTCAATGGTCCGGAGCGCGTAGTCATTGACGGCCAGAATTCTGTAAAGCTGTATCAGTGAATGCAAAGGACCGTAATGAGTTTAACTTGCCCATCCACCGCACCAGAAACCTTTGCATTGAGTTTATTCAGTGAGCGCCCAGTGATTTGCGCATCATCCACGAAAGTTCGCAGTGCATCGCTCAACATACTGTAGCAATTTGTAGGGGGGAAACGTAACGCGTAACGCAGGGTCCGTTTCGTTTCCCATGTAACGCATAACGCAGCCGTTGTTTCCAAGAAAAAAGCGTTACATACAAATATTCTAAAAATGGTCCAAAAAGTCGCTAAAAAGTTTCTCGGTCCTTCGAACTACTCAGCGGCCAACTCCTCGTCTTCAGGCTCGTGATTGTTGACGAGTTCCGCAAGGTACTCGATCTTTTCGATCATGGCCTGTGGTGGTCCTGGCCCTTTGGTGCTCTTTTTCGACGACATGCATGTGTAGAATGATTGTAGAATGAGGAAAACTGTGCTGTAGCTGATGTACATGCAATAATCACCATCTTCTCATTCTCCGACGTCTGCGGCGGCGTTTCCAAAGACGTTTCCAGTGTAACGCATAACATCACGGCTGTTTCCGTGTTTCCAGCGTTACGTTTCCGTAACGCTCCAAAATCCGTTTCCCCCCTACAAATTGCTACAGTATCCCGACTCATGAGGTCGCTCACTCTGACCAGGGTCACTAGATCTGTTGTGGCCATCTCTGCTTTCTTCATTTGGAGTGCTAGAAAAGAGCCGGAGCTCGATTCATCCAGGAGCTGCTCCATTGTCGTGGTCTGCAAGCTCACTAAGGAGGGAAAGTCGGCCCATTTCGGGGGATCCTGAGCAGACAGCGGACTCGCAGACGCGCAGAAAACAAAGCTGCTCAAACCTCGAATCCAGCAAAGAGGTTGGAATGCAGCGCTGATGGTATGCGTCATCGCGCCAAACAAGAATACCAGCATCCATAGGAACAGCAAGAGGGTCAACGGGATGCGGAGGAGCATGATTGCCCCCTTGAAGACTTTGAGGATGTACAGGCCGGCATATGCACCGCCATCGACGACGTGTTGTGTCGTCGTTACTGCTTTCGCATCGCGCAAACTACGCGTGGAATCGCGTGGACCAAGAGTGGAACCGCGTGGACCGAGAGCGAAATGAGAGCCCTCATATGAATCATCTCGAAAGATGTCCTGCATTTGTCGTGCGCTCGCCATTGAGAGCTGTGTAGCCGCACCAGCAAGAGGGATAAGAGTAGGCTGGTTCCAGTGACAAACACCTGAAAACCGATAGTGTGTAGGCAAAGGATGGTTCCGGTGACAGACACCTGGAAACCGGGATGAATGCGGTTCGAGAGCAAGAAGGGTTCCGGTGGCAAACACCTGGAACCCATCGTGGCCAGAGACAAAGAGACAAAGAGAGTGATTGAGGCGATGACGATGATCTGCCATCACGGCTTGATGGCGATCACAGCAATCATCCATCATGATGATCCTTGATGTCGCACTTGTCACAAACCACAACTCCACACGCTCTCAGTGTCAGACGTTTGCCGTCGACACTGTTCGAGGGGATAACCCTTGTATATCGGCGCGCCTGCCAGACGTTTGCCGTCGACAGATGCTCGATTCGACTGTCAGACGTTTGCCGTTGACAGAGTTTCATTTCATTCTTCCTTTGTCGCTATCCCGTTTGGAGGACAAAGCACGAAAACTCAATAAAGAGTCCGCTCTCCATATCTTTGTCTTTTTTAGCGTTCCTGTACCCTCGTCAGACGTTTGCCGTCGACGAATGCCACCGTCTTTGGATCACACATGCGAGCATTGCCCGCTCGCGAACGGCGGGAACCACCGTGTCCCCAAACTGCAACGCGTTGCTCATCAAGCTGCTGTTGCTCGTCTACTGGAGCGCCAGCGCACAGCGTACAAGAAGCCTGAGCCCGCGTTAGCCATTGCACGTTGTAGTCAGCCTCTGTCCTCTGGGCTTGACGATGACATGAGCGATGAGCCCAGCAGTCCACCCATTGTGGAAGCTCAGCCAGAGGCTGTCTCTGATCCTGCCGATATGGAAATGGAACGGCTAGCCAGCCTGTTTACTGGCCTGGTCATGCTCAACGACGGGCCACATCCCCATCGTCAGACGCACTCAAAACTCTTCAGCTCTCGGGATGAATATCAAGCGGGTGTGCCTGAGATCCCAACTTCCTTTACACCAATCCCACCTAACGAGGCTCTCAATGGCGTGGAAGCGATTCTGCAAAGTCAATCGCTCCCTCTCCGACCGGCAGCAATCGTCACGCAGCAAGTGAATACGACACTTTTGCAAGATATGCTCACGCGAATCCGGACTGCTCGGGTGGAACTCGATATACAGAAGGCTCTTGATGTCGGTCCTCATACGGTCGGGGGCTTAACGATGGCTGTGAAGATCGCGAGCGCTATTGTTGCTGAGGCAGGCCGTCTCCTATCCAGCATCAACTCTCCTGGAGACCTGAATCCGCGCAACTCCAAGAGGCAGTCTTGTGCACAGGAGACGAACACAAACACTTTGAAGAAAGAAGTGCACGATGAGGCGATGGCTCTCGACTCTGTTGTCGATGTCGTAGGTCGTCTCCTCCCTCCAGACACGACCGAAATCGATTATAACACTGGTAAGTTTGCTCATTTTGTCCATCTCGCTCACCAGCTCATATCGGGTCCTTAGAGCATCACTTTGAGAATCCTATCGCCAAATTCAATGTCGTTGCCCAGCTTTCGATTCTTTTGGCCCTCGTTTGTCATGTCATTGTGGGGATTAGTAGCGACCCTGTGAATCTCATCATGACGTTTGTGAACACCATTGTTCAAGCAACCATGTCGCTCTCCTCTCGCGATGGCCGGGCAACTGCAACTCAGACATATGTGTTGAACGAACTTCCCACCTCGTTGGAGTCCGCGCTTCGCAGATTCAAGATTGACCCCTTGACTGTCGTTTATGCCATGTGCCCGACTTGCCATCACACACACGCAGCCAAAGATGACCGTCTCAGTGGAGAAGCGTTGTACGCAGAGACTTGCCAAGGATACATATATCCCCAGCGGGGAGCACGCCATATCTGCGGCACCCAGATTCTGGAACTTTGGCAAAGGAAGATGCGGCCAATTAAGCCATTCGTTTTCACATTGTTGATTGACTACATTGGCGCTACATTATCTGATGCTGAGCTGGAGCGAATGTGCGAGAAAGCATGTGATGATGCTCTTGCTGCGGTGCGTGAAGCCACGTCCGCGAATCCGAATGCACCGGTGGCAGAAGACCGGGTCAATAATGAGACCGGGTCAATAATGTATCCGAAGCTGCGTTCCTTCGCAGTTTCGAAGGACCTGTGCCCGGCAAGCTTTTCATACAACGGGACGGTCGTCTACGACTGGCCTTCCAGGTCATGATGGACTTTCTGAACCCCAACGGAACGCGGAAGCGTGGTAATCACGACTCGATTGGGATTCTAGCTGTCGTCAACCTCAACCTCACCGAGGATATCCGTTATCGCCCTGAGAATATGTGGATCAGCATTATTCTAGGCCCCAACGAGCCCAACCACGACCAGATTGATAACTACGTTCGTCCCCTAATCGATAACTTTGTCATTGGATGGGAGCGAGGTTTTCATTTCTCATGCACGGCGCTCCATACTACTGGACGTGACGTGGATCTCGCGCTTGTCATCAACGTGAATGACTTACCTGCGACAAGGAAGGCTCAAGGCATGTCTGCCGCCAACTCACATCAATATTGTTCCATCTGTGATTGCTATGGCACCCACACCATGTACAACACTGACTTTCACTCTTGGACGCGCCGTGACATATCCGTTCTCCGCGCTCAAGCTTATGCATGGCAAGATGCCCCGACACAAGCCGCCCGTGATGCAATCTTCTCAAAGTACGGAGTACGGTGGTCCGAGTTCTGGAGACTTGCCTACTGGGACCCAACGCGCATGGCAGTCGTTGACTCCATGCATTGCATCTTGGAAGGACTAGTCCATTACCATTGTCGTCGAGTACTCCGAATAGATACCAAGGTTGCCAAGCGCAAAGAAACGATGGGGGCTGCCTTCGAGTACAACTGGCCAGACTACAACGCTGCAACCTGCCATCCTTTGTGTTTACTGAGGAATGAATCAAGGGAATTGCCAATGATTCGAACGATTCAGCAACGGCTTGTCCAGCCCTTGCTTGTTGAAGACGACAGCGACAGTGATATGGAGGACGACGACGGAGATGTGGACATGGCTGACGCCCCTGACCCGCGATTCGTCCCAGCAGTCACAGAAGAGGAGATGCGCGAGCAGCTGTTGAGGGTCAACCTTCAGCCGCTTCGCTGGGTAGTCCATTCTCTCAGTTTGAATATGGAACCAAGTCGCATAGCATCGAAGAAGGCCTGCTGTGATCAGCTACTTGCTTGGGTAAGTCTCCGCCTCTTTTTGCCCACCATATGAACTAACAGTATCCTTAGCATCACACTCAGCCACTCATGAATAGTGGATATGTGCCGCGCTCTATCAATCTGGCCAACATACATTTCATTCAGTGCGTGATTGCAAACACCACAACCCCAGCCTGGGTAGACTCTGTTCCATCTAATTACGGCGACAGCAATGCGGGCACCATCAAGGCCGCCGAATGGCGCCTCCTCTCAACCATCTATCTCCCCATTGCCCTCGTTCTCCTTTGGGGCGATCAAGATCCTTCAGACCCACAATCTACGCGGCTGCTGCAGATGCTGGACCATACAATGTCATTATTCAGCGCAGTCATCCTGGTCTGTCAATATACCATGACACCTTCGCGTGCAGACAAATATCGGGCGTTTCTCAAGCAATGGGTCGACGGTCTCCATGCAAACCACCCACACACCCGGTCCCATGCTATGCGACCGAATGTTCACATGGCGTTCCACATATATGACTTTCTCATACTCTTTGGCCCCATCATCTCTTGGTGGTCTTTTCCTTTCGAGCGCGTCATTGGGCTGCTCCAGAGAATCAACACCAACAACCATATTGGCGGAGAACTTGAAAGCACCTTATCCCGTTCGTTCCTGTGTGGAGCTGCCATTCGTCGTTGGCTGCGTCGCCCTGATTGTCCTCCAGTCTTCCAGGAGCTGAAAGTACTTTTTGAGAAGACTTCCCCAGCCTACAATTCACCCTCTGACTCACCTCCCCTAACCACCGATGGAGAACGTGCACACTACAGACGGAACGGAACCAATTTCTCTCGTTCCAGGATGCATCTTGGCAACAGTCTCGTTCTCTACTATCCTCCAAAGTCGAGACATACAATTGCCGGTAGTAACGAGGCAATCATCGCTCATGGCACTGATATCACCTTCAGGATTCGGCGACAAGAACCATTGGCTCATGGGATACGTGATCCGTTTGCCCGCTATTGGCCATACTTCCCGGCGCGCACGTACTCTTCTTCAATGAGCAATATCGTAGACAAAGTACCCCTAGATGATGTTGTAGCTCATTATGCGCGCTTCACTTTCTCTGATGGCCGATGCGTAGTCCTCGATCTATCAACTAGTTAGTTTGTATCTTTTCCTTATAATCTTAGTAGTCATGACTTGTCATACGAATAATGGATCATCGATGGACAAGAAATGGATGAGCAGCCGAGCATCAGTGGATAGATAAAATGTGACCCGATATCGGAGATATCCGGGCGGTCCGTTATCGGACCGCCATATCTCAGATATCCGGGGCGCTTATCTTTGCCTCTTTTTGTAAGGAATCAGGGCCAATATCACATGCCACCACAGATTGGATATAAATGGGTGACGATCTCTCTCAAAAAAGGACACAAAAAAATTAGGCGCACATGGAGCCTGATATCTGATCAATGATGTGCCTCTTTTTGAGGCGCAATCCCTGATATAACGGGAAGCAGATGATGATCTCTTTTTCTTGTGATATCGGACTACCTATTGTAGCTCAGTTTTTGTAACTTGATATTTAAAATATAATTTTAGGATTGGGTTCCCTTTTTTTAATGATCTGCCGGTGTGAATGAAGTGGTGGTTTGGCGGCTCGGCTCATCACATGATCATGGTGACGGAGTTCCCTGCGTTCATCCGGTGTTGTTTGTAACTCAGATTTTCCTAAGCTCCACTCATATTTTACAAACTATTAGCTAAAAATCGTGTTTGAAACGACTGCTGAGCAGCTCTATTACATGGAATTTCATTGGAGCTCCTTTGCGTTTCCGTGTTCATGTTTCCACACGTTCAATATCGGATCGGCGACCATTGATACCCTCGACAGTGATGATTGATGGCCGCCGAATAACACATGCCAGTGACATTGGCTTGTAATCTACTATCAACAGTTCGAACACCGAGAGTAGCTAGATCCATGTGCTTTCATCACAGGCAACTTGCCTCTGACTCCCATGCCGGACCGGGTGGAGGTGCGCAATATCGCCCGGCGGGAGCCTATCGAGCGCTTTCCCAGCGAGCTCCTGGGTGAGATATTCGCATGGGCACGAGACGGGTACCTTCCCACTGCGCAATCCCAGCAGCGCTACTACTCCCAGGAGTACTCGATCTTGGACCCGCTGTCCCCGCCGCTCATCTTCACGCGCGTCTGCTCTCGCTGGTACACTGTCGCGAAGCACACCCCCTCGCTGTGGAACCACGTCCACCTACCTGCGACGAGCAGAATCTCTGCTGCGGCACTCGATGGGCTCCTGCGGCGGTCGGGGGCACTGTCTCTTCATGTCACCCTTGCTAACGAGGGGCGGCCGTTCTGGAAGGGCATCCACCGGCCCACCGCGCTGCTGCGACACCTCCTCCGGAACGAATCGGCGCAACAGCGCCTGGCAACGCTCGATCTGCGGGGATACCTCGAATGGCTTATCCAACCCGATGCGGATTATCCGGCCGTCATTCATCGACGCAATTTCCCGAAATTGAAGATCATGGAGGTCTACTCCACGGATATGACATCCCCGGAGGTGTTTGCGACTGTGCTTGCTACATTCCAGACGGCCGCGGCCTTGCACTGCGTCTCACTCATTTCTCCAGTTGGGAGGGCGGAGCGGGGGATGCTTCCATGGCACACTCTGACCGAAATTTCCATCGATACAGATCTGTCGTTTGAGGCGGCGAGAGATATCGTCATGGACGCTCCGCGATTGAACACGTGCACGTTCACCCGTCTCATGGTGGGCGATCGCAGCACCGTAACGGATATTAGCACCGGAGCTCTGCTTGTGCACGACCAGATGAAGGATCTAGCATTCGGGTTCCGCTCGGGAAATCCAGCCGCTTTCTTTGACGCGTTTGCGTTTCCAGCCCTCACGCGCTTGGAAATTGGTATGAACAGCACCGCGCGACAAAGTGCATCTCTAGAGCCAGATTGGGATGCAATTCTGCTGGGTCTGCAGAGGCGCTCATCGTTCGCCCTATCGGCTTTATCCTTATATGACTTCCCATGCCCAGCCACCACCCTCATGGAGTACCTGACGACCTCATCGGGAACACTCCAGGAGCTGATTCTTGAAGATTGCGGTGCTCACGATCCCGATCTCCTTCGATTCCTCACGCTCGACAGTTCCGCAGACTTAAATGGGCCATCCACGAGGTTTCCCGCACTGAGGGAAATGGCACTCCTGTTCTACAGTACCGTCGTCTCACCTGAACCCTTAGTGCGCTTCATCGAATCGGCTGGTGCGCACGGGGGGAGACCAGGGGCTGGTTTTCCCAGCCTCAGGTATCTTTTGATTCATTCGAATGAAATTCAGTCATCGAGAGAGACAGCGAGGATCAACCTGGCGTGTGCCAGAAGTGAGGCAGAAATTGACTACGAGGTTCTATGAAGGACTGTTACAGTGTTTATCAGTTATGTATTAGATATTTACATGTTACACATAGACAATTCGATCCATACTCACTCTTGGTATCGACGGGGAGAACCTTGTACTCAGCCTTTTCTGGCGATTTGCCCTGTCATAATTATCGATCTTCCTGTCTCGAGAGATGTGCGCACGCAGCCTCGGCTTGATCGGAGCCAGAACCGCAGTCTAGATTACGAGTAGCTCATGTAGCGGCTGCGTAGCGGCGCTGAAAGTTGTAGACACTGGGAGCGTAGGCCCAGAGTCGGTTTGGGAGCTGTGCGAAACAGTTTTCAAAGGTCACACCGCATCACGCCTCAATCCGTAATGAAGTCACGCCAGAGATGAAATACGCGCCTATGTCCCGACTCCCGAGGGCATCATGTAAAGTAGAGCGTTCCTGCGGGACACAATGGCGCGAGATTGAGAAGCGAAAGCGCGACGACACGAAGATCTCATTAGCCTAGCGGCTAGGCTCATTCAGTGGGCGAGAGCAGTCCCAGCTCTTGTTTGTTGTTGTCTGAAAGGTCGAGTCACTCGGAGCCGAGCTTCCATTCCCCATTTGGAAGTTGCGCGTCGGGGATAAAACCCGCCTCGCGCCTTTACGTTGCCTTCGCCCGCCCTTCCCTCCCACTGCATCTTCTAGTCAGTTTTCCCTTCATCCTCATTTCTTTTCTCTTTCCCACTCTGTGCTCTACCTCTATGTCGCCCTTTCCTCCCTTCACAGACCAGGCTCAGTTCTGCGAGGGTATGGTGTTGTGGTGCAATCCTCAAGACCAGCAAATGTCCCTGGCCGCCGAACCCGCCGAACCCGCCAACAACAAGCCCAAGGATCTCCTGAACAACAAAACCAACTTGTACCCCCACATCGCGGTTCATGTTGACCTCCAGCAATGCACCCTCCACGTGGTGCGGTTGTGTGACGCCAAGGTCGGTCTCCCTTTGCTTCGGGTCTCTTGTGTCTATTGTTTGTCCTGTTCTTCGTTCTTTGACGCGGCGTTTTTTCTCTGGCAGCCTGCTCAGATGGGCTGGTGGTCGTTGGCCACGTCCTTGGCTTGGTCCGGGAAGGACACTTACCTGTACATGGGCTGTCCCGTCGCTGTGCGCATGGATGTCGGCCGCACGCGTGTCATGCATCGTGTGTTCCTCTTTTATTGTGCCTTCATTCATGTTCTCTTATTCCTTTCTCTCCTCTCCTCTCTTTTTCTATTTGCGCAGCGCACAAAGACCAGACGTACAATACGCCTGATGTCATGGCCCACAATCTCAAGGTATATCGCCAGCTCAAGGCTGAATATGGTATGCCGCTATGCCTCTCCTCCTTTCGTCTGTGTTCTTTCCTGTATCGTTCCCTGCTGACTGTTTCCCACTCAAACAGTTCGGCGGTCGCAGTACCATACTCATAGCTATTCTCTGCCCAATTCACATGTCGCTTCCCCGCAGTTCCACACTCAAGCCATGCCGATCGTCCTTTGCCCTGTCTCGCCGCCGCAGTCGAACTATCCACCAGCGCCGCCTATGTACTGTCATCAAGCTCCGCCCACCAGAATGCTCCACCCGCCAGAGATGTATCAGCCGCAACTCGGAGCGCAATTACCGACTGTAACTGCCACTGCCACTGCGCACAAGGCCCTGCCGCCGCAGAGTTTGACCTTCCCGACTCTCGCCAAGAGTGATGTGATCCGACCTCCTGAGTTTTGCCAGCAGAGCCGCTCGTTGCCTGGCTGCTGGAGGAACCCAGATACTGGCAAATACTGGCACCCTCAAGGCGCGGAGGCCGTTGTGCAGCTCGTGGCGACAACAAGCAGACTCGGTCGCTCGACGCGATGAGTCCTGGGGCGCTCAAGGCGTTCCCTGCGGAGAGATGTGGGGTGTCGGCCGGAGAGTGGTTCCTGGTTCTTGCGGACGGTCTATGGGCGCTCGAGGCGTTCTTTCCGCGGATCTTCGGCCGTGTCCTTGCATCTGAGTTTGCTCTGCCATCTTGTTCTCGCGTTGCTATATGTTGTACTGCAAGATGTTTCATCGTCGCCCGAGGCTTTGCTTCCGAGTGTCGTGGAACGAAAATTCAGGCCTAGAGGGCTTACACACGTGCTATGTATATCCTTTTTCGTTTGCTTGTGCTGGATCAAGTCAGGTGACCAGCGATTGTCTTCTTTGCTCCTGAAACGTACCTGTGAACTGCAGGCTGTCCGCGCCCAACGTCATGTTCTTGTCAAAAGCTGCTGCTTCCGAGTATCTACGATTTAGCCCCCTGCTTCAGAAATCTCATGTCCTCGTCTGAAATGCCCCTCCTTCCTCGCGAACTAGAGCGCGACATCTTCAGTAAATGTGCAGCGAGCCTTCCGCTCATGCGACCCGCTTTGATACAAGTGGCCGCCCGAGTCCGTACATGGTGCGCGCGTCGAAGTTTGAGTCTTCCCTCGGACTGACCCCCTCCTGAGGATTGAGCCCACTTTGTACCACCATATCTTCGTATGCGACGGCCATCGCAAACGAGAGACGGGACCAGTCAACGAAGGAAGCTACGCGGACATGCCCATCGACGATCTCCTGTACCGCCATGCCCACCCGGCGTCCTGGACGATCCTGGAGCGACACACGCGGTCCATCGCGATCGACGCGCGCACGGCCTGCACACCCGAACTCGTAAAAGCGCTCTCTGCGCTCCCCAAGCTCACCGCTGTGTGCATCCTCAGCACGACCGGGCTGAAACCCACGCTTCTCCCCGCCCTCACTGCGCTCGGCGGCCTTGAGCGGCTCAGCATGGACGTCGCGCCGCTCTTCAGGGACAGCCGGCAGATCCAGACACCCCGTTTCACGCACCCGATCTTCAGACACATCACGCACCTGCACCTCGAAATATTCGCGCCGGACTGGGACGCATGGGCGCGCTATCCGGTTGAGCTAGGCTCGCTCCCGCACCTGACGCACCTTGCGCTCGGGCGCGTCGCGGAGTGCATCGGGGACTACGACTCGATCGAGGCGTACGAGGCGCTGGTCGCGGATATCCTGCGGGAGTGCGCGCGCTTGACGGTGCTCGTGTTTCTGTGCGCCGATGGGGATGAGCTGGAGTTTTGTCAGGAGGAGCTAGGCAGTATTCTGAGCGAGGATGCCAGGTCTGTGCTGCTGCTGCTGGAGTGGAGCGAGTTGTGGGATGACTGGAAGCGGAGTGTATGCTGCATGGAGGAGGAGGACTTCTGGGCGCGTTGTGAGACGTGGGCGCGAAGTAGGCTGGAATGTGAAGGAATGGACGGTATGTCGATTGTTCCCAGCCTAAATCCGCATTTGACGCGCTAACGCGGGGCCAGGCTCGGAGTTTACGGTCCCCGCGCTTCTGCGTGATCAACTTATTATGCCGTAGTTGTCTCCCCATGCGCTGGCAGATTGTTTCGTCCGTGCCCTTCCGTCATGCTCGAACCCAGGCCTCCGCGGCCTCATTGCATCGACAGCGACCTCAGCGCGGCGCGGTGATCCCAGCCCTCAGTTACGATAGTGACGCTCTCCTTGCAGACTTCGAATACCGACCGATCGGTGTCGCCACCATGATCGACCCCTCCAAGCATGGAGGAACTGTTGATGGCTCTAATCGACGCCACACTCCTAGATGACAATGAAATGCCATCCCGCGCTGTTCGACGTGACGCAAAAGTTTTGCGCTCTTCCGATGCGATGGGATGGGCACCCTCGCACAGCCACACATCGGCACAGAGCCAAGACATATCTTCCATTATCTACTCCCAAACGCAAACGTATTCAAGATACTACGTCCAACATCAGTCGATCAGGTCCGCCGCCACAGTCACTTTGCTCGGGCCCATGTCTGCCCATGTCGGGTTAGCACTTCAGAAATCGGGATTCAGGAGGAGACTGTCATGATTGGCGGCATCATCATCAGCGATGCCACCAGATTTTGTATTTCGGCAAGGCCATTGCTTCGCTGCATTCGCGATCCATTATCCCGCGTGGTATATGCGGCCTCGTGGTTGAGCGGATGATCATCTCCGCATTGCCGCTCGGGTGATTGCCGAAAGTAGCTGATTGTGCATTATCATTGGGGACACGCAATTGGTCGAGCGCGCAGCGAGCAAGTGGGAGACTACTGATAAGATTCGGGACAGGCTACAGAAATAAACGCGTGTCAGAAATAGAGCATTCAGCGCGAGCTACCGAGGGACAGAAGGGAAGAGAAGAGAAGAGAAGAGACGGGCTGGCGAAGTCTTGAGCCCTGGCGCTGCGTGGTTACTACTTCCGTAATCGATCCATGCGTACCAATGGGGGTGCGTGGATCATCCAAGAGCCAAGCTGCCGCTGCCCTGCTATAGATACCAGGCTAATCAGGTGCACTTGTTCTAGACAGACGCAAGATGCACCTCTCCCTCCTCCCGCTCGCTCTCGCGCTCTTCAGCGTCGTCGACGCGCAAAACTTCACCCGCCGCAGCTGGGACGAAGCCTTCGCCCTCGCGAATGCGACCGTCGCACAGCTGACCACAGCCGAGAAGGCCGGTATCGCGGCTGGCGTGGGCCAGTTCACCTCCCGCTGCGTCGGGAACACGTCGCCCGTCGCGCGCCTCGGCATCCCCGCGCTGTGCATGAACGACGGGCCCGCAGGGATCCGGCTGGTCAACAACGTGACGGGATTCCCGGCAGGGATCAACGCAGCGGCGACGTTCAGTCGGAGGCTGATGCAGCTGCGGGGTCAAGCTTTGGCGGAGGAGTTTCGAGGCAAGGGCATTCACGTCTACCTTGGGCCTGCCATGGATTTGGTGCGTCGCTGTCTGCATTCTTCCTGTCTCATGACTGATTGGGGCTGCAGATGCGCAACCCAATGGCTGGCCGCGCTTGGGAAGGGTACGTGGCGGGCTGTGAAAGCTCACTGCTGTCTGATCCAGCCCACCCAGATTCGGACCGGATCCGTACCTTTCCGGGGAGGCCGCCTACTACACGATCATCGGTGTGCAGAACGTGGGCGTACAGGCATGCGCGAAGCACTTCAACGGGTACAACCAGGAGCACTGGCGGTACGGCATGATCTCAAACATTGACGACCGGACGATGCACGAGCTGTACCTGTACCCGTTCTTGCGAGCCATCGAGGTGGGTTCAGTGTGTGCTTTGCCTCGCTGGTCGTGTGCTGATCCATCGTGTGGATCATCAGGCCAACGTGACGTCAGTCATGTGTACGGAAAGATCTGCATCTTCATCAGCGACTGATTGTTAATCTGCTTCTCTCTCTCCTTCTCCAGGTTCTTACAATCAATTCAATGGCACCAGCGCGTGTCAGAATCCAGGACTGATCGGCCCCAGCGGTCTGCTGCGCCAGAACGGTTTCAAGGGTGGGTGCTGCCAAGTCGCCGCTGTCTTCTCGCGCGCTGACCTGCTTGTTTGCAATCAGGGTATGTGGTCTCCGACTGGGGTGCCACGCACGCCTCGGCCGACACAAACGCGAACTCGGGCTTGGACATGGAGCAGCCCGGTGACAACATCGTGATCGGTGGTGGCTCATTCGGAACTCAGGGAACCAATCTCGTCAACGTGGTCAACTCTGGCAAAGTCGACACAAACGTGAGCCGCTGCCAAACTTGGATGTGTGTAATGAAGGGCTCTGACATACCTTCTTTTCCGCAGCGCCTGGATCAGATGGCTGCCCGTGTTCTGGCGGGATACTACCTCCTCGGGCAAGAGAACGGCTACCCGGCGGTCAGCTTTGGCGTGCAGCAGTCTTACGGCACCACCGGCCTTAACGAGAACGTCAACGTGCGCTCGGCGACCCATTTGGCGATTGCGCGTGAGGTCGCGGCGGCCAGCACGGTGCTGCTCAAGAACAACCGGACTAGCTCCGCGGGCGCTGGCGCACCTGCCGGCTCGGGGACGACTCTCCGTGGTCTGCCGGTCGCGCTCTCGCAAGTCAAGTCTATCGCCATCGTCGGGCTCGACGGGATCATGCCGAACGTCAAATGCAACGATCTGAACGAGTGCAATGATGGAACGCTGGGTGTAGGGTGCGTGCCTTGTTGAGGCGGTCGAAGACAATGACCGACTGCCCCGCCAGCTGGGGCTCTGGGTCCAACTACGTCCGCGATACGATTCCTCCGGTCACTGCCATCCAGGACTTTGTCGGCTCCAGCGCGACGATCACGACTTCGCTGACGAACGACCTGAATGCTGGCCCTGCTGCGGCCAAGGGCAAAGATCTGTGCATCGTGCTCGGCAACGCGTGCGTCGTTCTTCGCAGTCATAGTCCTTGGTCTGACTCTTTCACCAGTGACAGCGGAGAGCTTGGTGCCTACACGATCGTCGTCGGCAACGAGGGTGACCGAAACGACCTCAACCTGTGGTACAAGGAGGGCTCTCTGGTGAGCAGCGCCGTGCTTCATCGCTTCGCCTCCACCAATCAGGCATGCGAAATAGATCCAAGCTGTGGCCAACGTCTGCAGCAACACGATCGCTGTCATCCACAGCGTCGGCCCCGTCGACTTGTCGTGGTCCAACCACCCGAACATCACCGGTATCATCTTTGCCGGATTGCCCGGCGAGCAGACGGGCCCTGCGCTCGTTGACGTCCTGTTCGGTGCAGTGAACCCGAGTGGGCGCTTGCCGTTCAGTGTCGATGAGGTGCGAAGAGCTGTTGCCTTCCGAGTACGAGTCACAGCTGATCTGGTGTGCAGAACCCCAGCTCGTACGGAACGACCATCGTCACCAGCCCCGGCTTCCCAATCGGATTCCCCACTGTATGCTGCGCACACTCTTTCGATCGCAAAGCATCGCTCACCGTCCTCAGATCGACTACACCGAAGGCTTGAACATCGACTACCGGTACATGGACGCACAGGGCATCAAGCCCCGCTTCCCCTTCGGCACAGGGCTCTCCTACACCACCTTCGCGTACTCGGGGCTCAAACTGACCACCACGAGCACCGGCGCGACCGCGACATTCACCGTGCGCAACACGGGCGGCGTCGCCGGCACGGAGATCCCGCAGATGTACCTCACCTTCCCCGCGGCAGCCAACTCGCCGAAACGGGTGCTGCGCGGGTTCGAGGAGGTCGGCCCGCTCGCGCCCGGCGCGAGCCAGACCGTGACCATGACCATGAACTCGCGCGAGTTGAGGTACGCCGTGGCTTGTTCTTTCCGCGTGCGAGGCTGATGTCGGTGTGACAGCGTGTGGGATGTCGTCAAGCAGCAGTGGGCCCGTGTGCCGGGGACGTTCACTGCGACCGTCGGTGCCTCGATCGACGATGTGCGTTTGACGGGCACTTTCGTGTCCGCCTAGGTTGTTTCGGTGGTTGCTCAGTCTGTTGGCGCGCTCTATTCTTATTTCTCTGTGGTATTCCTATCGTCTCTCGTTTCTCCGTATGCACACTTAATATTCGGTCGCTCGTTCGTAAATCTACACTCATTTCACCTGGAAATATCTCCGAGAGGGAGGAACCATCCGTATACTCTTGTGGAAGATTGTTCTTGAGCTTTCATCTGTGAGCACGGACCAACCGCTGGCCCGTTTTTGACCCCACAGATCGTGAGTCGGCCTCGCGCCCGCGTGGAAGATTGCTACAACGTAGACGACCCAGCGTGTTCCCAGGATAATAATGACGGGGTGCTGCCTAGTAAATTGGCAAGTGCGAGGCCATGCGCGACTGGTGCAGGGCCCCGACAACCGGGGCGAGAACAACGCGATACCGAATATACTGTGTTCGCTGCATGCGCCTGGGCTGGAGCAGAATGACTCTGCTTTGGCTTTGTAGGTTTATTTCAGGCTCTCATTTGATTTCCCGAAAGGGTCGAGAGAGTTCGATCTTTCGGGTTGAGTCAGGTTGAGAAGTTTATTTCGTGGTACTACAAAAGTTAAACTTGAACGTGATCAATGTCTGCCATCCTGAGATCATTGCAGAGCCCCGAAAACGGCCTCGGCTGCTCAGTTGGCAGAAGCTTCCATCCCGTGAAATCCAGGCTTCGTCGCGCCAAATCAAGCCGCTGAGCTGTGGTGCAGCGAAAGTCTCCGATAACCATACAAGCAGATGCCGTGTGGCAAGGCCGACAGGTCTTTCTGGGCGCGTATTTATTGGGCTGGGCTGTAGAATTTCGATCGCATCATTGCCTGACCCTCGCGTCGAACTCGGACTGGGTGACTGAATCAGAGGCTTCCTCGTCTCAACCTTGCCTCCACGCCCGATGCTGGAAATAATGCGGATATTGTGACCAGAAACAATCACAAGCCCACTCGCGCCATGTGTCGTTACTTGGCACAACTTCCGAGGACGTTCCGAGCGAGACGGGTCCGAGCGAGAGGAGATCATGAATGAATCACCTGCTTTGCGCATTTCCGTCATTCGGATCTCACGTAGCCTCAGACCATCCGCCTCAACGCGAGTGAAGTCTACCAGTCCAGCACAGGGTATCGCCTAGAAAAAGGGAGAAATTGTCATCCAGGAAATTCTCTAACCTGCGTCACGCAAAAGTGATTTGCGGGAGTTGCAAGTGTTTACTGTAAAGATAGAACTTGAAATTTTTGCGTGTCTTGGCAGTATTTGATGAAGCGTTTACGTACGTCTCAGCGGAGATTCCCACAATCCACCTCGGAAATGATCTCTATCGACTGCAACAGGCAAATTTTACAAAGCAGCGGGCCGAGTTCCATGTTCTATCGAACCACTTCTTTGGCTGTTCGTACGAGCTTGCGGGATTGTCATCAGCCCTCAGCAACATTGCAAGTTCAATGTCAGCCGGGTTCCGCTTCACCAAGGAGGCTGACTCAGGAAGTGTCAGCTTAGTTGCACGAAGATTGCTGGACTGCAAGAGACATGCGCTACCATGTGGGCTCCTCAGATGCATAGGTCAGATCGTTCTGAGAACAGACTAAATCGCCTAGCCACGCTCTCCTCTAGATATGTTCGGAACGTTCTCTCCCTTGCGTCAGGAGGCCGCCTCATTCAAACATTCGAAATGCCATTCTCGCTCTATTTTGGATCGATCTTCGGAGCGGTGTACCTTGGTGCGTTCGAGTTCGCATCCCGCGGCGGCGGTGACCCGTCCATGATGGTGACTAACCATCAATTACTCATTCCAGGTGTACTCTCTTTCTGGGTTGTTTGCTGACCAGATGTTGACTTCCATAAAATGGGGCACTCAGTCTTTCTCAAGGCCATTCAACATCCTCGAAACGTACCATGCCTTCTCGACACATTCTTACTCTCCTGGGTCCCGCATGGGGCCATGTGCTGCCTTACATTCACCTTACGACTCGGATGTTGGCCTCGGATCCGGAGTTGGTCATAACCATAGTACAGCACAACGTGTTCGGTGAGTCCTCTCTCGAGCCTCGTTTAACTCTCTGTACTGAATCGAGTAGTGCCAAGAATGTTCAAAGAGCTCGACTCCTGCTCGTATGATACTAGCAGGTTGAAGATCGAGGGTGTAGGCGACAAGGAGTGAGTCTCCGATACCCTTGCTGGGTCGAATTAATCCATCGAGATCAGCTTGGCAGTTTCGCTCGAGACCATTCCGCTGACAATGAGAGAGCTCACAGCGGGATGGCTTTCGATCCTCGCGAAATCAGTCATCGGAGGAACCGCGTGGCCCAAGCCGAACACATTACATGTATGTGCGCTCTAAACGTTCATTTGAAAGCTCATCACTCCGAGCAGATGGATTTCAGCGGAGGAGGGCTGATCATCAAAGAGTCGAGGGCTTTGTTGGGACCGGAAGGAAAGGTTCTTCTCTGGTGCTCCACTGGGGTTGCAGTCTGCATGGATCACTTCAGCGAATTCGATCACGCCAAGACCGCGCGCGAGATCTACGCCGACGAGGGCAGACGGGCTGGAAGAACGATGGATGAGATCATTGCCGACGTGAGCACTCCTTTATCCCCATGATTTCAGACTGCATTAACGCCGGCCGAATCAGGTCTTCTGCGCCGGCAATGGCAGCGACAAACTCGATGGCCGAATCCTCGAGATCGCCGGAGGCCTCAAGATATATGATCACGAGCACATAGCGCAGGGCGCTGGCTCACCCCGCCGCTTGGCCGCTGTTCTGACCGCCGCCCAAGAACTGGCTCAGCTGTCCGACGGCTTCTTTTGCCCCACCAGCAACGCTTTGGAGCCTGTTTCGGTTCCTTACGCTCGCGATTATTATAAGCAGCGCGGCAAAGAGCTGTTCCTCGTTGGTCCCCAGATGCACGATGATGAGTGGGAGGCACCTGCAGCGGGATCCGGTCCCAAAGATGAGAGGATCAAACAATTCCTGGAGGATGCAAACAAGAAGTATGGCCCGAAATCGGTGCTGTATATCTCTTTCGGGTGCGTCAGCATCATCTATCCAATTTCGAATTATTCAATTACTGAACTTGAATTCACTCAGCTCGGTGTTTTTCCCTCTGGAGACACCCCATCTGGTCGAGATGCTGATCGAAGTTCTGCTGGGTCTCGAAAGCGTGGTCCCTTTTGTCTTTGTCGTCGCCGGGGTTATGGCTTCCCTGCCAAAAGAGACGATCGATCGCATTCACGCCAGCGGTAGAGGAATCGTCTGCACCGATTGGGTGGATCAGAAAGCTATCTTGAAAAGTGGATCCATCGGCTGGTTTTTGACCCACGGCGGTTACAAGTCAGTCCTCACCGTTCGAGTCTGACGTGCATCCCGCTGACCTATTCCCAGCTCGTTGACTGAGTCGCTGAGTCAAGGGATTCCACTCATTTTCTGGCCAGTCGGAGCCGAACAAGCTCTCAATGCGGCGATGTTTTCGACGGGTCCTCGGCCCATCGGAATCGAGCTTTTCCAGGTAATCACCATGGGCGCTGCTCTACTGAAAGCCCGGTAACTGACGATGGACAGATTCGAGCCGGAACTCAACTGGGCCCTTCCCTCCGTCCAGAGGCACCGAAGATCACAGGAACAGCTGAGGACGCAAAGATTGAATTCCAGCAGGCATTCAGGGACCTCAAAGGGCCCAGAGGTGCCACCCTGAAGCAGAATGCCGTTCGTATCGCAGAGTTGTGGCGGGAGGAGAGAATCGACGGGGAACCTGTGCAGGAAATTGCAAGGCTTACCAGGTTTTAGGAAGTAGATTTACTGCGTTGTTCCACATGAGACTGCAGAAGGCCATGAAGGATGATTTAGAGAGAGTGAGTTGATTGATCTAAAGCAAAAACTGATACGACAGTGCTCATAATTTACGAGCAAAGTTCATATCTGCTACATATGAACATTACATTCGGACTACGTGTACTTGGATCACGTGCATGGTTTCCATTCTCTGTTCCACAATGACAAGCAAACAGGATCCACTTCATTCTCGACCGGGCACTGACAGTATCTACACACAAACTAAAAAGTACGTATTTCTCGGCTCAAAACACGGCTCGCTATCATCCCCTGGTTACTGACTAGGAGCGGCCTGTTGGGCGGAAGAGGTCGCCGTCGGTTCACCGCTCGTGCTGCACACGCCGAAATCACACGGCGACCGACAGTGGTCCGCGACCGAGATCAGACCCTCACAACAGTCGAGCCAGCGGCATCCCTGGTTGTCACACCAGCGGTTGTACTGGTCCGGGCCGAGACAGGTGGTGGGAATCGCAAGGAGCGTGTTGCGCGCGGTGCATCTACGGGTGACGGGTGCTCACTGCTCAGCACGCGTGATCGAATCGCGTCCGGGATGCAAACACGTACTTGTACGAGAACGGATCGTAGCACGCCTTCCCGCACCGAAGATATCCGAGGTGATTGACGATCGGGCAGAGCATGTCGCCGTCGATACAGACGTACTGGAATGGAAGTCAGCTAGGTCCGTTTTGCCATTTCATGATGGTAGCGCGCCGGTGCTACGTACGTCCTGGGCATAGAACCGCGCGCGGGGACCGCAATCTTCCAACGGATTTTCGCCGATTTGGAGTGGTACGACGGAGGTGCCGTTGCAGCTGCCAGTGGGGTGAGCGAATTCCGTGCAAGCGAAGCAGCTGGATGCATCAGACGGCGCACGTTGAATCGTTGGTCGAGTAGCAGTTGTCACCGCAGCGGAGTAGCACATCGGCGTCGCTGTAGCCATGCGGGTCGTGGATGGGACAGAGAAAATCCCCGTCGTAGCAGGTGTACTGTGAATGCGCTTGAATCAGCGATTGGGAGTGGAGAGAGGGAGAGAGGCAACATGGGCAGGATCGTATTGGGAAGCCCCGCATTGAAGGACCTTGGTAACACCAGCCGCAGCGAGGCCAGCTGCAGAGAGAAGTGAGATGAGAACGAGACTTATAAGACGAGGCATCTGGTTGTAGTTTTGACTCGGTTGAGATAGAGCTGTATGGTACCCCGTGTGGCTTTTAAAGTCGAGCCAGTGGGATGAGGTACCCGCCTGATGTATTCTCGAAGATGGCTCCCCGCTGTAACGGCGTCAAATCAACGCTACAAGTTCTAGGGCTCATGGTACCAATGAGGTTGGGCGCTGCATGAAACATCAATTTCGCGGATGCAACTTCTCTGGGGATCGAGAACCGCAGTGCGATAGTGAACTCAATGAGTGAGTGGACCAAGTTTAGTCCGCGGGTTCCTAGCTATTTGCGTAAATTCATGAACGAGAGCAGGGCGTGAGGAGCTGGAAGACATCTTAACGAAGATAATAATGCTGGTTGATCGCGCTATCCTGACCATCTGTGAGCGCTCAGGAAGAGGAATGCCAGACCAGTGCAATGGCTGACGTAGGAGGTTAGTGAAAGCAGCAAAAATGTATCAGGGGTGTAATTGATCGGGCTCAGCATATTGCTCAGTTCGATGCTAAGGGTGAAGAGACGGAGAGATTAAAGATAGAAGCGAGATCAATCTAGTGCGGTTATTCGGATGAGAGATAAGATAAGGTTTCGGATGCACGTCGGAGATGCTGTCGGATGTCGTCGGATCATCGCTGCTGACAAATGACAGCGCGAAGGATTTCAATCTCTGCTCTACAACACGTTGACGACCGAAGTTGAAGCGACGCTGGGCTATGCTGCGCCATGAGGATCCTTCTGTTCTCTTCCAATCACTGTATTTGCTCAACCAATGGATGTTCAATGCCTTGGCCAGCGAGTGCAGGGAATCAAGTCAAGAGCCAGTAGAAAGACGTCGAGCAATCCACTACTTCATCCGAACCGTTTCATCGCTATCGACGAGCAAAACCAGCCCACATGCGCTTCCGGAGGCATGTGATTTCTGAAGCGCGCCCACAAGAGCTTCTTTACCAAGGATCATCGGTCGGAGAGCTACGAAAGCCTCCGTGTACCTCCAAACACCATGCGATTGGTTAGACCGACGAAGATCGACAGCGATCATTATTGCGGCGTTGCTTCTGCGATGTCCGGGCGCAAAGCTTTAGCGGGGAGCTAGGCTCGAGCCCGTCTTGTCCCTCGCATCGCACGTTGCTATGTACGCTTCTTCGCCAGCGCCCTCATATATCGTGCGCGCATCTGCCAGACGGTATCCGAACCCCCGAGTGACCTGCATACACGATTATGCTGTCCGCTCTCGCCGTCCTCGTGTCTCTGGCTGCGGCCGCTTCCGCACACCCCCAGCAACCGCACGGGGCCCACCGCGTGCAGACGAAGACGAACGACTGGAACGTCGCGTGCCGGGGGAACTGCTCGTACGACCTCCCTGAGGGAGGCGCCAGCATCCACCTCGTGCGTCCCTCCGCGCTCATGCTCGCTCATCGCCGGATCTTACTGACGACTCTTGATGATCTGCTCACTAGTCCGGCGGCAACAATGCCGTGTCGGACATCACCCACGCCGGCGGATGGACGATCCTTAGCTGCAACCAGACGGCGCTGGTGCAGACCGTGCGCGCGACTTGCCACTCGACCGACTGCGAGCACCTCTTCGCGGGCCACGGCCCCGTCGACACCGTCGTGCGGCTGCCTGAATCCGTGCGTTGCCACCGTGCTTTCTGTTTCTATCGATATGAGTAACTCACTGCTTTGGCTTGACAGTGCGGCCCCGCACCGTTCGCGCGTATCGCGAATGTCACGGCGGACCCCAACCAGACTGTCCATGCGCGCTACAGCAAGTACCAGCACGCGCGCTGGACGCCCGGCCAGATGAAGGACAAGGTGTTCCTGCTGGAAATGGACGTTGATTTCGCGTCCGTGGATCCCTCGACGTGCGTTGTGTGTCGTGTTCGTTGCGCTGTTTCCAAGGCTGATGAGCCGGCTAGTACCGGCCCGGTCTCGTTTTACGTGTCGACCAACTCTACAGGAACTGCGCCCTCGGCGCGGGGCCTTGATGCTCGAAACAGTACGTAGAATCCGCCTCTGTTACAGAGGAATCGGCGCTGAGTACTGCGCAGACTGGACCGCCTACAACGCCACCCCTACGATCACTCTGTGAGTGTCTTGTTGTTTCCCTCTAGAGCGTCATCGCTGACTGCAGCACAGCCCGCCCGTGAAGATCAACCAGACGTTCCCGCTGGCCTCCGCCTCTATCTCGTGCCCGGGCTTCAACGCCTCCGTAGCGACCGAGTTTGCGCTCAATGTCGATACGGCAGTGACCATGGGTATGACCATGACCGGCACTGTCATCCCCGCCAAGATCACCCAGCTCGACTTCTTCGCCGGGCTCGATGGAAGCATCCTGGGCAAGTTGGGTGTTCAGGCGGCTGCTACGGTTCGTGCATTGCTGTAAACTTGACACCTGGAATGAACCTCATCTACGCAGGGAGGGTTCTCGACTGGGAAGGTCAGCCTGTACCAGGTTGCGATTCCGGGCTACAGTGTACCTGGTATCTTCAGTGTCGGCGTAAGTTGGTGGCAGTTGGCCTGTTGTTCTCATCTTACTAACGCGTTGTTGTTAGCCCACCTTCACTGTCTACGGCAAGGCTGACCTGGAGCTCGATGCATCGCTCGACGTTTCGCTCGATCTTTCTTACCAAGTGAGCGGCGCACGTGTTTACGTTCCTGCTTCGGCCACGCCTCCAGGTGTCGTCCCCGCTAAAAGCAGTACGTCTTATCCATTGTGCTTTCTCTCAGCCACTGATCCCAATCGCCGCACAGACTTCACCCTGGCCCTAACTCCCGATTTCACCGCGACGGCAAACGTGACCGCGAGCCTGATCCCCGAGCTCGCCGTCGGGCTGAGCGCGTTCTCGGGCCTTGCCAAGGCGGAGGTCTTCCTGAACCTCGAGGCCGACGCGGGGATCTCGCTGTCGAGCCTAAACGCCTCTGCCGATGCGCGCGTGACGGGCACTGGGTCCGCGGCTGTCTCGGGCCAGGTCGCCGGCTGCGTCGACATCAACTCCGGCTTCTCCGTCAACGTGGGCGCCGACGGCAAGCTGTTCAGTGCGTCGTTTTGTTCCCTGCAGCGATTTCCCTGAGGTACTGATCACACACCAACACCCAGACATCATCTCCGCCGCGGTCTCCACACCGCTGTACGCCAACAGCTGGGATCTCTACAACACGTGCTTCGCGGCCTCGGGCAGCAAGAACAACGGGAAGGCTGCGCGCCGGAGCGCCGGACTGACGCGCCGCGCGGCGCTCGTGTGCCCGGCCTCCGCCAGTGCGACAACCCTGCAGCAGTTCATCAGCCAGTTCCTGCAGGCGCTACCCGCGCTACCGTCCGCCTCGGCCCTGCCGTCGCTGCCGTCGCTCACGGCCTTCCCCTCCCTGTCGCTGCCCGCCATCTCTGGCCTGCCCACCGTCGTTTCGAAGCGAAGGCTATGAACTCTAGCTCTGCTCTTGTGGGGAAACAGCGACCACTCTCTTTGAATCACCTGCTCTCGTTTCGTAACATCTCTTTCTTTCACACCACTGTCTTTTCTAGTTTTCCGGTGAATCAATGCTGTTGACCTATGCCTGAGTTGGTCCTGCCCGACACCGATGGGGCAAGGAAAATGAGACAGGAGGTATGGTGATTAGTTTGGTCGGTGCCCACGGCACTTTCGAAGGGTCACGTTCAGACTCAAATCTGCCCCATATTTTCGACATGAGAAGGTAGGATCCGTTCTCATATTCCTCCAAAACTTGAATTTTGACCACGAATTTAAAATAATTTACACCAATACTGTCTCACATATTGAAATATTAATCAACCACCAACCCCCGATTCCAAATAAAAATCTGCCTTGAAAGTGACTTGATCCCCGAACGGCGTCCTTGGAAATTCACGTGCCGATGTTCAGCATTCTCCGAACTCGCATGGAGAGCGACACTTGTCCGCGATGGAGAAGAGGCCCGCGCAGCACGGCAGGGTGAAGCAGCCCTCGTTGTTGCACCACACATCCTGCCCGCCCTGACTCACGCAGCCTTTCGGCGGGAGCGGGACAAGCGCGTTGTCAGTGCATCTGGGGGAGGCGCCCGGTCAGCTGCAATTCGTCCCGACGATGATCAAGGAGGAGGCGCACTTGTAGTCGAAGGGCGAGTAACACGCGTCACCGCAGCGCAGATACCCGACGCGGTCGACGATGGGGCACAGGAAGGTTTCGTCGATGCACACGTACTGCACATAGATATCAAGCAGTGCTCATCAATGATGTTGCGCGCACTCACGTCCTGGGTGTAGAACCGCGCATCGCCGCACTGCTCCAGCAAGTTCGAGCCGATGGGCACCGTCTCCAGCGTCGTTCCGTTGCACCTGGCCACAAAATGGCATCAGCATCGCGCAGCACCCAGCTACAGAGAGCAGACGCACGTGTAGTGGTTCGTCGAGTAGCACGCGTCGCCGCAGCGGAGCAGCACATCCACATCGTTGAAGCCCTGCGGGTCAAGGATGGGGCACAGGAAGTCCCCGTCGAAGCAGGTATACTGGTCACCAATCAGTCAGTTGCCGTGGTGTGCGATGGACGACGCAATGAAGCGCTTACGTCGGCCGGATTGTACTGCGACTCGCCGCAGTCGAGGAGAGTCTGTGCGAACGCGCAGCTGGCGGCGAGGGCAGCGAGGGTGAGAAAGAAGAGACGAGCCATGAGTAGGTCGATTTCGAGGTAGAGCTTTTGCAAATGGCTACTGGCTTTTGCAAGGCTAGCCAGCGAGCCCTTTATAGTTTACCGTCCACCCAACGACATGCCCACACGTGATACCTGGGTCTCTGCAGCCCAACACCAGAATGAGAGATGCGTGCCTGCCTGCTGTGACGTCGATATCTGGACAGCAGACACTCTGCCGTGCCTGAACATGACCGTGACAGTGTGTCAGAGCGGATCGCAGCCCAGCCCGAACGTGCGTTCATCAAGACTCAAGAGCGCCCAGCAAAAAAGAAAAAGAGGGGAGAGAGTGAGGGTGAGCAGAACTCCGCCGAAAGCGCAATGCGCTTTCCCGATGCGCGCAGGGAGATATCCGCCAAGACTATCGCAACTGCCCTGGGGCTAAAAATCGTCTACTCGTCTCGGGGCGGAGCTAAGCAGCAGCATCTTACCAGTGACGAGAGCATGTCAACGTAGACACTTGCGTCGTGGTACTCGCGTTCTATAGTAGTCCGGTCTCACGATGACAGAAAGTGGTCGCACGTCATGTTGTCAGATCGAGCGAGGATGGAGAGCGAAACAAGGTGCTCGTAGCTGATCCGCGATGCCCCGATCAACTTCATCAACCAAGACCGGGGCACGAACCGGTCCAAGGCCGATGGGGTATGATTTTGACCAAACTAAGCGCGCATCGCGCTCTAAGATTCCGCCCGTCGTCGGCACCCCTAGCTTACCGTCGGCGGACACTGGCAGCACCCGAGCCGTGGTCACAGTTTTCCAAGCGAACTCAGCAGACTTGAGCGACCCTATAATCGAGCGTTCCTGGACTTCCAAGTCGTCTCTGCATTCTAGCACTCACGCGCGAGTTTCTGCTTCTCAGTAGTGGATCTCCTCGCCATCCTTTGCGGAGGAATACTGTGGCCCTGCTTGACTATTTTTACGAGCGGATCTGAATAGTACGTGGGAAAAATTAAACTTTGCTTTAAACTAATTATACGAGTATGTACTTGGGCAGGTGTCAGCACAAAGGAGGCAGATTAGTTTTTCTGACGCAGCCACACTGCCATCGCAGAACAGAAATCCAGTCGAGGCTGTTCTTCCACGTCAATCGGATTCGTGGGATCGAGATAATTAATCATTGTGCTACCCTCTGCCCCCTACCGTGCCGGTGCATTCGGACAGCGAACACCAAGAATCGGGCAGGACGCGTTCTTTCTACCGAATATCCTATGCGCTCGTAGGAGACCGAAGTGCTCAACGAATCGGTGTAGCCATCTCGGATGGCCAGGGGCATTCTGATGAGGTGTCCGAAGACGACCTGTGCCCGTCAGACCGCTGGACGCGTACTATGATGATTGGGACTTGCATTCCATCATCGTCCGACCTCGCTGTTTCTCGTCAGATCCAGCCCAACACGTCCCACACCATCTGACTCTCCTGCTCAGTCCGCAAAACCGATGCGAGAGTAACGGGGTGAGGCCTAACGCGGGAAGCCGTTCGTAAGCTCTAGCCGGTAGACATTTGAATAAACGCTGACCATCTCCTACATTATTCGCGGGGGCTGACCGGGGCGTCCATCTTTCTTGAGTTGAACATCCGAAAGCCGAAGGAGGCGGGGGTCAAGACTTTTGCGGGGGCATCCTTGTCAGAGCTACTGCACAAATTGAGTTGGATCGAAGATCTGTAATGTAGGGTCTAGCTGCGAGACAATCGTCCGGATCATTGATTTCAGCAGCAAGAGATACTTCCGATCGGATGTCATAGCATAATTGTTGTGATTACAGAACATGTGACCGCGTTGCCAGCAAGCACGTGATTTACCATGGTGAACAAGTTGAAAATTATTGGCATGGCCCCAACATTGGGAAGAAAAGAGACGCCAGCCTGATCGAACCGAGAAGCACGCAGAGGATGGTGCTGTCAGAGCTGTGATCGTCGTTTTCATGAAGCAAAGCTGCTGCCATAAATCCGCTAACATGATGCGCATGTATGGGCCGCACAATCTGGTGACGACTGGCATGACCTCGACCCGGGGTACTCTGAAAATACACCACACTGCCTGTTGAAGAACATAAAATCCAACCGAGACAGTTCTTCCGTGTCAATCGGGCTCGTGGGATCGAGATAATCATTGCGCTATCCTCTGCGGCCTCCGAAAGTGCATTCGGCCAGCAAACAGCAATGATCGGGGAGGAAAATTTCGTTCTACCGTATGAAACATTCGCTAGTCGGAGACCGAAGGGCTCGGTGAATCGGATTAGCCATCTCGGATTGCCAACGGTGATCTGATGAGCTGTTCGAATACGTCCTGTGCCCGTCAGCCCACCGCGTACTACTGTGATTGGGACGGGCCCATCAGGGCGCCGCCGCTCGGTCTCGTGCTCGCTGGCTAGATCGCGCCCGGAACGACTCCCCGCCGTCTGAATCTCTCCGCGTAGTCCGATAGAACCGATGCGGTATTCAAAACACTGGCCTGACGCGGGAAGCGACTGTGAGCTCAGATCTGCTGGTATGCGGGGATAAGAAATATGAATGTACTCTCGCCCTCTCAAGCATCTGTTGCTGTACTTGGTCGTGACGTGTACTTATCTTTCCTGGCTCAAATCTGAAGATCGAAAGACGCAGGGGCCGGCTCTTCTGCTTGAATCTTACGGTTTTCTATAAGCGTAATTCGCTTCTCCAGTAGAAATCAAACACAGGTCTGTCGACGCTTTTGAGTGTGCAGTCCAGTTGCGAGACCAGGCATTGCCGTGATCCAAGAACATGTGACCGCGTTGCCACCAGCACGTGCCTGACAATGGGGAACGTGGTTGTTGACACGGCCCAGTCCCTTGCCGACCAGGAAATGCAGTGGGACGGAAGAAGAAGACACCCCGATCGATCCGAAAAGTACACGGAGGATACCGCCCACAGCGCGCGATCGTCGTGCTCATGAAGCAAAGCCGTAATTCCGCTGACATGAGCGCATGTATGGGCCGCACTACCTGACGACGACCATGACCTCGACCGCCCGGGCTGCACTAGACATCCTTCCACCCGAGCTCTGGGACGCCATACTGTTAGAGTTTGACGACCCGAATCCGCACCTGCTTCTCCCCCTCTCGCTCGTCTGCCGCACATTCAATCAGCTCGCGATATCGCGCTATCTCGCCCTCGCCCATGTCTCGCAGGAGGATCTCGCCAACGGCCGGATGTCGATTGCAGGCGACGGCGTGCGGGTGCTGCAGTACGCCCCGGGGCTCGCGGCGAGTCTGACGACGCTGGAGTGCACGCATTTGGTCGATCATGGACTGGCGAGAAATCTGCGGCTGGTCCGCAGGCTGGCCCCAGGATTGGAGGAGCTGCATCTCCGCTTTGCGCACGACCTATTAGAGGAGGAGTCGCACCACCACGATGCCGTGCCGATTGTGTGTGAGGTGGTGCGCGCGCTCGCCGCTCGCAGCAATGGTGTTATCGTGATGGCCAAGGAAGCGCTGTTCCGGTGCCTGCCTGAGGACGTGGCGGAGTGGCAGCTACATACCGAGCCCATCCGGACCTTCATGCTCAAGCCCAAGCAGAAGCAAGGTTTTCTAGTGATTCGGGATCGGGACGCGCAGGCCGTCAATGTCAGGCTCGTGTCCGAACTCGAAGCGGTGTCGCTGCGGTTGGTGCAGGCTGTGGATGGGAAGCGGATTGCGCTCGTGGTCTTCAATGCCGCGTCTATCGAGTCCCGGAATCTCACACTGGGCCCCACCGTCGGCACTGCGCTCAGCCCTTACTCCATGACAGGAGAGGACCTGAACGCAGTCCTGCCTCACCTCGTGCTGCCGGCGTTGCGACACCTGTATGTTACCTCCGCCGCTGTAAAACCCCGAGCGCTATCGACGTTCCTTCTCTCGCATCCCAACCTCGTCTTCCTTGGCTACGACTTGCCGGCGCAGACGAAGCCGTCGGTGGTGTTCATCGACCCGCCACTGGCCCATCCGAATCTGCTCTGCATCCGTGTAACGGATCCCGCGCATCTGGTACCTGTTCTAGACGGACTAGGGTCTTCCCCTCGCTTAGCTGAGATCGGATTCCACTTCATTCGGCCGAAGCCTGCGCCGCAGCTAAGCCTCATGAAGAGGCCGCCGAACGCGCTGACGGCCGCGCTCGAGCGGGTCGCGCAGCACCCGCGGGAGCTGCGACTCAACATCCGGCTGACCGGGCCGCAGGGCTCGTCCGTGATCCTGCGCACGCGCAGGACGCAGCGGCCGCCGGACGAAGACGAGCGCCGGGCGATGGCGGCGCTGGCGCACGTGCACCGCATCGACGTGGACTGTGCGTCTGTCGGGGCTGCGCGGGCGCTGCTTCCGTGGCTGGACCTCGTCCCTGCGCTGCGCAAGGTCGAATTTCGGAGCACAACGGGGATCTTTGCGTGGGGCGGCCGGCCCGGGCACCGGAGTCTGCACGAGGACACGATTGAGTTTATGGACGACGCGATGAAGGGGCTGCCGAGGGTCAACGAAGTCGTGGTGAAGGAGACGCCAGTTTTCATCCGTTGAATTTGCTTATGTATCTGTATGTACATTGCGTTACGAATCAGGAGCTGTTGTAAGTAAAGCAGGACGATGTGCGTGGTCACGGTCGTCACAACGATCGCGGGCCAGACGCGCTTGCTCTGTACCTTGGCCTCATATGGAACCCAGATTGCCCCCCGAGCTGGAACGCCATATATTTGAGATATGCGCCCTATCTCACCCGATGAGAGTCTCCGCGCTCATGCGCGTGGCTCACAGAGTCCAAGAATGGCGAGGACACGTCATTCGTCGCTCGCGCTTGCCCTGCAGCTGATTCTTTCCGCCCGTTCTTAGGGTAGAGCCCATGCTATACACCACGCTCCTCAGCAACAAACACGGCTACTCGCCTGGCTCCGTCCCCCGGAGTAATTCCAGAGTGTTGCACCGCTTGCTCAATGAAAAGTCTCAACGGTGCCGCGACGCCGTGCGCCATGTCATTCTGATCCACATCGATCCGGTCTCCGACGTGCTGGGGAAGTGCTCCCTCATCGAGGACGCGTTCGTTCTGTGCCCGCTCGAGGAGACCGTGCTCCCACGCCTCCAGCAACTGCCCCATCTGCGGCGTCTGCACTGCGACGCGCACATGCTCACGTACCTCGACCGATCTGGCGGCATCCTCCCGGCGCTGACGCACCTCGAGGTCCTGCGGGGCACGTTCGAGACGCCCGCGCAGCTGCGCGCGCTCGCCGAGCGGATCCCTCGCCTGACGCACTTCGCGTGCAACCAGCTCCGCGAGCACGATCTCGCGCTGTGTGTGCAGATCCTGCAGCGAGTCCCGGCGCTCGAGGTCTTCGTCATCATCGACGTGCTGGACGATCTAGTGCTGCTGAGCCCCGAGCGCGAGGCGGTGTTTGAGGCGAATCTGCGGCTCGTGTGGGTCTCGATGGCGAGTTACGTGGAGGACTGGGTCCAGGGAGCTATGGGCCGCGTGGACTTTTGGCAAAGGGCGGACGAGCTCGTTCGGAGACGCACGTCCGGGACCAGCGAAGATGGTGCGCTCCTTGTGTGATTGATCTCAGCCTGCATGTTAAGTGACACGTTCTCTAGCGCGGCGATTCAGGATTTACTGCGCAGATGTAGGTGATTGATTGGCATAACGCTGGAGCGTTGATCATATTCATCATGTACTGCTTGCTTGGGTTCTGTTTATACATTCGAAGAGTCCGCTCTACGCGCTGGGATCCAGCAACTGGAACTGCTGCTCCTTCTTTCCCGCCTCCCGGGTCTCGAGCGTCAGCTGCCCGGCATCCGTCAAACCCCAGAAACACAAAATGAAGGGAGCATTGACGCACCACGCCTCCGGCAGAGGAGGTAATTGCAAGCTTGCGCGTCGCCTTGTCGAGGATACTGCAGCAAGTCAGTATCTAGCATATTTGGCCAGCGCGGATCGACAGCGCACTTGTATCCATTGTGCCCGACCTGCACCAGATGGATGTCCCAGAAGGTGCTCTCGGTGGTGTCTTGCACGCCGGCGATCGTGTCAGGCTTTCCGCCAGTCGAGGCGTGGTGCCACAAGATCGAGTTGTTTGCCGAGGGCGCGCCGCTCACGATCTGGTACGCCTCCGAGTCGGCGGACATCGAATAGTAGAACTTCCACTGGGATTGGGATGTCAGCTGAGCGACAGAGGTACCGGCGACGTTCTCTGCGCGGGACGCACGTTCTGGTTTACGCTGCTCGAGTTCGCCACGGCTTGGACGCGCGTGAGGTTCTGGGAGCTACCGCCGGCGAGTTCGAGCATCCGCGACTGGTAGTCCTGGATCTTGAGCGTCGTCGGAGCCAAGGCGTAGGTCGATCCGGCGGCGGAGAGCAGGAGAGCGAGGAGAGGTTGCATGACAAACATTGCTGGAGAATGAGATTGAGATCGAGAGTAGAGTGGGTTGGTGGTTGGATGTGCAGTGGAGATGCGCTGAAAGCTGAATCCCGTCCTTCCCTCTCTTATATACTCTCGCTCGACGCGCCCAGCTAGCCGCATTACGACCTACAATGGCACCACTGACGTCTTTCACCCTGCCGCATATCACAAGGCTGAGCAGCCAGGGTGATCTGCCTACCCGGCTCCCTCACCCTCAACCCTCTTCGCGGTGTCACTTCCGTAACGACATCGCCCAGCCCTTCCGAGATGAATCCGCACCGGAAAAATGCAAACTGAGCGGTCTCCCCCTCCCCCGTCCATGTACCGTGTTTCAGGATGCAGAAACAAACTCAAGGCAGGGCCAAAGAAGAAGCCATCGGGGTGGGATGATCCGACTCGGGTTCAGCTGTCCAAACACGACCACGCACAAACCTACGTATGCCTGGTCGACTGTGAAGCGTGCCGCACTCACGCATGTTGGGAGCTGTGCGCCTGGGCCGAGCTCCACGTCCCTTCGTGCTTTCTCGGAGCACGACGGTCTCAGATCATTTCATCACCGAGTGACCGACGTCCTTGCGCCACTCCTACGAGTAGCCCTGCTCCCTGCCTGCCATGCTGCTACAGGACGCGGACCCGGCCACACATCGCCGTCTCCCATCCAGCTCCACTCTCGCCGCACCCCAAAGCGCTTCTTCGATGTCGCACGCACGCGGTCGTGAGCCGCCACATATCCGGGCGGATGGAAGGGTCATCGAGCGGGCCGAGGGAGGGTGCCCGGTTGCCTGAGGAAGCCTAGCCTTCATTCTACGTACCTACCTACCTAACGCGCATCCTATCACGCGGACGGATGGATTCGCCTTCTACCTTGGCTGTGCTGTACAGACGGGCATTACTGGCCGCGTGCGTGGGACACGGGCGGAAGCAGACCGCTCTGGCCTGCTGGCTTCTTGTCTTCGACATTCGCATTGGCATCGGCGGTGCAAGGAACCGACGCGGTGGCCTGTCAGATTACGAGCTGGCTCCGGGAGCTCAGCCCCGCTCCGTTCCGGTCTTGACGTCAGGCTCCAGGCTCGTCGCGCGTGCGGTAGGGTCTTCCTGCCCTCGTGCGCTTTGTTCTCTTTCCCCTCGGGTGCCAATATCATGATCTGTTCAGCCGTGTTGTCTAATCGTGGTCATCTGCTGTGACTTTCAATCGTTTTCATGGTCAGACACGGGTCAGACACGGGCCATTTCATCCGTGGCCTCTCATCGTGAATGATCATGAACGCACGACGGGTAAAGTTTCATGTTCTGGAGCTCCCATGATGGCAGCAAACTACTTTCGCTGGGATAACTTGGCCGGCCTTGACCCAGGGATACTCGCAAGTTGTGCGACAAATCTACAATCGATATTCCGGAGCCTGTCGCTCAAGAGGACTAGATGAACCAGTTGACGATGAGAATGTAAAGATTTCATTATCTAGGTAGTACTGTAAGTGAGTGTATGGATGCAACGGTCACGGTCACGGTCTAGTCCGTCGCGTCGCACAAGTCCTCGATTGTCACGCGTCCCAGAGGGTCTCGTCGCGATCGAGGCGGCGTGACATCCCAAAAAGGAAATTATTTGATAGTAGATACATTTGCACTATTACTGACCAGTCTCATCCTCCGTGGGTGTTCCAATGACAGTCCACTTCTCCCCTGCATTCTTATAGGCCCAAATGTCATCCCCGTCCATCGTCAGAGTCAGCAAAGACTGAACAGCGTGTCTGTCAGGCTTCTCCGCCATGAATGATGGTCGCATTAGGAAGCGACAGTCACGCGTCATGAAGGGGCCGTCGCATGTCTGGGGCCGTCGCGTCACGTCACGGTCTTAGAGGTCATTGCATCCATACACTCACTTACAGTATTAGACAGAGTCATCTCCCGATGAACCGAGATCATGGTCCATTATTTCACATCCTGTGCGTAGAGAGCTGTTCGCTGAGAGGGGTGAAAGAGTGAGTGTCCAGGCTCGTTCATACAATAACTACCAAGTTTTCCTGACATTTCCAGCTACCCGTAGTCTCTATAGTCCCCCCCTCGCCCTGAGATCCTGAACTCGAGAATTGATTGCTTGGCATCGCACATACGATCGTGCGGCCCAAACAATACAAGTGAACACAAAGTCCCCGGCCCAGATGCTGAACCCTGTCCGAGGAAGACATGGTCCTGCGCGGATCTTCACATCCTCCGGTCTGGACGGGAGCCGAGTAGATTCTCAGTGCACACAGCCGGTGTACATACTTACTGCTGTAGTACTAGTCTGCCGTCGCTCAGCCTGACCAGATCATGTTCTAGGCGACGGAGACATTCTGTGGGGTCATATGAACATCGCACATCAGCACAATTATGCCAAATGGGTGCGCGAGACACTGGGGCCCCAGATGTGCATATCAGGTGCTGCTGCTTGGGATCTCACTCCCAGGGCGCGCTGGTACGTACGAGACGGAAAGTTTCGAGCTCCGCGGCATGTGCCTGTTTCAGATCTTCGAACGCGCATCCCCCCATCCCGTAACAGAGCCCTGAAATTATGAGTTGGCGCTTGGTTCACCTCCAACAAACGTCCGTCTTACCTCTGCGATCAGATGACCAACCTCAAACAATGCAGTTCAGTTCTCAGTCGGCGCGGTTGACGATATACGGCGTTCGCGTGGGAAGATAGAGCGCGTCCGCGGTGGCACTCGACTTGAGTTGATAGCGTGAGCAACTCCCAGTCAGAAGCTCCTCGCGAAGACGCCCCTGGCCGGTCCTGTTCTACTTCCGAGCCCAGAGTTCTCCAGTCCCAGGGGCACTGCCAGAAGAGCTAAGCGGATCGGCGCCCCTACATTCTTTTCATCTTCCATGCGTTGAGTTCCATCTTGACCCGATGCTTTGTGAGATGGCGTATGTTTTTTGCTCGTCGGCTGCCGCTGATTTTGGGTTAAAAGCACCATTGGATACCAGGGCCGCTGCGATGTCCACCTCAGCCTCCGCCACGCACATAGATTCTTCAACACATCGGCCGTCAAGTCCCGCAGAGAGCCTTGCGGCAGCGGGTGAAGGATCCCCACAGAGCTGCCGTTAGCATCATCGACGACGTTGACGACCCGAATGCCTGGTAGCCGTGCCATGACATATAGGCTCGCATCTTCCCTCTAAAGTAGCTTCAGCCGATTCTCCTCCAAGTATTCCTAGGCACCGACTGTAGATAGCAGACGATGAGGGCTCAAGAGCCGAAGGATACACACCAACATCCTCTTCGCCGCCTAAAAATGGCCTAGATTCCCGCCCCGTTCGTCCGTTCGTCCGAAAAGCGGCTGCGGGCAGTGCCCACACAACCGGTGTGCAGATACCGGATCCGAAAGATGGCGGCTCTGGATGAGAGCTCGTCCGTGCGTCATGGAAGAGCCGGGACCGCGCACGCGGTCGGGGATGCGGTGAATGTACCATGGATTTGAATGCCGGTCGTCATCCATGAGAGAGCGAACCATCGGTAGAAGCGGGCTGCGGAATCAAAGCGCGAAAGAGCGAGTGCGATGGGAGAGGATATTTCTGAGTCATCCGACTGACCTGTATCGCAAGGAAGCACATTGGAGACCCGATATAGCAACCGAGACTCGGATCGGTCGTGGCCCGGGGAAGCAGTCTAGGGATTGATACTGGTGGGGAATTCTAACTAGATTCGGAGTTCAAAACCGTTGATCGCACGCCAGACTTCGACGTCCGGCATCTCTCATCAAGATTGATCACTTTCCCGCGGCCAACTGTCACTTTTCGAAATCCGAGTGGACTGTTGCGGACTGCAGCGACATCCCGGCCATCAAATTCCGCTCCAAAAATAGGTGGCTGTGGTGTGGTAGCCACCTCCTTCGACCAGGTCCGTTCGTTCACATACCGATACCAATGAGTTCATCGGCGACAAAGCGCACCCAGATCCATTTCACTCAGTACACAATCAATGTTGGAGGCGTGATGGCTACCCAGGCAGAACGAACATTAGGGTCGGTAAGTTACGCAGCCGTCCGTCGCGTCCAGCTCGATCACCGGTCTATCTCGAGGTGAACACTCATCTGAAACTTAACCCTAGTTTCGATTTCTAACCTAATTCGTGTTGTACCACCGGCGAGCGAGATACCCGATTCCCACGTCTCGTCGGGCCTATTGACGCCGGGTTGGATACCGAAGTGTGCGGCATTACACTGCATACATACTAAAGACGTGGGCTGCGGCTACCCTAGTCATCTCCAACTTTTCTCTCCCGATCTTTCCATGGCTGCCCCTAGTCCACCGCTCACGCTAGAATTTGCGACCAACAGCGTGCGGAACACCACCCTCTCGTCCGGGTCCGACGATCCGTACTACGAGATCGTCACCCGCTTCTGGCACCCGAAGATCACCAAGATACGCCGCCTCGACCAGGGCACGCGGCTGATGTCGACCGTCTGCGAGATCGACGCGGGCCCGCACGGGCGGGCGGCTAAGGTTCGATTCGCCGAGCCCTCCCCGCTGGCGCTGCACGACAAGGAGCTGAACTGGGGCGAGTGGGTCGACTCGGAGGCGCTCATCAAGATGGCCGAGGGCAAACAGTGAGTGCCGCTCCGTCTCGTCCTTGGTTGAGCCACTCGCATCCCATTAACGCCCGGCGACAGAGGCGGGATCTTCGTGGACACGGACGGCACGGAATACCGCTGGAAGACGCAGAAACGCAGGTTCCAGCTTGTGCGAGTCGGCGACGAGACGCAGAATCCCGTCGTCACGTTCCACGGCCACAAGCGCCCGCTTGGCGTGTGGTGGATGATGTCTGAACACTCTAAATTGGAAATACGCCCGCCGATCCAGGATCTCGAGAAGTTGATCGGTGAGTTGCGGTCAAGCCTTTTTTTAGCATAAGCTGAGTAACTTGGCTGCTGCAGTCACATTCTTGTTGGTGGAGCGTAAGCGTCGGCATAGCCACTTTTAATCTCTCGAGTGCTGTCCACTCTTAGACGAGACATGCGTTCGGGTGGACTTTGAACCGAGCCGACCGCATTGATTACATTCCCGGCACCGCGGCAACAGCTCGTCCCGGAGGTTCGAGATCTTCATGTCAGTAGTTAGTTATCATCCATATGGTTGAGGTCAATCTTATCTGTGAGCGCATGAAAAAACTTTCTCGTGTAACTCTACGCTGTGTCACCACCCTCTACTGCTTTGGATCTCTTTTCACCAGTACAGATGATCTGGAGGAGGTGGTCCTTTTATAATGATACTACACGCTGATTCGTCCCTTTTTGCATTTCTTCCAGCTCTGAAGCGACGTTTTGACCTGGCAAAGAATGCTCCGACAACCTCAAGCAGCGGTCATCTGATTTCTGGTCCTCACAGCGGTCGGTGTCTTGCCTCCTCTGAAGCCGTTCCGAAACTGAGTACCTCAACGGCGGCCACTGCGAAAGTAGAACCTTATTTTCGATTGATAGACTGAAGCGAGCTTGCGTAAAGTTTCCGGGCGAGTCTGTTCCCCTCGGGAGTGATGTGTTCTGCCTGATTGTGGAGGGTTGGTACACATCGGGAAGAGATGGACCATTGATTTGAATCAAGGACTTCTAATGGATGTTCTCTGATGATCTTCGGAATCATTGATCAGATTTAAAAATCGATCATGGCCTACAGTATGGTGTTTCATGAGCTTGCGCGAAACGTAGCTGTAGTTCCTCAAAGGAGTCTCCCACTCAGAAGAAGATCGCGCTTTGAATTGACATTGTACTCCTGTGGCGGCACATGGTCGAGGTAGCTGCGGTCGACTCGGAGGATGAATTGAACAGTGAGCTGAAAAGCGTGAAGCATGAATCTAAAAACAAGTCGTCTGCATCTGAGCATAACGGGTTCCTGGTATTTAGTGATGAAATGACGTCAGTCCAATATCGCACACATAACGACCGTGACGGATCCGGCCTTGGGCCCTGCCGCATAGCCTTCTAACCGTCCAACCGATTGATTACTCATTCGCGCTGCCACCCGTCCGTCCCTTGTATTTAGGATATCGCCAGCGGCACGACGCCCTCGACCATCATCTCATCGACTGCACTCTCCACTCTCCCATGGACGCCGTTCTCGCGCTCGCACCACGACGGCTCGTCGCGCGCACGCTGTGCACGCTCGCAGTCTCGACCGCCGTCTACGCGGGCTACGCCCTCGCCGCAGCCCTCTACCGCCACTTCACTTCTCACCTGCGACTGCTGCCGGGCCCCGCGTCGACGCATTGGTTTTGGGGGAACAGTCGGGAGCGGATCGCTGATGTGTGTCGTTGTGCTTCCTCTGCATCTTAGATTGGCTCCCCCGCTGAGGCCCGCTGTGCGCTAGCAAGATCGTGGGCTCCTGGACGAATGGGCGAAGCTGTATGGACGCGTGTACAGGACCCGGCGGATGATGGGCGGGTACAACCTCGTTATTACCGACACGAAGGCCATCCACCATTTCCTGACGCAGACCGGGGTGTACCAGAAGTCGAAGATGATGCGGACGATGTTGGGGAGGATCGTGGGGCCTGGTGCGGTTGCACTATCTCTTGTCTCTCTGTAGGTCTTATTTATGCCAGGGATCTTGGTCGTCGAGGGCGAGCAACATCGGAATCAGGCAAGGACTGGTGTCTCTCTCTATAAGCAACCTCTCTTGACGCGAAAGCATCTAGCGCAAGATCATGAACCCTGCATTTGGTCTCCCGCAGGTTCGGGAGCTGACGGAGATCTTCATCCAGAAGTCTATCCAGGTGCGTGACTACTCAAATATCACTCGCCGCGCAGACTGACTTGAAAAGCTGCGGGATGTCTGGCTGGCCGCGGCGACAGCGTCCCCCGAAAACGCTGCTCCCGTCGAAGCCCTGTCTGCGCTGAGCAAGACGACACTCGACATCATCGGCCTCGCCGGGTTCAATCACGACATCAACGCCCTCGCCGCAGACGCTCACTCGCAACCGGACGAGCTCGCCGATGCTTTTGAGAAGCTATTCGAGGCTGAAACCGGTTTTGATCTTCTCGGCCTATTTATTTCGAGAGTGCCGCTCATGAGCAGATTGGTTTGTCCTTGTGTCCAGTTTTCCGCGCTCCCATTCATGTGTGTACCAGCCTACTAAGCAATACCGCACCACTAAAGCGGCACAGGCCCGCATGATCGCTAGTGGTCGCAGACTTCTCGCTGAAAGCAAGCGAGAGGTGCAGCAGAACGGGTCGTTTACCAGCGGCACTGGACGAGCGAGAGATCTGTTGGCGCTTCTCGTGAAAGCGAACATGGACAAGGACATCCCAGAGAGCCAACGCTTGAGTGATGAGGATGTTTTAGCTCGTGCGTCACTTGTGTTATCTCCACTTCGCTCAAGCTGACTCTGCTGCAGAGGTTCCGACCTTCTTGGTTGCTGGGCACGAAACTACTAGGTGCGATCTTCACACTGCTATAAATATTGGATTCTGAGATGCCATCAGCACCGCTGTGACCTGGGCACTGTTTGCTCTGACTCAGCACAAATCCGTCCAGGACCGCCTTCGCGAAGAGGTTCGCGGAGTCGCCACAGACTTCCCGACACTTGATGAGCTCAACTCGCTCCCTTATCTCGACTGCATCGTCAAAGAGACCTTGAGGTTGCATCCGCCTGTGACACAAACCAGTCAGTGAAAGCAGTTGCTCATTCGATGGACATTGACTCGTAGATAGGCCGAGTGGCAGTAGTCGATGACGTCCTACCGCTGGAAGAGCCGTTTACAGATATTCATGGCATCGCGCACAGCAGCCTTTTGTCAGTATGCATCCTTTCAGCGGAACGGAAGCTCATGATCGTGCAGAATCAAACAGGGACAGATTGTTTTGATCCCGATTGCGATGCTCAACCGGGATAAATCTATATGGGGCGAAGACGCTCTCGAGTTCAAGTTTGTTTTCACTTCTATGGCCCAACCGCGATTCACGCTCCGCAGACCCGAGCGGTGGGACTCATCCATATCTAACTCGATCCCCGGCATCTACTCGCACATGCTGACATTCATCGGCGGGCCGCGGAACTGCATCGGGTATCGCTTCGCCTTGGCTGAGATGAAGGCCCTGCTGTTCACTCTCGTCCGGAGCCTCGAGTTTGAGCTGGGGGTGCCGGCTGAGCAGCTCAGCCAGAAGGGCACAGCGATTGTGATGCGCCCGATCGTGTTGAGTGAGCCGGAGAAGGGGAATCAGCTGCCGTTGATTGTCCGTCCTGTCTCGTGGACACCGTAAGCAGCATGCACTGTATTTGATAGAAGAAATCAGTCCCACTCTCCCGGATGAAGCATCAGCAAAGCCGTCTTGACTCCATTACGACCGCAATGAATGGCCAATGATTGGGGTTCTATAAGCAAAATGTACTATCTTCGTCTGTTATCATGCCGAAACTCGAATGGGACTATGAACGACTGAAGCGACGAGAGCTCGATGATTTCTCAGAATGCCCAATCGTGCTGTGGGGTGACTAGGGCCACAAGCAATTGGTTTATAACCCGACGATTGTGATGGGTGCACTTGGCAATCGATCACGTGAAGGTTCGTTTGGGGAATGTGAGCTTTGCTTTGGCTAGCTTGCGCCACTGACGCTTGTGTGCATGCACCTTGCAGCCACATACAGAGGTCAGGGATAGATCGTTATGCCTATCTCAAATGCTGATTTGGGGCTCGAAGGAGTGGGTACCCTGCCAGTCATCTCCCGATCGTGACCGCGAGGGTCCCCACATGATCACCTGAGTACCCTGCCAGTCACCCATGTCTTGTGCATAAAACAAGAGTGTGGTCTGCTTCCAAATGCTCCCGCGCGCGCACGACAGAAAATCCAGTCATGTCCGACTCCATCGAATGCGGGAATGTCGACAACGGCAGCACGTTCATGGGGCTGCGCATCGCGTCGGTGTTCATCATACTCGTGTGCTCGACGGCGGGAACGATGTTCCCCATCGCGGCGCAGCGCTCGACGTGGCTGCGAGTGCCTAAGCCGGTCTTCGAGTGCGTCGCTGGCTGCCTGGTTTTCGATCCCCTCAGGCTGACTTTGTGTCCGATAGGTTCGCCAAGTACTTTGGATCGGGTGTAATCATCGCGACCGCTTTCATCCATCTTTTATCACCCGGAATGGACGAGCTGTCCTCTCCGTGTCTGTCCCCGGCGTGGTTAGACTACGTCGGTGTTTCTCTCCTGGTCGCGTGATCGTTGAGGGCTGACTGCCCCCTCACAGCCCTACGCGCTCGCGTTCTGCCTCCTCAGCATCATGTCCATCTTCCTCGTCGAGCTGATCGCATTCCGCTGGGGAACCGCGAAGCTGAAGAGGATCGGAGCCAGCCACGGTGCGTCCCGCGCATTCTCACTCATGCTCCTCCCATCTGCGAGGCTGATCAGCACACACGTCCAGATCCGCACGGCCATCGATCCGACTATTCCCATGCCGCACACGGACCGGAGACCTCTGCTGTTCCTGCCCAGGCTGCGGTCCCCCTCGCCTTGGCGCCCAAGGTCGACTCTTACAGTGGCAGATCAGATCCTGAGAGTGGCAAGGCTGAGCTCAAGGTTGGTCTGTCGAACATCGATGACTCGGTGGCGGCGCGGATCTTGGGCATTGCGATCTTGGAATTTGGGGTGCTGCTTCACAGGTGCGTATCTCTTGGAGACCTTGCACACGCATCCGATTTCCGACATGCTTGCGGCTTAGTATCCTCATCGGCCTGACCCTCGCTGTCGACCCGAACTTCAAGATCCTGTTCGTCGTGATCATCTTCCACCGTGAGCCGCCCTGAATCCGAACCAATACATGTCGCCGACCTCCTGATTCCCCACCCAGAAACATTCGAGGGGCTCGGTCTCGGATCCCGGCTCGCCTCGCTGCACGACACTCTGCCCCCGACCTACCACCTGGTGCCCTACCTCGCGGCGGCCGTGTACGGAATCAGCACCCCCATCGGCATCGCCGTCGGGCTCGGCGTCCGCTCGACCTACAACCCGGGCGGGACCACCGCCAGCATCGTCAGCGGGATCCTGGACTCTCTCAGCTCCGGTGTGCTGATCTACACTGGTTTGGTCGAGGTGCGTGGATTTTCGTCTCGATGTTGTTGTTCTCCGATATCTAACTTTCGCAGCTGCTCGCACACGAGTTCCTCTTCAACAAGGAGATGATCAACTCGAGCAACGGGAAGCTGGCTTATGCCATTTGCTGCATGCTCCTGGGCTGCGGGATCATGGCGCTGCTCGGACGATGGGCTTGAGACTATCAAACTAATTCCCCAGTATTTAAAAAGTAGAGCTATGCTTCATATGACCCCTGTCTTCAACACGGCCCATTGGCACACTCCTTGCGACAACGGTCTGCAATCGATAGCAGTCCCGGACAGCACTCGAGAAGGAAGCAGCCTTCATTGTTGCAGAACACATTGATCCCGAAGTCCGGAATGCATCCCTGCGGCGGGAGGGGCATGAGCGCATCGTTGGTGCATCTGTGCATTACAGCTCAGAATCGAGAGAATTTGGAAGCGGGTAGGGGACTCACTTGTACTGCCACGGCGAGTAACACGCGCCGCCGCAGCGGAGGTAGCCCACGCGATCGACGATGGGACAGAGGAAGTTTTGGTCGATGCAAACATACTGCCCTCGGGGATCAATAATAGATCACGCAGACCATCGTATCCCGACTCACATCTTCAGGATGGAACTGCGCATCGCCGCACTGCTCCAAGGGGTTCGAGGCCCCGAACGTGGCATTGAACGGCACGAGCGTCGTCTGGTTGCATCTGCAGACGAGTCAGTCGATCGCGAAAACGAGCCCGGGAGCCTGATCCTTGCGTGAAATGGCTGGTCGAGTAGCACGTGTCCCCGCATCGGAGCAGGACGTCCGCGTCGCTGTCTCCCTGCGGGTCGAGAATGGGGCAGAGGAAGTTGCCATCGTAGCAGGTCATCTGCGAACGGTCAGTCACCATCGCGAGCCTAAGCCATCAGCTGCAAGGTGCTCACATCGACGGGATTGTACTGCGACGCGCCGCAGTTGAGCAGTGTCTGCGCCACGGCAGCGGTGGTTACGAGCGCGGAGAGGATGAGCAGCGCGAGGCGAGACATTGAATGCTAGCACGGGGCTTGGCTGGTGGCACTTGCAGGTCACTACGGATAATTGAGGCGCGCCTGTAGTTTATATAGCACAGGCGTTGTGTTGTCTGAGATGGTTATCCAACGCGCTTGAGATCATGGTGGCCTCTGAGCGAGCCCGGTATTCCTGTGCCCGTGCTTCTGACACATCTGGAATTCGAAGCTGGGAGGCGGACTGGCGTCTTATTTTCAGGCAGGCACGACGTGCGGCTGATTCGACTAGGCCCCAACTGTCAAATGCACGTAGATGAGCGGGGGATACATCGGCCGCAAGACGCAACCGTCGTGACCGGTCACGATCACGTATCACGTGATATATCACGTCATGCCCCGCTTGCGCCGCCGATCATTCCGTCTTCGACTTCTCTGGTCAGCTGAACCGCTCAGCTGCCCGAACCAGTTCTTGTCTCCTATAAACTTTGATGCGAAGCTGGAAAATATCGATACAGACGAGGTTTGCCTGGGTAGTAGCGATGTGTGACTACAGCAGAAAGCACCCCATCTCAGAGCCTCCGAGTCCTCGATACCCACAAACACAATGTTCTGTCCAGAATCTAAAATCGAAGCAGCGCGCTCTGAACCTGTGGCCACAACGCCTATTGCCACGTGCCCGCGTACGTCGCATGACGTCGCAAGCGAAGCCGCGCTACTTAAATGTGCGAAGCCCCACAGGGCTTGGCGACGCCCCGTTCTCCAATGCTCGCGAAACTCCCGCTGATTTCTGCCCTCGCGGTCCTGGCGCAGGCGCAGGCGCAATCCCAATGCCCCGACTTTGCGGTGTACTCGCAGGCAAGCACCGCCTTCTCGCGCACCGCGGGAATACAGCGCTCGATCGCTCACGCTCGGTCACTGGCAGACGCCCCAGGGCAATCCGTCAACGGGACCGCTGCGGCTGCCATTCATGCGCCCGAGTCCGGCCTGTCGAACGTTCAACAGCACGGCGGTCGAGGTTAGATGGCTGTCACTGGCTGTGGATCACTGAGCGAGCCCGGCGGATGACAGAAAGTGGTGACGGATATGAAAGCACGTATCAAGGATCCCGATTTGGCGCGGCTGTTCGAGAACACGTTTCCCAATACGCTGGGTGAGTTCTCGCGTATCGGCTCCTATGTGGGCGGAGATCTCAGGCTTGGAATAGACACGACTGTGAAGTACTTCAATGCGGTGGGTGTGTCCCTGAGATCGTGAAGATTGCATATGAAGACGGGTTCCAGACTGAAAATCTGGCGTTTATCATTACTGGGGTATAGAATTTTCATCTGCTCCTTCACTTGCGTATTGACCGGTCGACAGGACATCACGTTCGTCGTTCCCACTGAACTAAATATGACCAATCCAAACTGAAGGGCGTCTGACAGGGCGCAGTGGTTGCGAGACACGGCGAATCAGGTGTGCACGGTTCTCCCGCTCTGATGCTTACAGCACCTGACTCGTCGTGCACCAGTTCGCCGCGTACAGCTCCCTCATCTCTCTTGATCCATCTTTGGCTGTGCTGATGAAGGCTGTCATCAACAACGAAGCGCGATACGTCTCGCAGTACCCCTACTGTTCGTCGCTCCTCCGATCAGACATTGCGTGTGAGCTCAATGAAAGATCCATCCATAGGCGGATCGTTCCAGCCACCACCGGAATCTGGACTGGCGCCGAGTGTGAATGGATATGCCGTTCTCGTTGAAGTCAATCCGTGGGTCATGGTTCAGTCAGTCCGTCACCTGACTCAGTTGGCGTCTGCCGTAGGCCCGTGAACAATCAAACCGTCTTTGAGTGCAAGGTTCATCTTGTTTGGATTATGTCCGCTATCGCTCAAACTTGTCGCAGTACGAGATCGACTCTCTCTGCGGATTCCTCAAGCTCTCACGCTCGTATTATACCGAGACCAAGGATGCTACATTCATGGATGCCCAATGTCTAGCGCGAAATCTCTGATTGTATGCCAGCGCTCACTCAATCCTTGCAGGGTTCGACGCGATCGACCAGATCTTGACCGTCGTAGACCACCAGTCTCAAGCCTCTTTTGACGCCGACTTCAACTGGATCTCCTATTATAATTTCACCGGGCTCGCTGGGTCGTTGTCGCCTGCAGTCCCGAACGGGGGGAACGGCGAGCCCAAAGGGTACACGGGCAAGTTCATCCTTCCCTCATCCCACTAAGTTGTGAACCTTCGATACCAGGCATGGTCGGAACGCACCACCGACCTTCCGATGACTTGAGCACCTACGCGTTCTTGACACCGGCGAACGCAATGCTCTCGGTTGAGCTTGGGAATCTGGTCACGATCCTCACCGAGTCCGGCAAGTCGAAGACTAGCCGGGGGAAGAACGTGACCGCTTTGGCCAAGACGTGGAGCAAACGAGTCCATGATGCGATTTGGAACTCGACTGTAAGATGACACCGCAAGACGACAATGTAGGATTCATTCTCATGCAGGTCGTGAACAACATCTTTGCATACGAGACCAACGGCCTCGGCTCGCGCTATGTGATGGACGATGCCAATGTACCGGTACGTAAATCTATCTCCTGGTCCTAGCACGATTCTCATGAACGACCGCAGTCGCTGCTCTCGCTGCCCTACCTGGGCTTCCTGGACATGCATAACCCCACCTACGTCGCAACGCGGAAGCTACTCCTCTCGCGCATGAACCCGTACTTTGCCGCTGGCAAGAATTTCAGCGGGATCGGGTGCGTCCAGATCTTTTTCCTGGAGTGAAGCCACACGGAGCTGAACGCCGGATATAACAGCGGCCCACACGTCGATGCGTGGAACCCGTGGCCCATGTCGCAGATCACGGCGATCTTTGGCACGGACGACGACAAGGAGATCCTCGACCGGCTGTCTCTCATCGCCAAGGCACGTTTTCCTGCCTCGATTACATCGATCGCGTCGTTAACAATGTCCCTTACCCCTTACAGAACACGGCAGGACTCGGCCTGATACACGAGTCGCAGAGCATCTACAATTTCACCTCTTACACTCGCCCGTGGTTCGCTTGGGTGCGTAGTATCCATGTCCGACGAGGATCCCGATTTGAACTGTTTGGCAGGCGAACAGCTATTTCGGCGAGATGATGCTGGACTTGGCAAAGCGCAAGCCAGGATTGATCTTCCATAATAGCACCGCATATACTCCAGGGCATTGAGCTCGGGCTGAAAAAAAAAATCTGAGAGTGATGGGCCTGTAACGGTCAATCATGGCTGCAAGAAAGCCGCTTTTACGCTCACTACTCTACTTGCCTTTCAAAGTAGTCAAATGTCTAGTGAAATCTTCTGTTGCTCGGACCCCGGTGATGATCGATGTTTCTCCGCTTCAGGTCTGGTCTTAGTCTCCTCATTCCCAATAATGGGGTTCTCTTGCAAGCCTCCGAAAAAAATCGGGAGGAAGAGATCAACCGGAAAACCAAACTACAAACATGTCCTTGGTTTATGACGAGTTGAAGACTAGTATGTAAGAATCCCAGTGTCTAAGCATTCCTGAAAATTCTACCATTCTTTTCCCCCTTGAAATTGTTTGATCGTGCTCTCGCGGCTGAGCGTAGAGATTGCTCCTTAAAATCGACTTACGTCGATCAAATATTCGGTTTGATAATTGACCCCTTTTTGCAGATGTTTGAGCATACTCCCAGTCTCTCAAACAGGGGGTAAGGAGAAAGAAAAGACAATTTCGAGCTTTAAACTTTGATTGCTAGCTTGAATTCACAGGATTAGTTGGGAAACTAGGAACAGGGTTCCAAAAGCAACAACTTCACATTCAGGACTAGTTTATGTGTATTCGATGTAAGCATCCACTTCATAAGAGGAACGCCATGTCATCCACCCTCACTTCTGGTCCTTCACCGCACACCGCGAGTCATCGGCATCACAAGGAGCCTGGCATCTATCATTGACCGCAAACAGCCCCGCACAACACACCAAACTGACGCATCCCGCATTGGTGCAGAAGACCGCCGAGCCGGATTCCTCGACGCAGTCATGCGGGGGGACGGAGGTCAGTGCGGAGTCGGTGCAGCTAGCGCGGGAGATGTGAGCTTTCAGACTGACAGACTGACGAGTGCTGCGCCAGCGCGGCTTACTTGTACCGGAACGGATCGTAGCAGGCGTCTCCGCAGCGCAGGTAGCCGGTCCCATCAATCAGAGGGCACAGGTAGTTCCCGTCGACGCAGAGGTATTTGCGAATCCGAATGAGCTTGGTCGAGAACCGCAGAGAACCTGGCGCCGTACCTCGTTGGGATAGAATCGAACGTCGCCGCAGGTCTCCAGCGGGTCTTGGCCAGCGATCACAGGCTCCAGCAAGGTATCATTGCACCTACCGAGTGGCCGAGTCACTGACAGTTCCTGCACGCAAGCTTCAGAGAGACGAGACTGACGTATAAGACTTGGTCGAGTAACACGCGTATCCGCAGCGCCGGAGCGCGTCCGCGTCGCTAGCCTTGTCGTTGTTAACGATCGGGCAGAGGAAGTTGTCGTCGAAATAGGTGTACTAAAATCGCCTGTCGGATCACTCGCACGAAGTGAACGCGCAGGTGCCTACTTTGGTCGGCAAGTAGTCAGAGTCCCCGCAAGTCAAAGTCTGCGCGAAGATCCTGAGGGCCAGGATGGGGAGCAGCGAGAGAACGATGAGAGGATGCATTTCTTGTGGGTTGTGTGCGTTCGCTCAATCTTGAATGAGCGTTGCTTCAAACGGTCAAGAAAGTCACCGCTGCCCCATCGAGTAGGTCTTCTGGTCACCGTTCTTGGATTCTGAGCTTTGCCATTGGACGAGATGTGACGCGACATAACAAGCGTGCCTTCGGATTGTGGAGGACCCACATCTCTCGCCGATCCTAGTCCAGAAGCTACCAAAGTACTATAGATGCTCGATATCTCCGATGACTACTTACTACTCCACTGACTACTACTTACAAAATGCTACAATACACGAGAATCCAAATTATGGTTCTAGCAATATTTCCCGGATAGAATAGATGAGGGTGTAGGATAGAGCAATCGCACGTAACGTCATTGACCGACCAGCTTCCCTCTTGGATAGCGCACAGCAAACAGCACCAGCGCAGCAGCGAGCGCCGTGACCGAGTTGTACAGGAAGATCAAGTTGGGCAGGCCCGCACGCGACAAACACGCGAACAGCGCGCCATACAGCGTCGCAGTGAAGATGTTCGCCGCCGTCTGCCAGAAAACATCGTCAGCAAAACGGGTGGGAGGGGGAGCACCAGCGCAATCAGCCGCACGCACCTCAATCAGCGCGATGCCTGCCAGTGCCTCCGCCTTGGACTTGGCAGGCACCATGTCCAGCAGCACACCCTTGCACGCTGGGGCCGTGCCAGAAGCAAGCGGGGTGATCAGAGCCGCCGCCCAGATATGGCCGCTGCGGCAGGAGAAGATGAGAATGCCGATAAGGATCGAGTCTATTATCATTCTGTTACGCTCTGTCAGTCCAAGGCGCCCATCCCATCCCAGCATGAACAGACACGCACGAGAATCGAAGAAACTCGAGATCAAAGGCGCTCCCGTGTATCGGCTTGCGAGTGCACGAGCTTTCCGCAGGTGGAAGTGCGTTGTCGTCGGCCGCCGTTCGGGAGGACAGGTACTTGCGTCCACGAGAGATGATCCGAGGGAAAACGAGCGTGAGGAAAGCGGCCCGAGAGAGTGAGTTGCAAGACATTCTGGGATGCACAGTCAGTAGGTCCGATCAAAGAGAGCAAAACAGCCAGCTCACAGTAAGCCGTTATCGACGGGCTTGAAGCCGTACTTGTTGGTCGCGGTAAGCTGCAGCATGAGAGGCTGGCGAGCAGTGAGAGGTAGCACTATATCGGAGAGCGGGACAGGACTTGCCACGTATCCGGTCGACATCACAGAAGTGAAAGCGCCAAAGCCCAAGAGAGAGACACCCCAGAATCGCCCGCTCCCGTCCGCATACTTGGCAGGCCAGAAGATCCCCAGTGGGCGCAGGAACGAAAAGAACGAGGTCGTCTTGACGTCGCGTTCGGGAGAAACGGGGTTCGATGCTGTGCCACTGCGCAAGGGGAAGCCGCCGGGCGGGATGTACGGCAGGAAGAAGGCGGTGAAGAGCGTAGATAGAACGAGTAAGCAGAAAGTGATCTGGAACGGGGTCTCGAATCTGACCAGCGCCCAAACCACCCCGCCGCCGATGTAGCCTGTGGGGAAGCGCACCATGAGGATGACATAGGGGAGAGCATGATGGATTCGGCGCACCTATAGCCACACCGAGCATCGCCATCCCGGCCAGGACCCCAAAGGCGGCCGTCCGCTCACCCGGCTCGACGACCTCTGCCATATACGCATTCGCCGACAAAAGATAACCAGCGCCGCCACCGAGGATGGTGATGAGCTGGGTGCCGTTGATGATCTGGATCCCCGTCGCGCCGCCCACGGTGACTGCGGTTGGAGCTTAGTGACGAGAAAGTGTCGGAGACTAACACGCACTAGCGTATATCTGACACAGGTTCCGGAGGGCAGGCCAGAAGGTTTGCTGCACGATGGCCTTGCGGAGGCCCCAGTGGTTGATTTGCCAGGTCGTGAAGATGAGATTGATTGTGCCGCTCAGCTGTCAACGACGCGTGAAAAACTTGCCCAGGACCCGGAAAGCACAAGCACACGCACCGTCGCTAGACAGAGCATGACCGTGATGTCCTTCGCTGTCCTCGCCTCGATCGCGGGCACCGCGCACGCATCGCCATCGCCCTCATATGGTGGGTGCGTTTTGTAGTACTCCTCGCAGTTGAATAGCCGGTACCCATACGTGAGCGGTGTGGCAGTCTGCGCCGTCGAGCTCAGCCCACGGGCGACACGCGCGATCAAAGGGCGTGGGACTCACAAAGGCGAATGTGGTCGAAAGCAAAAAAGTCGCCAACAGCACACGTCGATATGGACTAAAAGCTCCGCGCTTCCTCAGGTGCGAGCTGTCCACCTGCGGTTTGGGGAGGAGGGGCCGACGCTCCATGGATTCCCGCGACCTGGAGAGGGAGCCTGGCATGACGGCGTCGATTCGAAGGAGGAGGCGGCAGCGGTTTGTACGGGGGTGATGGTGGTGGGGGCTCGAGTTATGGCGGATGTCAGCCCTTCATTCAACAAACGCCGCGGCGAGGTTACGATCGGCGCGCGTTCGGCCGTTACCGGAGTAGCGTCTGTTTATGCTTGAACCGGGTCGGAGGTAGGAAAAGACGAGTGAGTTGGCCCCGGATACTCCGAAAGCCAGTTGTAGGCGACTGGCAGCTGCGCAGTCGTTGGCGATACAGGAAGCTGCGCAACGGCTAGGCATCGATCATGTCCGCGGCGAATAAATCTTTCACAGGTCGGCCATTGATGCGCAAATGACAGCTTGGCATCACGCCATCAATAGACTGCCGCTGCTGCTGACTGAATCTCTTGGGATCAGTGGATCGGTCAGCTGGTGAAGGAAAACTGGCTCCGAGTCCCCAGTCCAAGCGTCCTGCCTGGCCTTAGAAAATGGGGTCTTCTCTGAAAAAATAGGCTCATTCAAACTGCATCTCTCATGATCACCAGTCTAAACCCCGTTTGGAAATCAGATGGACGGCCGCGGCAGCCTCAATGTACCTCTACAGCGCACCAACCGCTCTCGAGGGCCCTTGTCTGGAGCAGATCGATTCGATTCGAGCTCATCGGGAGAATATACACCTTCTACGAGCTGATGGGCGGATGAAAGCCCCGCATTGAGCAACTCTGTGGCCTGAACCTGACGCGGATAATCTGACCAGATTCTCTTGCATGCTGCGAATTTCCAGACCTAGACTGTACCTTGACCTCTTCTGCGCTCACATGACGGGTAGTCACCCCCTCTCCTGAATATCCACCGGAGCGCGACTTTCAGCGGCAGCTGATCGTTCTATCTGCGATCCAGAAACTTTGATCTTCAACCGAAATCACTATTCATGGGGATAGACAAACTCCGCGTGTACGCGTTGTGCAATTTTCAGATGTCACCGGATTCCATTCTCCCTTGGCACTATCAGAAAGCTTCTGAAGCCCCGGGGATTCCTCGAACGTCAATAGAGATTACAAGCACTCTCGATTACCTCTCGCCGCGGGCGGTATCACGCGCTTTCGTTGTGCAGAGTGTGATTTGGAGTGTACAAGATGAAAGGTTCGCAAAGAGGTCTCCAACCCCAGGATGTACTGCTGACGGCAAATGCAAGCGCAGGAAGACGTACGTGTTTTGCCGAAATGTTCAAATCTCTTGAAACACATCATTTAAAGAGAAAGTTGAACGCTAATCGGGAGTGTGTTTGGGGCTATCCTATGAAAGATTACAGTAATCGATCAAGGTTGTATCTACACCCATCACATCGCCCATCAATCTATCAAGAAGCATTTCAATCATCTCCACAGTACACATCTTGTACTTACCACATTTCCAGATGTCTCAATCGGACGCAGAATCCTCATCGTATGAAGCTCAGAATGAGCTCATTGCGGATCCTGGTTACGAGTCCAGCACCGGAGAACGCGACAATCCCTCTTGTGCTCATTTCCGTCGCTTCGAACCTGTCAGGAGGACCATAAAACCGAGGCTAGTGCATGAAACCCGTGACAGTGCCTGTCTTGACCTCCATCCCACTTGTCCACAGAGGTAACGCTAAGCTTCTCAACCGTCAAGGTCGCGCGATATGCCGTATCATGTCGTCTCTGGACTGGGATCCCGAGGTCATTGGGTACATCTTCGGTATTTCGAGTTCTACGGTGGTTCGCGCCGTGGAAAACGTCTTTTATACGCCGCGCGATCGCGTGGAGGAAGACTTCGATCGGGTCGGTGAAGAGTACCAGACACACGCACCGCGGCCGCCAGCGGACCAGATGGAGCGATTGAGGGCCATCAAGAATGCAAACAGGGACGAGGAAGAGGAAGAGCCTGTGGTAGATATCTTCACTACGGCTTTCTTTCCTAATCGATATCTGTCACCAGGTAGTTCCACTCCGCACAAAACGCACCGTCACTTTCTCCTCCCGACCCGCCAATGTGGAAGGAGACCTGGCTTCGGTTCGAAAACGGTTTAAGCCCACTCCAGTCGCTAGCTCGGATTCATGTTCAGAGCAGGTATGGGGTACATATGAAACCGGTTTAATGGGCTTAGAGGTGCTTCTAGCATACCAGTTCTTCCTCACGCCAGAATAGCGGTTTCTACGGCGCATCGACAGGCACGGTATTCACGTCAGCTTCGCAGAGAGCGGATAGTCGCGAGTCCTTTCTTAGCTCTCTGTCATCCTCGCCATCCATCACACCTCCTATCTGGACGCAAATGACTCGCGATCATCCTCCAGTTACGTTTTCCCCTGAATTGCTCCCACCGCTCGAGGGCTTCGATCCTCGAAAGCACGTCGAAGTCTTCCACTCGAAGGGCCTTACATCAGCTCATCGGCTCCGTACTTTGGCCCTCTGGCCTCGGGATATGATCCAGGAGACGGTAAAGCGCATGTTTCTCGGTGCGCAGGGAATGTCGGCCATGGACATAATTTCGTTCGAGATAGCCTTGGGCCAGATGAAAAAAAAATCTTCCGCCGCAGAGCAGGTAAATGGAAATCGATCATTGACTGAAAGCAAAGCTGATTCATGTGGTTTTGCATTGCAGTCTGCTATCTTAGCGTCCTCGCGCCTCTCCTCTTCCCCGCCGCCAACTCTGCATAGATTCCTGTTGAATGTGATGGGGCTGGATCTCTCGTTGCACCAGAACCTCCTGATAGCCCAAGGCATCGACATACAAACGCTTTGCAAGATGACTGAATGGGATCCGGAGAGCTTGCGCGATGCCCTCGAGCGAATGCTGGGCGAAGGAGGGAGCTTGCTTGCGGAAGGACAGGTAGGTATGGTTGGCTTTGAAGTTCTGGCGTTGGAATGGGAGTTGAGGAGAACAAAATTGAAATGATTCATAAACATGTACCCAGTGCCTATACATTTGACGAGGATGAAATACGCAGGATCGAAAGAAATTTCAGGGTGTGATACAATACAATGCAAAATGTGATTGGAGTGGGATTCGAACCCACGCCCTTTCGGACTAGATTGCATGTTGTCACACAAATTGTTCTCCTGAGGAGATAATCCTTAGTCTAGCGCCTTAGACCGCTCGGCCATCCAACCCTGGCACGGGGAATCTGGGTACCGTTCAGCATGCGCAGGCAAGCAGATCTTTACAATATTTACAGACGTGAACGATCTCACTCTTGGACCCACTTCCTATGACTGCCTTGAGGATGATCCTGGCTAATCTCATTCGATCTACATCATTCATCAATCCCCGATCAATCCTGTCATCATTGTTGTTGATGATTTGGTTAGCTTCCTGTGAATTGTCCGCCAAGACCGATTTTGGCCAACAGTCCTCGAGCAGCAGCTCGTCGACACACATCTCTGCTTCCTCAATACGAAAGGGACCAAAACGATCCCTTCCACATTGCTGCTATCTAATAGCTTCTCTGCACGCTCAACAGGTCAAAGTGTTACGTGCCTTGATGCGCTTTGACGCGCTTTTGTCTTGCCGAGCGCGCTTTGGCGGATCGTCGAGAACAAAGCAAGGGCGTGGGTATATGCATTTAAGGCCAGAGACAACAATGTCGTCTGCCCACGGCTTGCCTCACCCCACCACCGCTCGATTACCCATCCCACAGCGATGTCTGACTCCCAATCTGGATTCTCTAACGACGCGCACGATGAACAGCCAAGTGAGTTCCCTGCCATCTGCATCCCTTCGCCTCATAACGATGCGTTCAGAGTCCTGCTGGCCTCACGTTTTCTTGGGCGTTGTGGCCTGCGAAGTCGGTCTTCTGCTCTACCTCTATCCTGCCCGTCTGTTTGCGCCCACCCTTCTCACCCCGCTGGTCGTCTTCGTCACCCTCTTCTACATGTTCCGCGCCGACATCCCTTTCGTTGGAGGCCCTCCCGATCACGCCGAATGCTCGAGCGAGCTGGACACGGTCGCTATAGCGAGAGAGTACCTCACCGCGCATGGCTATCCGCCAAACACCCCACCCCAGGAGCTCTTCGCGCGCTGTCGGGGCCAGCTCGAGGCTCACGGATACGTGCAGGAGGGCGAGATGGTCGATGACGACCGGGCGCTGATGTACGTCGCGGCCGTCTTGCAAGTGACACACAAGGCTACGGAGTGCGATCGGATACGCCTCCAACTCTGGATGAAGAGGACCCTGTGCAACTTCCTCAGGATAGGTTTCAGAGATGTCCAACCTTGTCCCGACGTAGCGGAAGACGAGTTCCTGCTCTCCGTGAGCGATGAATGCCTAGCAGACCGAGACGACACAGACGCCGTATGGGCCTTCTCGGTGTGGCTGTGCCAGGAGTCTAGAGCTGGTCTTTCCTAGTTTAGACGGTACATTAGTCAGACCACCGTTTTTCGGAGAATACACCCACCTTCCCGACATCTGCGGGCACCTGGCGTGGGTCCAAGTTCACACGCGCGTTCCAGAGGCGACTCCATTTGGTGATTGGAGGGATCGAATACCACACCCTGGCACCTGAAACACCGTCGTACCTTTCGGACCGACAACTCCGCCAATACGAGCGGATCCAAGCCACGCACGCACTTGAAAAAAACGCACGAGAAGCTCAAAAACAGCTTCGACGACTCCGCCTAGCACGAAGGACAGCGTCATCAGAACCCATTGGTATCAACGCGGACCACACAACTGGGCCGTATCAGAATCAAGTGCAAGAAAAGACACTGCACAGCTCACAAACGCCACCAACATCAGACGACGAGGACGAGCATAGTATGGGCCCGAAAACAGAGCTCTTCAAGGGGGACGGAACAGCAGAGAAGGCGAATGTCTGGCTAAGACAGCTAGAGCAGATGTGGAAATTCGATGCGAAGGATGACGAAAAGAGGTGGAGGTTCGAGCGGGCGTTGTACCCAGGGAGCCCCGCGGAGGTCTGGTACAAAGCGCTACCAGCAACAGACAAGGCAGACTGGCAAAGGATCACCGCAGCCTTCGAGAAGAAGTGGCCGCCGCCTTCTTACACCGCACGGGAGAATTCCGAGGTAATGAAGGATCTAAAGGAGAATGTGTTAGAGGCGAAGGCAGTAGGAGAAATGGTGGAAGATGAGGACGGGACGCGCATCCCAGCACATCGGGCATGGGCGCAGATTGCGAGACGCCTTGTCAACGACCTACAGGGAGGGGACCCATCGATGCTGCTGATGGGCGAGATACGGGCCACCTTGCCCCCCGGATTCTGTCGCTTGATCTCGGAGGAGGCAACGAAAAAGACCTGGGATGCCTGGTTTGCGGCATTCGAGGCAATATCAATCTACGCCATCAACGATTGGATGGCGGAGAATCGAATAGAACGGCAGGAAGGCCCAGCGACAACCACGGGATCAGCACGGGAAGGGGCGGAGTCCATTGTAGCCAGCTTGGCGCATGCCCTAGACGTCACCCACATCCTCTCCCCGACCCGCCCACGCCATCGGCAAGCGTTCCAGCTATCAAACACGCGCACTCAGGCCCCAGCATTCATGACACAAGCAGCGCCGACACAGACACAACAGCAGGCGCAACAACCACGCTCAATGTTCACACCGACAACACCGGTACGACAGCAACCCCCGCACATGGGCACAGCAAGCCAATGGACGGGCACGACTATACGACCCACAAGCTCATTCAGCAGGGACGTCTTTGCCTCGCCAATCAGCCCATCAGCAGGACGCAGCCTCATCCCCAACGCGAAACCCGCAATACCGTCGCTCGGGAATGACGAAACAGCACGGGCGTTGACACAGACTACCCACCTGTACGCAAAAGACGCACAGGGGCTCCGCAAATACCAAACCGATTTCGCTGCCTGGCAGACCGGGAACAAGGACGTACTCACCTTCCCATTTACGCCAGGGACACTCCCACCGGGGTCACGGGAATGCTACCGGTGCGGCCTTCGAGACCCACCCCACGGCGCTGGAAGTTGTGCTGTGCCGCTACCGCTACCAATCATCGAGTCGAACATCCGACGATGGGTCCACTCAGTGGTATTCCCTCCCCGTCAGATGGGAGCGGTGCCAATCAACGCCATATTTGGTGAGCTGGATGCAAATGAGCCCATCGATTTCGGCGAGCAAGAAGAGAACGAGGAACAGGGAAACGGAGGGGAGCACACCTTGTAGGGGGTGGTGTTGCTCCAAATTCTCCAAATCCCCCGGAAAGAGACCATTCAGCACGGAGGCGCCGGGAAGTTTTTACGCGGGACACCAATTCGGAAATACGATTTGTATTAGGCCAACCATCGAATACACGGGTTCTCGAGTATAGGGCACCCCTGCCGAGCGCCATACTGAGCATAGGATCCGACCCAGACACTGCTGTCGAACCGTTCTACCAACGGATCCGGCTCGCCAATGACAACGGCAGCACGGTCCGCCTGACGGCGCAGATCGACAACGGCGCCATGCGCAACTGCATCTCGGCGGAGCGGTGGACACAGTACGGACAGTGCTTGGGCAGGCTGGCCCAGTCGAAGACAGTCCTCAAGGTAGCGAGCGGTGAACGGATCACACCAAAAGGAAGGTGGTGGGGCCAAGTATCAGTAGGCGGCGTGACAACAGGAGCGTGGTTTGAGGTCTTCCAGGGTGGCGGAGCATTCGACGTGATCCTAGGAAAACCGTGGCTGCATAGCGTGCGAGCTATCCACAACTACGGGAACGATGAGATACGCATCACAGCGGCAGGACGTGAAACAACCCTGCAGAACGAGCCGAAGGACATACCACATGACGCCCAACCACCCCGACCACCCCCCGAGCAGCCACTTCCCCCACCCACCAGGACAGCGCCAAAACGGACACACCACAACGGCAACGACATGAAGGAACAGAGTTCAGCAACAAGGGAAGACGACATGGTCAACGACGAGCTCACACGTGTCCTGCAGATCCAGTCGTCGAGACGGGGAGCCGAAACAAGATACGCAAAGTACGGGGACAACAGACCAGAGGAGACAGCGAGGGAGGCCAGAAAGAGGCAGACAGAGGCAGATGCGGCGAAATGGAGGACAAGGCAAAGAGAAGCAATCATAGCGGCGTTGTGGCGGACATCAGGTGGACAAGACGACGAGAACAAGCTTCGCCGATCGGACCACCGACTTCGACACCTCCGGTCGAGACTGGACGAACTCAGATCCATTTGCACGGAACAAATGGCAGACGTGGACAAGGAAGGGGCAGGGTCCACACCAGACACAATATTCACAATGAGCACGGCCACAGGCTCAGAGGGCTTCAAGATCGACAGAGGAACAAATAGATCGATCCGTGCAACGGACCCCTTCAACGAGGAACGAGTCAACAAGATAATAGACGCGGTCCAGATTGGGACGGACCTGACAACGGAACAGAAGGAAGAAGTGGTTGCGCTCATCAAAGAATACGCGGATGTGTTCGCCCTGTCCATGTCAGAAGTCCTATTTGTGGACTGGTGGAAACACCACATAGACGTCGACCCGAATATCAAGTTGCCGACCCGCATGTCGCAACGCCCGCTCACGGAGAACCAGAAGTCTTGGTTCTACAACGTCCTAGATGAGATGGAGGAAGCGCACGTAATCCAGAGGGTCCCAGGCGAGTTTCTGAAATGTCTGAATAGCACGAATTTGGCTCCCAAAGACGCAGGCAAAACCGGACTCACAAGAGCAGAGGTCCTCAGACGAGTGAACGAAGAGTGTGTGAAGAACGGGTTGCCGCCCTTTTGGGAGGAGGTCGAGACCCAGAACCAAGACACGAGCCGAGATGAAGCAACACTGGAGGCAACAGAGGAAGACACCGGGAAGGGCACCAAGACAACAAAGTGGAGGGTCTGCCACGCTTTCACGGCCCTCAACAAGGCGTCCCAAGTACCGCCGTTCCCACACGGGGACATCGGAGCCAAGCATCAATTTGCAGCCGGACACCGCTGGGCAAGCGTGATCGACCTCGCGTCTGGATACTACGCGGTCCCCCTAGACGACGAGACGGTTCCCTATACGGCATTCTACGTCGAAGGAAGGGGATATTTCGTATACCTGCGCATGCCATTCGGTCTCACAGGCGCTCCAACCACCTTCTGTGAGATGGTAGCAGCCGCACTCGAGGACATGATTGGCCGGGAACTTGTCAATTGGATGGACGACATCTGCCTACCAGGTGATGTATTCGAAGTCAAGTTAGCCAATCTGAAGCGCTTCTTTACCAGATGCCGCGAGAAACAGCTATCACTGTCACCATCCAAAACAAAGCTTTTCTTCACGGAGGTCTTGTTTGCGGGCGCGGTAGTCGGACCAGCGGGCTTGAAGCCGAACCTGGACAAGGTCGGTGCAGTGGTGGACTGGCCGGTGCCCGAGAATGTGTCCGACCTCATGGGCTTCCTCGGCATTGCGGGCTACTTCAGGAAAATGATCCCAGCCTTCGCACGCATTGCAGCCCCACTCACCAGGCCATACCGGTACTTTACTAAAGAAAAGTGCTCTAGTGACCGGCGAAGCTGTTCTTCAGAAAAGCTTGTAGTCTACAAGTAGCTGATCTACAGAAGACTACCGGGCCCTCATGCAGCTTCGGCTAGCGAAATCCGGCACCCGGTCCCGTTGCTCATTGCCTTGCCGCCTCCCGCTCCCTCGCATCAATTCTCGGGCCCCCGCCCCACACATCAAATCCTGCCACCTCCCTTCCGCATCAAATCCCGCTTCCTGTCAATCCCTCTGCATCAATTCGGTTCGCCACTCACTTACATAATCATGCTCGGCATTGCTGCCCAGGGCCTCCTCCCGAATCGGTCACCTGCATCAGTGCATCATTCCCGTAGTTACGCATCATTCGCTTCCTATCCCGCCTTGCTGGCTTCGCTTCATTGATCCTCCACCCTAGGGTCTGTAGCTTCTTGAGAGATGTATTTATTCCTTATGGTAGCCTTTTGTGTGTGACAGATCTGCATATGAGATGACATTTCAAACATTTCTGTTCATTCAGCACAATGTTACATATTTCCGCCATAACAAGCTCTGCCTCAAAAAATAGTACGGTACTTCAAGAAAAATTACAAGTGTGATACCTCAAGCCACACGAAGTGCAAACTCTCACAAGAAACACACCGTCAGCTCAACTATGTCATTTATCACGTGTTCACATGCTTTGTTTTTTTTCTAGTAAGTACCTCCTAATGACAATCATTGCATCGAAACCAAGTGCCTCCGAAGCTATGTGATAATATCTATAACACTACCTCTGCCCATTGTGTTAGCCCGGAATTTGTTCTTTGAAAGTCGAAAACTCACCTTTTTACGCTTCGGATCAGCGGTAGGCTCAGCACCTCCAGCTCGTTTCCGACTTCTGCCGCTGTTGAGCAATTCGAGCTCCTCATTTCGCATGTACTGCTCAGCCTGGCGTTGAGCGACGGTCATCGGCTCTCCCCAAGTCACCGCCTTCTTGCGATGGCGGGTCGCAGGAACTTCAACGGCCGGATTGTTAGCAATGACCGTTGCGCGTTGCTTTGGCTTAGGCTGACTGGAACTACCTTGTGGTCTGTTGCACCCCCCACCTCCGGACCCATGATGATAGTCAGGTTGGAAATCCAGCGGGCACTCTTCATCGGGGTCCGGGATCGGGTTTACAGTACCAACGTCCCGCGAGGTTGCGTGTTTCGGTGCACCCCGGCCACGTCCGCTGCTGCGGCCACGACCGCCACCCCACCCATGTTGTCTCCCACTGGCACCTTTGCCATCTCCGCCTCCCTGTCCACCAAATCCCGGTGTTTCGACAGAAAGATCTCCCGCATCAAGCACGGGAGCCTTTGGGGCCCTCGCAGCCTTTGGAGCGTTAACCTTTGGGCGTGACTCTGGGTAGTTTGTCGAAGAAAGGTCCGGAGCCACTGGAGCTGGTGTCGTGACCCCGGGAGCTATGGCAGTCGGTGTCATGATCATGGAAGGATCGGCGCTGATGCCAACAGCGCTGATGCCAAGAAGCGCAGATCCTGATGAGTTTTGTCTGGAAGGCAACATAAGCAATGCGCCGTGGTTTGAGGCGGGCGTCGGCCACGTGCTTGGGACAGTTGGTGACCACAACTTGTCAGTGGAAGCTGTGCCAGATGAGACTGACGGCTGCACAGATGGTAGCCCAGATGGCAGAAGAAGCGCTGGTGGAGTAGATGGTCGAGGAAAAGCGCCCACAGACTCTGCTGCCGGCGAGGCAGGACCTGATGATAGTGGTCGCAGAGGGTAGGGTGAGGAGGCACTGAAACCTGACTGCGTATCACATCCATCTGACACCCACCCCCCACTCAAGCTGGCACCAGCACTAACTCCCATACCAACGCCCTGACCCATCCACCCTGTGTTCTGTTCAACCTCGGTATCAGCATTCCCCATTTGATCATTGCCCAACACGCGATCAAAATCCCAGAGAAATGGATCCAGGCCGAAATCAGCATCCAAGCCCACATCTAAGGCGTTTTCAAGCGCTTGAGACCCATCTGTCTCCATAGACATTGACAGAGATGGCGGCGTTGCTTCTGCATGTGCGGGATCCTCACAAGTCTGAGACGCATTCAAAGATGTAGGATCTGCCACCGCTAGGCCATGTTGGCCACTTGCACCGTCAGCGCTGCCGTTTCCGTCGCTGTTGTTGGTTTTTTCTACATCCAGATGAGTGATCAGGTCGCCGTCCAAGGCATGAGTGAGCGGGCTGGAAGCAGTAAGCACCCATGCGGCACGTGTTTCTGGATCTAATGGTGCCGTGATCAGTAACATCATTTAATGATGCGCATCACTCACCAAATCCTCGACGCAGCCATTCCCCTGTGCCCTTTAACACATCATCCCACATGACCAAGGACTTATTTAGCGGTTGCTGGCCTGTGCCTTGAATCCCTGTGGTGATTGTCTTTGTTGCAATCTTGCCCTGAAAAGACGGCATTGGTCCGCCTACAAGCACGATACCGCGCCAGCCAGTCATCCGCTCAACCCCATCAAGCACCTCGGCAAATATTTTATCGAGCTGGTCGATTCCCCTAATAATTTTGTCAGATTATTTCAAGACCATAGTATGACAATCATTACTCCTGGATCTGCTCCGGCTTCCTTTTCTCAACAGGCAGCTCGCATGGGGTATTCGCCTCGTTACCTCCCTGCTCTTCGTAAGCCTTTTCTACCTTGCTCTTCTGCTCCTCGCTCGCCTGTTCGTACAGGAATTGAACAACTTTACGACGGAGCCCCATATCCCGTGCACGCTTTTTGGACTATGGTGTGCAGCATCAGAACAGCATTACTATGCGTTATCAGTAGTGACTACGCACCAGAGCTGATTTGAGAATCCCCTGGCTGCTCGATTCATTCTCTGACTCGCCGCTAGCCTCTTCGGGTTCCAATTCAAAACCCAATAGCTCTCCCCGGGTGGCTGATTCCAACGCTGCCTTGACTTCACCAGCATTCTGCTGCTGAAACAGCTCTATACGCTGCCGACGCCTTCCCTTTGGTTTCAGAGATTTGAAGATGGTGGCAGCCAGTGTGCCTCGCAAGGCAACACGATCCAGCTTTGCGTTGCCTTGCTTCCGGTTATAGAACCATTTTTGATATCGCTGCCATCCTCAGGTGAGTATTTATTGTGGGAAGAGATTGCTCCACTCACCACCCTAGCCTTTGCTGCGTCTTCTCCAGCTGGTAGTGGGAACTTGTCGAGGAAGTCCCGCTCAGCTTTCGGGAACCATTGGGAGATTCGCTTGTGAACCTGAGCAGCCTCGAAGTCCCCGACCTGGGAATTGAGAAACTCCAACTCTTCTTTGGAGAATAGCGACTGTCTTCCCTGCGGCATCTGAATGCTAGTAAGAAAAGTCTCTAGTGTCTACAGCCGTCTGACGTGATTTCTGATTCCCACGCCAAGGTAAAATTGTTTACACTGGAAGAACCACAGGAACAAATTGATGTTCTACATCAGAATCTGACACCACACACGAGGACAGTTTTCAAGATCATGTGGAAGTGTACATGGAGTAATTCAGGTACATACTATCTAACGGCTATATTGTACCCGGTACTCTGGGCGTCTAGGGTACAGTATCAATCTTGGGAACCGTGGCAGCACTTCTTGCACCGGTGTGTCTGGGTGATCTGCAGCATACGCAGAATCTAGCCTCGTCAGTCTCGGAGGAGTGACCGGAGAGATTTTCTGGGGCGGAGTTGACGGAGCAGGAGTGCTCGCACGCAAGAGCATGCCAACCTCATCCTCGGAGGTGACCTCATCCTCTGAGTTGTCCCCATCTATGTCTGTGAGGCTTCGTCCGCCGACACTTTGTCCATCGGGCAGAGGCTCTACCTCCAAGCTGGGTGGCAACCTTCCAATGCTCGGAATCTCCCCAATAAGCAGAGCTGAGCCCAGCTTTTTCTCCTTCTTTGATGCTCGCTGATCACGTCGTCGTTGTAGAATGGCAGCAGCACTGCGTACTGTTTAGCTGGCATGCACAGGCTTATGGTATCTCACAACTTTTTTGCGTAATGGCGAGCAGAGATTTCTCGACGCCTTGCTTTTTGGGCCTCCTTCTTCTCGATGCTACATAGTAGATCAGCATTTTTATTTTAATCAACTTCTCACATACACAGACTCTGAAAAACCAACAGTGTGTGGCGTGAAAGCTTTTGGCATGGTCTGTTGGAGGGAAGACACAAGGTGTCACATCACAGGCACGCCAATTAGGTCTGACCGTCACATTTCAGTCAGACGGTCAGACCATCACACTTGGTCTGACCGGTCTCTGATCAATCAGACTTTACTTACATCTCATGCAGATTTATTCAAGCTAGACAGCCTTTACACACGATAATATAGATAAGAATGTTTCAATGGCAGTAGAAATTTATTTGCACAAGA